AGGGCTCTTTTAGAAGGAACTCAGGCACAACTTTCGCTTGTGCATGCAGACAAAATTTTCGGAATATACACTCCTTTTTTATAAGAACATTTTCATAAGAACACGAACCTCGAAATTGGTCAAAAGTTAAGAACAAATTAAAAAGAAGATGAGGCTGAGCATTTGCAAAATGCAATTTTGAACAACGCTTTTTCTCAAAATCGAGGATTTTTAGCGATGTGTAGGTGCTTTTTCGGTAAATATTCAAATTTGTCAGCAAATTGAGGTTGTCTCACTCACTTTGTTGGCAAATGAGGCCTAAACACCTCCCTGGAACGAAACAGCTGGCAATTGCACTGCTTACACTCTATTATTTAAGAGCAAATTAAGAACAATCCAGGCTCTGATTTTCAAAAAAATTAAGAACAGTCAGCCTGAACTTAAATTTACTGGTTCTTATAAAAAAGAGTGTATGACAAGTATTGAATATTAAAAGATGTACCAGTCTACATTCTTTTGCTAGTCGACATTTTATATCAAATGGACATTTCGAAGTCTTAGTCTCAAATCACCCCTGGAAAAGTTAAAACTTCATGACCAATTCGACTCACTGCCTCGTTTTGGAAATTTCTCCAAATTTCATTATACGACTTTTTAAGATTAGATTTGGTTCTCTTACTATAATTTAGGCTGGATAAAACTTTTCCTATTGTTAGTGCTTTTATTTTAAATTTAAATTTTACGGAAAAAATTGTAAGAGATTTGACCGCACAAATGATTCCGGGTGAAACTTTACACCCTTAGTTTCCAATCACGGTCAAATCCCTTATAAATTTTTTATCTTTATGTCGTCATAAAATCAATATCGTGAGCAATACCATAATAAAAACCCCCAAGTAGTCAAAAATCCTTCCTCTCAATCCGAATCTGAGATAAAAAATTTTGTACAAAAGAATTTGAAGAATTAGACCTTTCCCTTAATTACATCATGGCGCAATGCATTCTGGTACTTGTAGTTAAACCCGCAAAAATTTGTTTATGTTTTGTTCGGTGATCGAACGAAGTTCTGTTATTTTCCAACGCTGGCCCAGACTGGGCCTCAGCCTGGGCGAACTTTGGCGTGAACAAGGCTTGAGATTAGAATTTTAGGATATGGCAGAAGCGAGACGAACCATACAATGTTGACACCTGTCTATTGTCATTAAACATTAATTTCTCAAAGAAAGCAACCCTGGTGTACTACAACAAGCTCAATTCTCCAAGAACATACATATTCCACTTTTGGTAATAGTTGTGTTGTACTATCCCACGGGTCTCAAGCTAAAAAGTATGGACATTTTTATCTTAATTCAATTCCAACTCAACGCCCTTGATGTGACGGAAAGATGCTTTTGTGATCGGTTTCCAACAATTCTTTTTCTAAAATTGTTGCAGAAAGGTATTAGATGTGAGATCATGAGATGATAGAATGGAAATCGCTGGCCGGATATTGTCGAATTGTCGAGTTAAGACCCGTCTGCTGTCGATTCTCTGATAAATGCGATCTCCTTATATTTCCATGTTGAATGCGAGTTTGACAGCTAATTCATGAACCAGGGGGAAGCTTGGTTTGGAGACTAGCCTCCCGCTGTCAACGCTTTAACCCGCTGCCCCCTTGGCTCCGGCACCCTTGTTGATGTGTAACAGGTATAGTTTTAATTTGCCAACTAGATTTACAAATAAAAAGCTGGAAAGTAGTTTTTTAGAATAGTGGCACGTTTATGTTGTTCAACTGAGATCAAAGATAAACAATAATGTCTTACTTTAAAATAAAAACATGATATATATATGAGCACACGAATTTAAAATCCGTAGAAAATATATAGTCACTGAATCTTATCAAAAACCTTTAAGTATGAATTTTCGGACTGATAGCTGAAATACATCTGACTAACATGAAGTGAAAGGCAGCTCAAAGCAGCATGCTGTAAAAGTTCGCAGAATTTCTCTAGATTGTAGAATTAAATAAAACGATGGTGGCTCCAGAAATTTCGGGCGAAAAACTTCTCCCAGGCATATAATAAATGTGTTTGACTTTTTCCCCGCGGGGGGGGGAGGGATAACATGTATCGATAGTGGGCTAAAGCCCTTAACCTTCCACAAGGGCCACCGTTGTAAAAGCACAACATTTCCAAATAATCTTTTCTGGAGATTTCGATACTTTTAGCAGAATTCGCGTTTCTTTAAGCTGAAATAGTCCTGATAATCTCAATATGCCAAGGTGTCATTTCAAAAATGAAGATCAACCCCGCTCTACATCATGAAAAAGATTCAATTTTAACTTACGTCTCCAATGAGAAGATCTTTCAGACTTTCTTCTTGCGTTTTTTGTGATCATGCTTAATCTGTTTCACTTGCTTTGGCACAGATAGGGATTGTGCAAATGATCAAATGATTTGCAGATGTTTAGCGTCCTTTGCTTACGACAATCTATAGAAGTACACCGTTGCAAAGAAAAATTTGGCCAAAACAATGGTACCCACCTGATTTGCTGACGACTTTCGACGAGGATTTTGGCGGGAATCTGATCCAAAATGGCTGCCAGAACCTTTCAAAACAGTTGTTAGGAAAACGTGTCTCAAAAATATGCTGTTAGACGGCAGTGCTGGCCCTATTGACAGGAATCAATAGAAAAATTCGTCAAATAAATATTGAGTTCAAATATATTGCAATTTTAACCTAAATGTATTGAAAATTGGCCATTAATCTTTCATTCGTGTAACTTTATGTAACAATTTCTTGAATGAGAACTTTCAGGTTGTTGACATTGATTTGATACACAAAATATAACGCATATTTCATGTTCATTCCATTTTATAAAATCATACAGGACAAGTCAAATTTTTGGCAAAGTCACAAGACACAGGACAAGTCACATAGACAAATTGTTGGCGTGAAATGCTGATTAAAGTCAGTTTAAAATATTGGAAATCATTTAATTGAACTCGTCTAACTTCTTTTTTATTGATAATATGTTTAAGAGTGACTCATGTTGAGGCACACGGTTTGTTACAATCTTAAGGCGCACGATTCGCTAGTCTGATGTTTAAACCTTTCTTCGATTTCTTCCAATTAGGGTAAATCATTAAAAAACGACTGCCATGAAGTAAAACTTTGTTTGTTACATATCCAATTCATCAAGTATCACATTTTAGGTATATACAATCCCTTTTTCTATTGGATGCTCCAATATTTATTTTTTCAACAAATGTTCGACATTGATCAATTAATTCTTTACAACTGGGCTTTTTTGACATTTCTTTCTAAAAAAAGAGTTCAGATTTTCTGTTCTATTCAAAATCTCTGTGACTGCAAATTGTATTGATTCACAATTTTTCAACCTTGCTAAAGAATTCATTTGAAAAGGATAAAATTTTAAAAAAGCGTTTAGTTTTCATGACATGTCATGACAAAAAAGCTCCAGCTTGGAAAGTCATGACAAATAGACATTTTGACAGAAAGTAATTTGCTTCTATTATGCTGCTACAGAGCACTTTAACGCTTTTTAAAAATGCTTCTTACTTTTATTTCGTTTTTGTTCTGGAGACGAAACCTTTAGTCCTGTGTTTCGAAACAATACAGTCTTAAACCAACAAGGGTTGCAGGGTCATTGCACATGCGCATTAATAACAGTATACGCACAGCTGTTCTATCTGGGACCACACAACTTCCCGCCAGGGCTTCTAGCAGGTTTAATGCGCGTGCGTACCTACTCCTCGTAGCTAATTGGTTCGGACAAACCACTTACGCTTTTGTTCTAAACAATGGAGCCGCGATCCCGTCTCCCCAACAAATCCTGATAGCCTACATTATATTTTCTCTAATTAGTCAGCACAAGCATGACAATTATTCCGCAATTGGCTATTGACAATAGAATTAAACAATGCTTAATCAAATCCCCTATTCTACCCCTGACGAGAAATGTTTCTCTATTTACGCTCTTCTCTATTTTACCCTGCTGGCGACGATTATCGGTGGATATTTTTTGAATGTGGTGACGTCTTTTGAAATCAAAGTTGCAATGTCTAAGCAGTCCACGAGCAGTCCAGATGTTCAAGCACATCTGCCAAAGTTTAAGACCACGTGTCACGTTTTCCTGTTTTTCTGTGTTAACATCAAAATACTAGTTCTTGTTTGAAAAAATATTCTAATGCACACTACTGAAATTTTAAAAACGCACATATAGTGTTTGTAATAGATATCTTTAAAATATATATGCAATGATCATATATAAAGTAGTGTGGATATATAAACACTATTTCTTTTATAAGAACAGTTTCATAAGAACACGAGCCTCAAAATTGGTCAAAAGTTAGCAACAGATTTAGAACAAGCTGAGACTGAGCTACAGTAAAATGCAATTTTGAACAACGTGGATTTTTAGCCATGTGTGGGTGCTTTTTCGGTGAATATTCAAACTTTTCGGCAAATGAAGGTTCTCTCACTCACTTTGTTGGCAAATGAGTTCCAAATACCTTCCTAGAGCGAAAAAGCTAGCAATTTCATTGCTTACACTCTATTAATTTAAAAACAAATTAAGAACAATCCAGCCTCAGATTTTCGAAAAAATTAAGAACAGTCAGCTTGAACTTAAATTTACTGGTTCTTATAAGAAAGAGTGTATATATGCATAGTGTTTTTGTGGAAAAAATTGCGTTGCTTCTAAATTTTCCTCTTGGTCTTTTGCACATGGCTGTAGATACATATTTGCAAGCACCTATAGAAAAGCATTTATTAAAATACACTTAAAGCCAGGAAGCAACTATAATGTCTCAGGTAGGCTGGAACATAGTATTATTGATTGGAGATCGCCATCTTAGCTCCTCGTTTCGAAGTCCTAGACCTCGAAAACGAGACTCGGGGACTCAGCCCTAGTGACCGCAAAACCGGGTGTGGAATCTCTACACTACAGCAACTAATATGCCCTAAAATCATCGTAGATAATCTCACTTGTGCAAATTAAATAATAACAGTACGCCATCTTAGCTCCTCGTTTCGAAGTCCTAGACCTCGAAAACGAGACTCGGGGACTCAGCCCTAGTGACCGCAAAACCGGGTGTGGAATCTCTACACTACAGCAACTAATATGTCATAAAATCATCGTAGATAATCTCACTTGTGCAAATTAAATAATAACAGTACTCACCTCAATGTAAGTGTAAGGCAAAGATAATGAAAACCAGTGGGAACTGAAACATCTGGTAATTTTCTTCACTTTTTTTGCTAAATTTTAACGAGTTGTTTTGCGTCACATCGTTATTTTGGAGAAAGATCAACCAAGCCCTTTCGGCTGCTTTCTTCAGAAAATAACTCTCAATAAATGTTTGTGCCAGCAGGCGATATTTAGAATCAAATCCAGAGTTGAGAAAAATTCGTTTCTATCTTTTCAAGTTCAACCATACCCATAACATGCCCACTGCTCATTGTAATGAATTATAAAGTGATGACGTCACGAAAATCCAATTAAGAATTTTTCCATTTGAATCGCATAATCTTAAATAGCATCGTGGAATACTTCTAGCAACGCAAATCAGCTAAACATATTAGAAACTGGCTGAGATACTCTAGACAGTGTGAATGGATGCCGATCAAGATTTTAACATGGATACTAAATCAGAGAGATCAGAAATCTGATCCTAGGTTCTCTGTGACATGTCCAAAAAACCGTAGACTCTTCCAGTCCTCACTCTTTCTAGGTCTCTTGACCAAATTCACGAACTCTGTCCCATAACTCATCCTCAATTCCCAGTTCTTGTAAACTTTGGCACACTCCACCCTCTTCTTTTGCTTCCCAGACACTAATAACCTGTCTTTATTCGAAACTAAAATCAACAAACGATATCTTGTCTCGCTCTCTTTCTAATCCCTTCGTCTTTTTCCTGTTAGGGCTTTGCGGCTTCCCGGGCCTTTCCCTAACTTCAACATAAAGAAGAAGACACAAGACACAATACTTCCTCAACACCTAGAAATTCACAGGCAAAAGTCTAATAACAAAGAAAATGAGTCGATGAACGGACCAAATGGCGCGAATTCATCATCACTCGGGCCACAAATGATCAGTCAAAATTTTCATCTTCAGTGAAAAAAACTTATCAAGGATATTTTTAATTTGACGAGTCTAATCTAAATCCTGCAAACTGTGAATTTCAGATGTACAATAGCTTCGAAACTTTTAAGAAATTCAGGACAAGATTCCGCATTAGCATGATTCAACATAATATCACTTCGAGTACACTCTTTTTTTTATAAGAACCAGTAAATTTGAGTTCAGGCTGACAGTTCTAAATTTTTTTGAAAATCTGAGGCTGGATTGTTCTTAATTTGTTCTTAATCTAATAGGGTGTAAGCAGTGCGAGTGCTAGCTTTTTCACTCTAGGGAGGTGTTCAGGCCTCATTTGCCAACAAAGTGAGTGAGACAACCTTTAGTTGCCGAAAAGTTTAAATATTCGACGAAAAAACACCCACACATCGCTAAAAATCCTCGATTTTGAGAAAAAACGTTGTTTAAAATTGCATTTTGTCGAAGCTCAGCCTTAGCTTGTTCTAAATTTGTTCTTAACTTTTGACCCATTTGAGGCTCGTGTTCTTATAAAATTGTTCTTATAAAAAAAGAGTGTATTCTTGACAAAAATCATCATTTTATAATGCGGTAATTTAAGTTATCGGCTAATAACATCCACGTCTCATAAAAATGAGACCTTCCTTGGAATAGTCCTCTCAATCTTTCACGCAAAACAACATTTGCTTGGTTGAATACACAGTTGAATATCACTTTCATACAGTGAACTTTCCGACTTGCCACTGTAGAAAATGTCATGTGACTCTGACCTGGTTTACCAAAAGCGCGGCATTCTATCATGGTTTCTGGAGGCTCTTTTTCGTTGTTTATGTTCTTCCATTATGATGCAGCACTCCCAACAAGTTCGTCGAAATCTGGTACACACAATACTCTTTGATTAACATGGCCGAGACAAACCATCTCTTTTCGATTATTGTCGAGGTGAATTGCCACAAGATCCTAAGTCAAGAAAAAGAGTCGAGTAATAAGAGCATTTAATAGACTGAGGGAAGGAGCGGCCTGCTGGAGCTGGCACTTTCTGCCTACGTATTTTTTTTAATCTTCATATATGACCTTGTTAAATATTACGTCGTTTGCTTCGTGCGTAGAGTTTGCTTACTGCATAAAAACAATCAATCGGTAAGAAATCATCCAACCGGGGAGTCCCTTTTCGAAAAATTAAATTCTCTGGGAAATTTTCTGTTTCCTCAAGTCCCATACAAGCTGAGATTTTTTGTCCACAGTCAGTCCTAAGCTCATAATTTGGCACGACATCTTTAATTTTACAAGTCCCAGACAATTTTTTTCTGCCCCACCGATATATACCTGTTGTCCCCGTGAAGAAAAAAGCTCTCCGGGGTTGTTACACTACCTGTTTTATTAGATATCTACCAATTCATTATACACCAACGAGATAAATTTGAATGCAAAGATTCAAAAGGGATTTTTTTCTGAAGTTTTAGCGAGAAGGTCTAGAATTAAGGACACCGATCTACATTTTGTTTAACTGTCTCTTGGATAAGGTGCTTATTGTAAAACTGTTGTTTAGTTTCTTTTCAGAAATCTTTGCAGCTTGGAGAACAGTTGCAGACAGTTGCTCCACAACAAAACAAAACCAGAAGAGTAATAATTTTGGTTCACGCCAGTTATTAAAATAATGAAGCCAAGTTCCTTCAAACGTAAACCTTATAATTTGCCATTTTTGTTTACAAAGAAGTGAAGAGCTCAACTTACTTGCAAAAAGCCGCACGGTGTTCCCATATCGACATCAAAAGACGCATTTCCAAGAAGCATTCTGTGAAAGAACGAGGAAATTTTGTATTAGAAATGCCCAAGGTAATTACCAGAAAGTTTAAGATAGATAAACATAGACTGTACTACACGCCTAAAGGCAAAGGGGTTTACAAAGATCGTCAAAAAAGACGTGGAAACTTCTTATAAAGAAGCAAGAATCTTTAAAACTTCTACAAATGAATGTGGCGGTCTGATAAAGACAGGGTTCCATAAAAAACACTTCTCGAGAGTGAGGCTGTGTCGAGAATGAGACATATAACATAAAATATCACAAAGACCCATAATTTTTACTGGTATGTCAATTATCATAATAATAACTTTCTTACGTGAGTCTAAAAGAATACTTCAAAACTACTTCTAGCATTTGTCTCTTTGATTCCATTTTAAAACCGTCTGGTTTCATACATCGCATTCATCATACATTACATTACTTTTTGGGTGATATTAAGCTTTAGTTTAAACTGTGATTCTTACTATTTTGATTTGGTAAATCATGATGCAATGAATGGAAAATTGGTGATCGGTTTTCATACGAAGTTGCTGCCTTTCCGAAGAAAAATGATGTATAGAAATGAGGTCTAAATTACATCTTCGAGAAATAGCAACCGATCTGTTTTAATCACTTAGGTTGCATGCTTCATTGACAGAGAAATACGGTTTTCTGCCTTTGTGAAAAACAACGCTTCACCAAAGTTTCAGTTGCATATGGACAAATCATCTGCTCTTCTTCATTGCATCAAAAATTCAATCACATTTGTACGCTGTTGCTAATATGAAATGCTAGTAAAATATGTATTGAAGCGGAGAAATATGTCGAAATAGTCCTAAAATTACAGTTTTGTGAAAGTTTAAAGATTCACCAAAATTTAGCTCACAAGTAGGAGGCTTGATTATCTCTACAAAACATCGGCCATTGGTCATTGACGTCATGAGAAACACGTTTTAATGGACAATTCCGTTTCAAAACACCTCCAACTTCTACGACACCGTACTCATTCATTCATCCGATCCACCCTTTATCCGGACTTCAATTTTCCGGTCCGTAAAAATATGAAAAAAACCTTATGAAAAATTTCCAGCATTTTTCATAATGTGACGGGAGAGTTTTGCTTTCCTTTTGAAATCAGATTACCAGTAATAATAAAAGACCACAGTGGCAGTCCAGTTGCGGGAAATGGCCACCAAGAAGCGTGAGGCATCAGGCATTCAGCCAAAGATTCACTCCAATTTTAAGAGTATTTAGTGTAATACTTTGTAATATGTGCTACAAAGATAACTTTTACAACACTCATATCGTTTATTCATGCTGGCTTTTGCCGTCATTCAAATATTTTCAACTCAGATGTCCTGAGAAGTCCGGATAATTGAAAAAGTACTGTACTCTGAATAAGCCTAAAGTCAAATACAATGCAGTTTGAAGAAGGTTGATGTCAGTTATGGGCTGGCCGTTAAAATTTTTTGAGATATTACCTGTAGTGTTGAGTTTTTTCTACAATATAAGACAAAAGGTCGAATGATAAAGCTCCAGACGGTAATAGCTTTTACATACAGTTAACGTTGAAATACGAAACTGATTATCAATCTTGCGCGTTTAAGCACTGAGAGAAATCAGCAAAGCAGCTGCCAAAACAAAAAAACACGAGGCGAACTTGGAGGGAAAAATGCAAAGCAATTCATATTGATGACTATGAATCAACTCAACACGTACCTAACTTTGCCAGACTTATGCACAACAAGTTTTCCAATATAACCTTCAGAAACATTTGTGAACGAGAATTTCTGGAGATCTTCATCGGAGGCTTGCTATCGTTGAAAAAATCAAAAGAATTGAATTGTGTTTTAATAATCAGAGATTCTTAATACACAACTTTACTATTTCAAAAGGGTTTCTATATAAACTGTTTGCAACCAAACAGGCTTTTTGTTATTCCAACATCCGTTGGATATAGAAAATTCTTATTTCTTAGCTTTAGACTCCGTTTACATTACAGAAAAAGACCTCTTGTTCCGTTCTTGTTTTGGCACAACATTTATTTTTTCATCGTTCTTACACTATACCAAAAAGGAAGGGAACCAAATTTGACCCGGTTTACACTTGAGAAAAAGAACGGAACTTCAGAACGCTAGATTAAGCCACGTTTTCAATCGTAACCAAAATGATATTCACATCTGTTTTAACGTCGCCAATTTTTTCATCTGTTTGCTTGATCAAAACCGACTATGGAGAAGTACATGCTAAAGGGCTTTGCGATAATTGAGCCCTTGAGGGGATGAATAGGAAAAGCATGGTAATCAAGTGCTTTTTACTGGAAAGACAATTAGAGCATGTTTATATGGAAAAGCTTCTCTGGCCTTTTCCCGGTGAAGCAGGAATCTCGCCTAGCGGGGGAAATAATTAATTATTCGTAATTTATATTTAATTCTTTTGAAGAGGGTTGCCCTTCAACAAGTTGATTTTCAAGGATAAAAAACATTGATTACAATATAACTTAAAAAAGGAAACAGCTTTTAATCAAATAAACTTTAAAACCTTATTTGCAATATTTAAAACTTAATGAAGGATGAAATTCAAAATTGCAATGAAAAATAAAAGGAAAGCAGTATTTCTTTAGATAGTTTTCTTGAAACTATACAGAGAGGTTGCCTGCTTTGACTCGGCTGACAGGCTGTTCCATAGTTTAGCACCTCTATAAGAAAAACATTTCTGGCCATTGGATAACCTTTTAATCGTTAATCTCAAATCGGTCCCCGCATTACGAAAGGCTAAATGATGGGCAGAGCGAATTTCGGGTGAAGATATCGCACAGGAATTGTGGAGCCAGCTTATTCAGGGACTTGGAGACCATTGTTAAAGATTCAGCGGTGATCAATTCCGATCTTCGGTCTTCCACCCCAGTCCTTCAATAAGAGGCCGGCTTGGGCATCAAAGCAGCAAGGTTTTCAAGCTTTTGCCACCGATCAATTTGGCATGTTTTAAAAATCCAGCTGCTCTAAAGACTTTGGCAGAAACTGCCCTGATCTGCTCTTTCCAATCCAAAGAACAGTGAATTTGCAAACCTAGGTATGTTGTGTTTTTGACTACTTTGAGCTCATTATCGCGTATTTTCAGTTTCAAGTGCTCATTTTGACCCTTGAGAATGTTAAATTTCTGCTTGGTAGAAATAAACATAGAATGGTTTTCGCAACATTCAGGGAAAGCTTGTTGCCTTGTAGCCAAGTATCCAGTTTCCTGTCATCGCCGTTAATAACCTCCTCATTCAGTCTATTCAAGTCACGAGACTGGTAGCACAAACTGGTATCATCAGCATACATGGTCATGGACACAGTAAAAAAAGAGAAAAGGGCCAAGACACGAACCTTGTGGAACACCAACATATATGTCCCTAATTTGGGAATCAACTCAATTTACCCTCCAAAATTGCTTCCGGTTTGTTAGGTAGGATTTAAACCAACAGAGCTCATGTTGTTTTACAACGTAAAGCTCGAGCTTTTGGCAGAGAAGGTCGTGATCAACGGTATGGATGCCTTTTTAAGATCGATAAAACAAGACCCACAAGCTTTCCAAGATCCATTCCATTACACCATTCGTCAGTACCATTATCGACCTTTCATATGCAGGCATTTTCCCGCGCTGCCGGGATAACCTTAGAGCCGTTCTGGATGATAAGTGTGGATTGTGTCAAGGATTCTGTGCAAATTAAATCTATTTTCCCCGCTTTGCCGGAAAGACCTGTTCATATAGGATGATATTTCCTCGCCTAGGCGGGATCCCGGTAGTGCTCAAATGGGACATCGGTTAGCCGGGAAAATGTTTTCTCGTGTGAACGCTCGTATAGGCCGGGATTTCAGTTTATCGGGATTCGCGCTTCTCCAATGAACAGGCCCTATGGGAAATCCAAGGCATCAGATGCAAAATTAAATGGGTAAAAGGATATAATTCTGGAATAAACGATAACAAATATAAAATTATATAATAATACTTACGTGTGTATCTACTTTTTCAGCTGCCTCACTTTCATTATGTACATCAGATTCGTGGGAAAGAGGCTTAATTGGTAATGCATCCGGAAACTGTAGAAACAGAAGTTGTTCTTTCTGCCAAGGATGAAAAAGTGAAATTAGAAAAAATCCGTTTTGATACTGAGACGTCTTTTTGTAAATATGAAATGGGTGACCATTGTAACCGTATGACAATGTGCTACCAAAAATAGGTAGGTGACTAGTCACCGAAACCACAGATCCTAAAAATAGAGGCCGCGTAGAGTAAGGGGTCACGGCACCCTGGTAAAAGCAAGGAAGTATGATTTGAATTTTCAAAAAAACTGGCTACAACAGGGAAGACAACATTTAACTTTGATTCCCGAGTGTTAGCATTTACACTGGCAGTTGAGATATGTTATGGACTAGCACCAGGAAACTGCTAGAGGCTTAGCGCTGATTACAATTCGCTATGCGATTGGTCAAATTTCGACTGGCTTTAATACGTAAACCAATCATAGTCATCGATAAATATCTTAGAGAACCTGTTCGCGTACCCTGGGTGCCAGAGTCACAAAATTTCGAGCGCGTAAACAGAAAGCCAAGCGGAGGAGCATCTAGCTGAGAAGAAGGAAAAGTGGTTCTAGAATAACCCTCATCCATTCTCGTTCTGATGTCTGCTAGGCTGTTGTGATATTCAAATGTTGGTTTAAGAGTTTTTATTTAACTTGGCGGCTCATTAAGACAGCACCACTCATTATCCAGCCCGAAAGCTCTGCTAAAGAGAAGTAATCAAAAAGAACCATTGCCGAGTTACAGAACCACTGTGACTCAGTCCCATGCTTAGGAACTTCTGTCGGTCAAATAAAGATAAAACGCTCCTGAAAAATCTTTAATGTCCTAAAATGTTAGGAAGTTTACAGGTCGTGCTGAGCAAAATCAAATCATGCCACGTCAAAATAGCAAAACAAGTTTTATTTAAGGTTAAAACCCCAGTTGATTCAAGCTGGGTATAATACAACATATTCAATAAGTTGTTAGCATTTTGCTGCATAACATGAAATTAAATTTGGATTTGATTATTGGTTGAAATATATTCAGCTGTCACAGAAGATTAGTGGCTTATTCTCTAGAGCAAATCAAGCCAATCATAGCCTCTCCCTTATGACATATTACAATCCGATTATTAGCTGTAATATATCCGGCCGTCACAGAAGATTGGGGGTTTGTTCTCTAGAGCAAATCCAGCCAATCATAGCCTTTCCTTTATCACATATTACAATCCTCGCTACAAATATTGGCACAATATCACGCCTTGTATAAAAACATAATCCTGACAATTAAATTTCCCTATATCTTGTGCCAGACTCATGTTCTGGATTTTTCTTTTAAAAAAGTATCTAACGTCACTTTTCTCAACGGTGGCCTTTAAAGGTCCGGGCAAAAGCATCTCAATCCCGAATAACAAAAGGCACAAATCCCTTTTTGAAGCAGTCGTACTCAAGTGACACATAAGTTGTATTTACACACATAATTAGCAAGTCCCTTTCAAGTCTTTTCCAATGGCACCCTATACATAAGATATCATTTCATATGTCACTTAAGGGGCTTATTACATGGAGCTGGCTGGCCCGGTTGTCAGGGCCGGCCTGGTCATCCGGACAGCATTTTCCTAACGATTATACGGAGAACGCCAGTCCGGCCAGAAAATTGGCGGTAAAAAAATTTTGGCGGTTAAATTGACTTTAAACATGGCTGCAGCGCTCGCCAAGAAACGGTTTTCAGCTATGAGGGCTCTGATTTAAAAGTTTGGGTCTTTGGCAATGTCTTTTCTTCCGCTCTAGCTTTGATTTGTGTTTTACGCCCGATAGCGCATGCGTTGTTTAGAATCGCAACCCGATTTACCGGGCCTGTCCGGCTTGAATCGATTACATGGACAAAAACATTAAACTGCAGCCCGCTTTACCGGGCTAGCCCGGTAGCCAGAAGACGGGATCCCGTCAAACTGGGCTAGCCCGTTCTCAATGTAATCGAAAGTTTGCTATACACAAGGCATGCTAATGATACCGGGATCTCACCAAAAATACTCCTTCTCGGTAAATTAGGACAGCCCACTCCATGTAATCAGCCTCTAAAGCATATCCATTGTTCTGACCTACAGCGCATTATCTGCGTCGAATCCATTAGCAGCGACCGAACTCCATTAACACCAATTTTTTAAGAAACAAAAGTCGACAATGAATATTCTTGTTGCTTAATGCATAGCAAATTTCAGTGTCATCTGTTTCACAAAAGTTTCTACATGACAGTTTCGTGTTACAAAGCCCCGCCCCCCTATCATTATAACAGCATTTGATATTTCTAAACAGCAAAATAAATTTCATAAATACAGTACAAAAAGATCGAAAAAAGAATTAATAACCCGTAAGTTTTCCTGCCTGTTATGTCGCATCAAAGTCAAAAGAGGTACAATGCCTGCCAAAAGTACTTGGGACACCCAGCAATTTACGCTGCATTTGAAGTCTTTCACTCCTTTCATGAAAAAAATCACTTCTTCCGCCCCCTTACCCCCAAAACAATGTTGATAATTTAGAAAAATATCATAAAAGAAGCGCAAAAGAAAGTGCTTTCTAAAATCCTAACCCGTTTGATAGTAAACCAACATTGTTCTGTGGGGGAAAGGGGGATGATTGATTTTGACCTTGGAAATTGACGTCAGTGTTCCAAAACTTTTGGCAGGCATTGTAGACTAATTCGTTGATTTAGCGGTTAGATTATATTTTGACTAACCTACCTATATGAAACTTATAATCACACAATGTTAACAGAGCGATCTAACGCAATGGAAGGAAACGATTTAATGCAAAGGTTCGGAATGATTTAATGAACAGCGTAGGCAGATTTGACATAGCGGGACAAAGGGATTTTACGCAATGGAACGGAACGATCTAACGCAATGGAAGGAAACGATTTAATGCAAAGGTTCGGAATGATTTAATGAACGGCGTGGGCAGATTTGACATAGCGGGACAGAGGAATTTTACGCAATTGAACGGAACGATGTAACGCAATGGAAGTAAACGATTTAATGCAAAGGTTCGGAATGATCTAATGATCAGCGTAGGCAGATTTGACATAGCGGGACAAAGGGATTTTACGCAATGGAACGGAACGATCTAACGCAATTGAAGAAAACGATCTAATGCAAAGGTTCGGAATGATTTAATGAACGGCGTGGGCAGATTTGACATAGCGGGACAGAGGAATTTTACGCAATGGAACGGAACGATCTAACGCAATGGAAGGAAACGATTTAATGCAAAGGTTCGGAATGATTTAATGAACAGCGTAGGCAGATTTGACATAGCGGGACAGAGGAATTTTACGCAATGGAACGGAACGATCTAACGCAATGGAAGGAAACGATTTAATGCAAAGGTTCGGAATGATTTAATGAACGGCGTGGGCAGATTTGACATAGCGGGACAGAGGAATTTTACGCAATTGAACGGAACGATGTAACGCAATGGGAGGAAACGATCTAATGCAAAGGTTCGGAATGATTTAATGAACGGCGTGGGCAGATTTGACATAGCGGGACAGAGGAATTTTACGCAATTGAACGGAACGATGTAACGCAATGGAAGGAAACGATCTAATGCAAAGGTTCGGAATGATTTAATGAACGGCGTGGGCAGATTTGACATAGCGGGACAGAGGAATTTTACGCAATTGAACGGAACGATGTAACGCAATAATTGATCTCATGTTAACTCATATGACTTTTATATCGTATGATCTAACAAGCTATCTTCACCAATGTGGGGTATGTCCGTCTTTTTTGGGCTTATGATTAACATTGGCAAAAAGTACATTATTTTTATGACGTGGAATTTGAAAGTTGAACCAAGGGAAAAAACGATTGCTGTAAGCACAAGTGATCATGGTTGAAAAAATTGTACATGCTGTTTGGAGCAAAATGCTAAAAACGGGTGGTATACAGACATAAGCCAGAACAAGTTTTATACGGTCGAAATAGAGCCAAAGTGTCAATTCAGCAGGTTTTCAAAGATATTTCAGTCAGAAGGTAGAGTATAACCAGGCCCTCGAAGTTTGGAAAAAATTGGCACTAGAAGCATATCTTTTTTACTCTAAATCAATCCCTCCTTTGTGTATTAAAGTTACTTTAGTTTTTTAATATCAATTAATTTCACTTCATCGTACGTATTCGATTTAAAAACTTCACTTAACCTGATGCTGGTTTTTGCATCTCATCTGAATATTCTACGCAACATCCTGACAATATTCACATCACCACATTTGTAAGTGGATCAGCAATCTCTATCGCCATTAGTCATTCAAGAAGTTACGCAAATCTTAATCTCGTGATTAAACTCTATGAACGAAAGGGTTTTCCTTTAGATTTTCCATTTTACGAAAATTAGTATAAAGATTGACTGGTGAATATCAAGGTAAACGTAAAAAAGTGAGACTCCTGTTACTACAACTACCACAATGCATTGCGCACTATCGTCAAAATCAGCATTATGCATACGGTTTATTACATTTGATTGAAAAGCGCTTGCCGCCAACCCTAGATTTCAGGAAGGCTTTAGAATCCATGACAGTGCTTGCCGCCAACCCTAGATTTCAGGAAGGCTTTAGAATCAATGACAATGCTTGCCGCCAACCCTAGATTTCAGGAAGTCTTTAGAATCAATGACAGTGAAGTCAATTGGCAGGTGCGTGGTTGTTGAAAAATAACTCAAAGCGTCAAAAAATGAGCAAAGGTTAGCAAAATACCTGCACTGACCTCAAAATTCGAACTGAATAACTGATCGCAAGTAACTTGGTGCGTGAACTTTCCAATCATTTTTGGCTTCAAACCGAAATCAGACATTTCAATGTCCTCTTCTTTAACTAGAAATAAAAAATAAAAGCTTTGGACAAGCGAACGCAAATCCTCCTTTTATCGTGGACTGTAAGATATAAATCTCAACACCTGCTGGAGCAAATGTACATTTTAACAAGCAAATAATTAATATGGTTTACAAGTGAACACGGAAATTGGACATAAAAGGTTTATAAAATCAAAGTATTGTGTATGTAGAGAAATACAAAGTATAACAAAGGACATTAAGATTACAATTAAGGTAGATTACAGATAATCCTTGCAGAGAAGAACCTACTTGTAAATGTGCATATAAAAGTTGCTGGGTTAAAGGTTTCTACATTAAGTTATTGTCTTAAAGGTGTTTGTTGATGATTAACTTTCTTCGCGATGCCTCTCAATAGTGGTAATCTTCCACGCAATAATGTCTTTCTAAAACAAAACCTTCTCAAGCAAAATAGATTCTAAAACAAAATGTATTTAATCAAAGAAAAAAAGCCTTAACCCAAACCCTAACCTTAACCCTAACCTTAACCCTAACCCTAACCCTAACCTTATCCCTATCCCTAACCCTAACCCTAACTCTAACCCTAACTCTAACCCTAACTCTAACCCTAACTCTAACCCTAACTCTAACCCTAACCTTAACCCTAACCTTAACCCTAACCCTAACCCTATCCCTAACCCTAACCCTATCCCTAACCCTAACCCTAACCCTAACCCTAACCCTAACCCTAACCCTAACCTTATCCCTATCCCTATCCCTATCCCTAACCCTAACTCTAACCCTAACTCTAACCCTAACTCTAACCCTAACCTTAACCCTAACCTTAACCCTAACCCTAACCCTATCCCTAACTCTAACCCTAACTCTAACCCTAACTCTAACCCTAACTCTAACCCTAATCTTAACCCTAACCCTAACCCTAACACTTTCCCCCAACTCTAACTCTAACTCTAACTCTAACCCTAACCCTAACCCTATCCCTAACCCTAACCTTAACCCTAACCTTAACCCTAACCCTAACCCTATCCCTAACCCTAACTCTAACCCTAACTCTAACCCTAACTCTAACCCTAACCTTAACCCTAACCCTAACCCTAACCCTAACACTTTCCCCCAACTCTAACTCTAACCCTAACCCTAACCCTATCCCTAACCCTATTAGTTTGTTGTAAGTTCTTAAACTCTTGGATTGTTTTTATTGGATTTAAAGCATGCGAGAATGTGTATAACAAAATCAAATCATACTTAGAAGACAGTTTAAAATCTCAAAATAAGGCTTTGCTTGAAAGCAAAAAATTTCGATTTTTTATAAAGCAAAACTTACCTGTCTGCTGTCTAGGATCAACTTTTATCTCTTTCAGCTGATCACCTAAAAGTTTTGGGTTTGCTAAAGGTATAGTAATTGGCATAAGTCCACCACGCTGGATTTCTTCGTCATCTATTTCCATTTTTCCCTGAAAGATCATTTTATTATTATCCTTAGCTTCAGATGAATTGATACAATCTAGATCGGAATAATTGATAGAATCTAGATCAGAAGAAGTGATACAGACTAGATCGGAATAATTGATACCGTCTAGTTCAGAAGAATTGATACAATCTAGATTGGAATAATTGATACAATCTAGATTGGAATAATTGATACAGTATTGATACAGTCTAGTTCAGATAAATCGATACAATCTAGATCGGAATAATTGATAAAGTCTAGTTCAGAAGAACTGATACAGTCTAGATCGGAAGAATTTGAAAGTCTATATCGGACAATTTATAAAGCCTAAACCGAAAGAATTGACATAGTCTAGTTTGGAAGAATTAATAAGAATTTTTGGAATTTGTTCCCATAACCTAAAAGAGCATCATGAAATACCTCTAAATCTGCAAAATCAGTTAAAGGTAGGAAATTTAAATATGATGTAGGCATATCGGGAGGTTTTCAAGCCCCTGCCGCACAACTTTGGCTGAACCGTGTGACTGGGACACATATGTCATTTTCCCCTAAAGAAAGGTCATAATTTTAGATGCGCTTATGAATTTTCAAAGTTACTTTTCACAGTTATGGATGGTGATTAACTCTAGAAAGTTGTAATTTTCTTATTTAACATAAGGCTAGATTTGTTACAGATTCAAACTGGACTGGCACTGTAGAACTGCAGTCCTGCACTTGACATAAGGAAATATTCCTGCATTTTTCAGACTTTCAGTATACCGAAACAGTACCAGTTAAACGTTTCTGAAATCTTATGTTGACCATTGTCTTACCGCCTAAATTGTACATTGCAAGCCAGATTTTCTTTAAAACTGATAAAACTTCACAAATAAACAGCACATTGGCCTAGTTTAGGTGCCAATGATAAATATTCGTTGTTTTTAGTGGAATGGGAAAGTCTAATGAAAAAGGGGAACATTTTCTCACCGAGTCAGACAGCATGTTCAAAATTCTTTGTGAATCTTCGCCACTCTCCAGCCCACCTTTTCTGTAGGATGAAAGATAGCAATCCATTACAAGAAATCCTAAGATTTGGTCAATGCCATGAAATGCATACGCCAACTCATACGACGTGTCTTTGAAACAATTCTATCGGATAAAACAAGACTAAGAGCAAAATTTGGAGCATATATAATTATAGTTAAAAGTCGGAACAAATCTAAATAAAAAACCATGCACTTCTATACAGGATAGAAGAAACATGCAAATCTATATAGGATAACGTCAGGCATTGATGCAAGAACGGGTAATTCAAGGGTTATGCAAGAGTTGTAGCCCCTTCCCGAAAAAAGAACAAAGCTATGACGCATTCCAGTCCTAACTGTTGACAAATAAGCGCTTCAAAAAGGGCCTGTAATAAAGAAATCTCGTCTGGTAAATCATCTTCGTTGATGTAACGTTCTTAAATCGAGATAACACGCTTCTTTTGTTGCTTCTTGAAATCTGTTTTGCATAAAAGGCTACCAGGGCCCTACAGGGGTTGCTGAACCCCCTTTAAAAAATAACAAGGCTCCCAACCTTCCAAGCTCCCAGTTCCCAAGCCCCATGTGAAGCCAACGCAATCCAAATTCAGGTAGCTCGATCTGATCCAACAGAATAGCTGAACTCAGCTAAGTATTCAATCAGAAGTTTTAACAATCGTGAATATAATATTATTATCATTATTAAACACATTTCCATTAAGAAATTTACTTGGTGTAACTCAAGTTTCTAGTTGAAATATTTTACAGAAATATAACGGTGTTCCTTATATACTTCTGAAATATTTTTGCCAGGAAATTCTATCTTTTGCTAGTTCACAAGCTCCTTTCCATTCGACTTTAGAAATGTCCCGTAGGTTTGATTATATTTTTGAATGCCAATATTATTTTTGGACGCTATTTTGGTCTTGTTTAATTTTCATCCGCGTATGCTAAGTTTAGCATTGCAAGGGTTTGTTCTGTTACACGAAGTGCTTGTCCTAACCATCTATGCAAAATATATGAACACACAAGCAGATGACGGGCGAACAGGGTATGTTTCCAAGCCGGTTGGCAAACTGCTCAAACTTTGCAAATCCACAGATTTTAACTACAATTCTGAATTGCCGGTTACTTGCTAAGGTTTTGGGTACAGAAGGGGATCAACATTCTCGATTCAATCAAGCTTTACTCGAAGGCCCAGGAACAACTCGAAAACCAAGAACAAATCTTGCTGCTAATCAAAGACAAAGATCAAAGACAGCCTGACATGCAAATTTCAATGGCTTATAAAGGTTTGGCCATTCAAATGATTTGTTCTGACAATTTCAATTCAGCTTGCTGTTGGAAGGAAAATTAAAATTTTAAATGTAATATATTGAAAAAACTGCTTTACTTTGCTTAGGAAATTGCAAATTCTAACGGTTAAAAAATGTAAAAGATTTTGACATTTCTTAAAAGATAGTAACGATGTCTGAACAGATTAATGTGTCTGAGCAGTAAAGATGATCCAAAATTATTAAGAGAAGCAGCTGAAAAAAAGATTTTAAAATTGAACCGTGAACAGGCCCATAATAGCTAGATGTATACAATGTTGTGGCTTCTGCATATCAACAGAAGGAATCGTCCTAATAGCAATGCATAAACTTATGAATCTGCAGAACGCTGTGTACATTGCTCCAGCCTCGCAATAAATCAAACTTCAAACTGTTTCAGTATTTTAAAAGTACACAGAGACTTTTCCAGTATGTAAAGCCATAACACATCCCATCATACGTTTCACGCGGGCTTTCTTAGTCACGTGATTCAAAAAGGTTTATCTAAAAGGTAGTTCCGTAACATTCGTAAAAATACGCTTTCCTTATTGTCACAAGAATTCCACGGTGTAAACTATCATTGATACAAGGATTTTAAAATAGAAAAATTTTCAATTCAAGCAAAGATGAACATAAGGAAAGAGGTCTATAAACATTGAAACAGAAAGAAAAGTGAAAATTTCCCTTTTATAGCATGAAAAGAAAAAGACTAGAGATTTCAAGATAACTAAACCTAAGGCTAGGCTAATGAAATCTTGAATAAAAACACTAAAATGTTGATGACACAAACATGTACACATTTTTTATAAAAATATCGTTTAAATTAATATTGTAGCTCAAAATATTGTAGCGGAAAGACTTGCGATGGATAAGAAATTTATACTGGGAGCACACTGCTGCAGTTAGAGTTGAAAAATCAATTGAGTGATGGATTGAGATCAAGAGAGGTGTTCGGCAAGGCTGCGTTTTGTCGCCGGACTTGTTTTCGTTTTATAGTGAAATAATCTTGAGGGAAGTCGAAGATCTGCATGGAGTGGTTATAAATGGACGCAACATCAGATATGCAGATGATACTGTTTTGATTGCTGAGACAGAAAAAGATATCCAACATATTCTAGATAAAGTTATAAAAGAGAGCGAGTCCTTGGGGTTGGCATTGAATGTTAAGAAAACATACTTGATGACAGTATTAAAGAAGCAAAGTCCACCAACATGTACACTTAAAGCAAGTGGACTCGAAATAACACACGTCGAAAAATTCAACTACCTAGGAAGCTTTTTAACATCTGATGGCAAATCTGATTATGAAATAAAGCGAAGAATTGCATTAAGTAAAGAGGCATTCAACAAAAAGAGATATATTTTAACAAGTTCAAACATTACTATGTCAACGAGACAGAGAATCCTGAACTGTTAACCGTTTGGAGGCAACAGAAATGTGGTTTTTAAAAAGAATGCTGAAGATTTCATGGACTGATAAGATATCAAATGAGCGAGTACTCACAATTGCTAATGTGAAGCGAAAATTGTTACAGACCATCAAAAACAGGAAAATGACATTTTTGGGACATGTTATGCGGAGAAAAGGCATAGAGAACCTATCGCTAACCGGAAAAGTAAAAGGTAAAAGAGCAAGAGGCAGACAGAGAAAGACGTATTTAAGCAACATCAAAGAATGGACTAACAGGACAAATGGAAATGAACTCATTCAAGCATGTCAAGATAGAGAAATTTGGAGGAGCATGATCGTCAACACCTTAGCACATGACACATAAAGAAGAGAAAAAGAAGAGCTCAAAATTGCTATAATTTAACCAGGTCCAAAGAAGCGCAAAAAGTATGATATTTCAGTCTTGTTTTCATATACCATGGCATCAATTAAGAATAAATTAAGAATATTCCTGCTCTAATATCCAAAATTTTCAAGAGTATCGAAGCCCAGCAAAAATACAAGTATTCTTATAAAAGTGTGTAACAGGAAAGGAAGGTGATGTAATCATAAGAGTAATAGATCTAGGACAGATTTGTCGAATGAATTAAAGAGTACAAAGTTCTAGAGAGAAGGTCACAAAATCATAGAAGTACATTCAAAACACACAGTTGTTAGCTAAGTTCCTGATTAGGTAGGAGTTAACGTAACAGCGCTGGGATTTCATCCCTTCCTACCAAGGTGAAAATATTTCCGAATACACAGAATCTTAACGCCATAAGGCTGAATTCTCCACAATAAGAATGAAGAATTGACGTCTATTTCAGAAATCCCAGTTCTTTAGTGAAATACCCAAGTAATATGGGTGTAAGGCAGCAAAAAAGGAAAGAGATTACAAGATTGCGAGACAAAGTATGGGGACAGGTGTTCGAATATACAGAAAAAATAGAACATCCTCTAGAGTGAAGTTAACACCTAATAACAAGATATAATAATATAATATAATTTAACAATATAATTTTGCAAAATATAACGATTTCCTTTTTAAAAACGTTCCTTGAAGAATTGTAAGCAATTCCTTCACAGCGTTTGACTTGAACATGCTCATAGAAAATTTACTTTCAAGATACTCTCTTAAAGAAAAAATCGCTTTTTGAACACTATGCGATTTTTACGCTTCTCGAAATTGAATAAAAATTCAAAGTCGTTATAGGTTGAACCAAAACATTCACAAATCTACCTTAAAAAACAGCGGAAATAGGGTGTGATTGTGGCGCGGTACTTTGAATCCGTTTGTTTTCAATGATAATCTTCACGTTCTTAAGCCATGCAGTAGCAGGTTTTTCTGGACTTACAAAAACAGAATAAATTGCGATAAATTTTCCAGCACCATCATTTGTCTTTCCAATAGAAAAAGGACGTCATTTTCATATAGGCCATTAGGGTAAAAGTACTGTTTCTTCCTTCACTGCTGTGACAAGCAAAAGGCCTACTGGGACAAATATCCTGGTACTTGGACATTTAGCAATATGTTTTATGCAATAACGGAAAAATTGGTCCAGTCTCCATTTTTATACCGCATTGCCGTCTTTACCATACTTGGAATTCCAAACATCTTGAAAAGCTAACGTTATTAGAAAACCCTCTTCAGTGTACTCAAGTGAATTAATACCGTCCTCTTTTCGGTAAATATGAAGTTGTTAGAGAATTCTTATCCTCCTCTCGGGTGAACGTATTATAGAATCATTACTTATGTCTTTGGTTTACGGAAATTGTTAAAAAATTATTTCCACCATTTTTTTATGAATAGAACGTTACTAGAGAATCCAAAGCTTTTTCTTTCCGTTAAACAGAAAGTTACTAGAGAACTCATACCCTCCTTTAAACGTATTAGAGAATTCATACCCTCCTTTAAACGTATTAGAGAATTCATACCCTCCTTTAAACGTATTAGAGAATTCATACCCTCCTTTAAACGTATTAGAGAATTCATACCCTCCTTTAAACGTATTAGAGAATTCATACCCTCCTTTAAACGTATTAGAGAATTCATACCCTCCTTTAAACGTATTAGAGAATTCATACCCTCCTTTAAACGTATTAGAGAATTCATACCCTCTTTTAAACGTATTAGAGATTTCATACCCTCCTTTAAACGTATTAGAGAATTTATACCCTCCTTTAAACGTATTAGAGAATTCACACCCTTCTTTAAACGTATTAGAGAATTCATACCCTCCTTTAAACGTATTAGAGAACTCGTGTCCTCCTCTCTACGGTAAACCAAAAATTGATCAAGAACACTTACCCTTCCCTGATGACAGAACTTCTACTTCTTGGTTCGCCATGAGAGCTTTCTCTATTTCCTTGACTTGAGTATGATGAAGTCGCTTCTCGACTTGCACCTAAGCAAAAGTGATATAAACGTAACGAAAACAAAACGAAGAAATAACCACAAAAGAGGAAAAGAAAGGACATGGCACTTTTACGGCGAAAGCTATTTAAGTTATTGCTCTTGGTTGGGGAGTTACGAATACTTTTGGAAAGGCTGAAACATCTATTAGCTTAAAAATCTAATAGAATAATTTAACAATGTGTTTAGTTTACCTTGAGAAAATAGAAATGTTTAGAAAACTGATTTGATGAATGGGAATTCACGTGCTCTTTGCAGGGATACTTCAGAAGTGTTGACATCAAAACACTACCAGTAGAATAACGTCATGATCGTCATGACATAAATACTTTTATAACAATAAAAGGAAGCAAGCTGTCAAAAAATTCGATAACATTGCAAGATAATGGCTCTCTCGATGAAAATCAGAAGGCAATAACAGGACTAAAGCAAATCATAGAAGTTCATTTCACATTTCTTGCAACTTTTTCTCGTCAATAAAAATTATTTTTAAACACAGCCTTGAACCCTACCCTGGACTCTCAAAATATAATAAGTCATTAAAGTCAGAAATACAAAATAATAAAAAACTGCAAGAATACGTTATATACCCGGTCGATTTAATGCGAACGGCCCCTGTGAAAATATGGACTGCGACGTCACAATTTCTCCTCTACCCCTTCCGCGACCACGGCCTCTATCTCGGCCACGACGAGGTGTCCCTCCTCGATTTCGCTTCCCATCTCCTTGTTGTGACGAAGCTGTGGCCTGTGAAGATGAGAATCTGACTGGTCAGAGGTTAGGTTTTAAAGGGTAAACGATTTCAAGAGCCTTTCTCTGGGGCTCTTTCCCTACAAATCTTGAAATCCTGTTTTCTTCACAATTCGCTCCTTTTAAAATGCATTTTTTATACGCACTTTTTCTGCAGTTTTCTTTTCTTTGGTAAAATTCTCTTATTCTTTAAAGAAAAGCCTTCACCCCTACTATATTTAACTGATTTTAAAAAGGTACGAAAATTAAGTTGACGACTGAGAATTATTGACATTAAGTTCGAAAGAAAATGTGATTGGTCCAATGCAATACACATGATCCAATTTTAATAAAAACTTCAAGGAAAAGTGGAATCAACAAAGAAGCATTTGACAAAGCTATTTCAAACGTTAAAATTTTAACAAAAGACTTCTCTCAAAGACGGAAAATAACCATAGTCAGATCTTTTCAAAAAGCATACGATTTATAAGCATTCCAAATTCAAATTTTCAAATCAAAATACAAGCATATTTCTTTATCACATTTCCTTCCATTTTGATGAACTAGCAAAACTTTTAGTTTACAATAGTTCAGAAATACAAAGGTAAAAACAAAAAGACAGATAACTATTCGCTTTTATTCATGTTTTCGGTCACTGGTATTTTGAGCCAATGATTGGATGAAATCCCGTGTGTTAAACGACAAATTATATTTATGTACAAGTAACAACACTGAGGAGGCTGCGAAAATTCGAAGAACAAATTATGAACGTGTATGCGTGTTTTTAATTATGGTTTTAAACACAATAAAGATACCCAGTTACCTTAATGAGTTGTCGTTTTTATTCAATCCTATTAACAATTTTTTGCTCAATATTTAAAAAAACAATGCAGCCTTCTGGCAGCCATTTTTAGGCCCACTTATTCGTGTTACCGGCGCCGTTGAGTTTAAACACCAGTTGCTACAGGCAATAAAATCATTTCAAGAGCAGAGCGAAAACAGAAACTTACCTCTGGCTTATCATTGGAAGGCCTAAAACGAACAAAACACAGAAGAAATACTTGCAGAGTCAATTTGTGTTAAAGAACAGTCATCAAGAATTATAATGATCATGAATCACAACCACTAAATTGAATGTCAGGTCTTCAAGAACAGCTATATGCACAGAAAGCTATACGAAAACCAAACAACTTTAATAAGTTGCTAGCATACTTGAACTAGGAGCATATGTATGATGTTTTGACACAAAAATCAGAAAAATGATATCGACAAAACATCACTCAACCAAGAAAAAGTGAAATTCTAAAGTACTATATATAAAGGTATGGCTAAAAAAGGCGAGAATACTTTGAAGGTACCAACGCTACTTAAAGTCAGACCCATCAGATCAAAAGGTTGATAGAAACTAGAATAGATAAGGCAGGCCAGACTTGCTTTGGTTAGCAATCAGGGAATTCTATGGATGATAAATAGCCATTACATAAAGATTAAAACAAAGCAGTTTTCTGAGCGAACGCAATTCTCAGACTCTCAGATTACTTTAACATGCAAGAAACTGGCTCCATTTGGTAATATTTAGATGTTCAGGTTTGAGTTATGGTTCAAAATAGGCTTGCTTTTATACGAGATTGTTATTCTAGTTGATAACGGAGACTTTAGGCCCAATTTGAGCCATCCTGCACCAGCGTTTGACTAGAGCCAACTTTGGTCTGGTTCTGTTTAGGACCAGTTGTGTGTAAGCACTTCATAGCTGGCTCAATTTGGGACTAGAATTGTAACCAGCTGGAGCTAATTATTCGTGAAAAAGAGGTCTTGGTTTTTTCATTGTTTACACAAAAGATGTCTATGATTTTAGTGCTTCTAACAAAGCTGGGACGAAAATCTAAAGGGAAAAGGGCGTTAAAACAATTTATATCTTCTTAATTATCTCAAGAATAAAGCATTTAAATTAGAACCCTAAGAGCTCGGTCACTAATCTTACCGTTGCCTCCCTAATATACTGGTATTCAGCAATAGATTGATATCTTAGCAATACATATATATAAGGTGTGTTTAAGCAATTTCAACAGGACGAATTTATCGCTTTTTGGCAGGGGGGGGGGGGGGTTTAAGTGTTGTTAAGTCGATCTTGGTGGCCAGATATTGAGGGAAAATTGACAAAAACATTTCCACATAGAAGGCTGTTTATGTTTATTCACTTACTCTTCCTTGACTGTCCGTCGTGCTGGAATATTAGGAACGAAATTTCTCTAAAAGAAATGAATGAAAAATTCAAATTTCACCTGAATTTTTCACATTACATTTTATATCAATTACATTTGGAAACGATCAAATAATACTGAAACCAGTCTAATTTATACAGAAGGTTCCATCTATTCAAAGTGATATTAGTTCAGACATCTATTCTTACTCAAAGTTAATTCGTTACCTTAACTTATGCTAAAATAAATTTATAAATACCTTTGGGGTACTTCCAAGTGTCAAATCTCTTGCTGGCTTCAAGGAACCTAATCTTGTGAGACTAAAATACATAGGAAATAACAAAATCTAAATTCCTTGAAAAACTCAAATTAATTAATTGCAATATTCTTAATATTATCAGATTTTCTGACGATGCACTAAAGACTCTTTGCATGTTTTAGGCTAATTTTATAGATAAAGTATGGATTGTTTCGTGAAACTCAAATGAAATTAATTAAGACAGACCCTGAAAAACGAAAAGAAGGATATGTTTTATTAAACTTGCATTCGAACACAACAGTACAGTCATTCAACTCTAGCTTGATAGTGCTATAAGTTGTTTTGACCAATGGAGACACAAAGAAAAACTCGAAGTCCCACAATCTATAGAATGCATTTCAAAAAGGAGAAATGAAAGAAATATCAAATTTAAGCATACATATTACAATGACTAGGATAAAAAGTGCATCTTAACATTAATTTTAACTTTACTTGATGGTTAACTGACTTAATACCGAATTTGAGCGAACATATTACTGTTGTTTAGATAATAAAATGCATTTGCTGTGACTCCAACTTAGATTAGTAGGACAGAAACATATACAGTATGATATTATAAATAAGTTTTCTTAGAATTACTCAAAGAAGACACAATAATAAAAGACATAAAATCGCCAAGTTAAAGAATCATCTACACACCCTGAGCCACTCGGTGATCTTCCTCTTCCACTTATACCTGAACGAAAAAATTATTAACTTCTAAAAACATTACAATGGAATGGGAAAAGCTTCTGCAATTACTCTGCTAAGTCTACCAAAGGAGGAAATCTTGATTTTCATCACTAAAATTTCCTTTACTGTATTGCAGGATGGCTAGTAAAAAGGCATGTTAAAGAAACATTTTAGATAAAACAACATATGTAAAAATTCACTAAGTTTGGACCCCAAGTTTTATACTCCTCTTTCTAATAATAAAAATAATAATAACAATAATAATGATAATTTTAATAATAATAATCTTTCATATTTATACAGGTTAGTTTGTTCAGTAAGTAAATTACTGTTATCAAAGACCTGTATGTTGCAAAGTAAAGTTTACAAACGTAAAGGTTAAAAATTTACACAGATAAAATCTGAAAAATTTACAAGATTAAATTACAATCGAGAAAATGACTAAAAATCGAAGTTTGTGTCCTTGCTGGATGCTTTGAATCTCAAAAATGATGCTTCAATTTGCAAGTTATTGGGTAGGTTATTGAAAATCTTTGCTCCCTGGAACAAGAAGGTTTTACGCCCAGTTTCTGTAGGCTTTATTATATTCAGTTAATGACTATGCAAGCTTTGGGGATGACTCAGTGGTTAGCATTGCGGGCTACAAATTCAAGAGTCTGGGGATCGAGTCACTGACATGAGCAATCTTTCACTTGGAATGAGGAGAGACACCATTTTCCTGCAATTCCTGGCATAGAAATCATGAGGTGTGGTCACATTGAGAGGAAGGACCAGGGCATTGGTTGATAAGCCTGAATATCCTAAAAACTTCCTTCGGATGCTACATGGAAATAAATACTTAACAAATACTTTAAGTATTTGGGGTAAAAAACATCGCTTTCCTTTTGATATAAAACAATTCTGCACTCTGTTGACTTTGCAGGTATAAGGAGACAAAACAGCTTTCTTAGCTTGTCAATGTGTCAATGTCATTCTGTGAGCTAGTAGTCTGAAAATTACTGTTTAAAAGGCGCTTGAGCTGCTTGATGCCGTAAAGACAGAGTTGGACAAACTTTAGTGTAAAGGTCTGGATGGTTGTAAGTTGCTACTCCAAGTTTCACACTAAATATTGTCATCAGCAACATTTGATTATTGAAATATTCAGCTCTGTTTTAAAATGACAGGCTAATAAGTCTATTCATATCTAGGCACAGTGGCTTTTTGGCATTTACATAATTAAAAGTGCAAAAAATTCAACAATAAAAAACTTACCCAATCTATTTAATGAAGCTCCAAGCTTTAGGTTAGCTAATTTTTTTCCATCAGCCATTTTATAATTTTCTCAGGCACCTCTAGAGCATTTAACACTAAACATAAAACATGAATAATTTTGATTTGATGAATTAAGGATAGTAAAGATAAAATATGATCAGCATTTTAATAATTTTGGTTATTCCAGAGATTCTAAAAATATATTTATAATGAGTAATGAGTAAGCACACTTACAATTAAAGATTGTTGCTTCTAATTTTTATTATAATCTTTGATCTGAAAGTGCCTGAATAAAACTATTTTTTAGAAATGTGTACTTCAAGCAAGAAACAGGGCTTCAAAATAGATAATTCACAAAAAAAATCTTCAAGTTTTGGCAAAACAGTTCATATGTTGGGGCTTCAATTATACATTAAAATCGTTTTTTCTTATCACAAATTTAGAAAAAATGATAACATATGTATCATTGATAGATTTGGCCAACTTAACCTTGTAGCTTCTCAAAATCAAGATTAGATTAGACAACAATTATAATTCCCATTTAGGAACCTGAAATATTTTGAAAGGTAGGTACAACATCTGTTACATTGTATTTTTTGCAGAACACAACTCTACTAATCACAGCTGTTTGCCACAACAGTCAATTTAGAAAGGCTGTTTTCAAACTTTGCTATCAGGTTATGCAATTCTTTAAAACTCTAAAAGATATTGCAAAACAAAAATATATATGAATTATTAATTAGAGTCTGGATTCTAAAAAGCAGTTTCAGTGATAAAGGCCCTTTTTACATTAAGCAAATATGCTTGTGCAATGCAAATGGATGAGAGTTTACAGATGCCTGTCAAACAGTTCACAAGAAAAATCTATCATTGGTCTTGGCTACGGTTAATGTGGTGGATTGATCAGTTTGAACTATGAGAATAATCACACCAGCAAAAAGCTGCAGTGATAGGTTTCGTTTGCAAAACATGTGTAACCTCTACTGGCTTTCTGCCAACAGATTTTCCTAGTTGAAAACTGTCTTAAAAATTTTCCTCTTGCTTCCTTAAAAATTTTTGGACTTGAACTTCTCACTTGCCAAACAACCTGACAACAGAATCCCACATGAGACAGTGGTCCACATCAGGGAACAAAGGGTCGGTTATCCTTTAGTCTAGAAACAAAATACTACAAAAAAAGCAAACAGCATTGATGTGTATTTTTATCTCAGAAAAAAGGGCTTTATGTTTTTTGGCCCCAGTAAACAACAGGATGAAATGGTCACATAAACAAATTCTCTGTAAACGATTTTTTGGTGGAACAAAAGCAAATATGGCATTGAAAAAAGCAAACATTTTGAAACATACTAAAGCTATTCATCTGACACTCTCCACGGTATAAAATGTCTGAATATTGACCGAAAACTCTAGGCTAGAAAATGGATATACCTAGTTGAGATGTTAATCAGAAACATGAGCAAATAATTGTAACAGTTGCCCAATCAGTACTGCTTGACTATAGGAAATATTCCCAATTTGGTCCAAGGGGAAAACGAACGCCTTCTGGCTACACAATAGAGGATTTCTCATTTTAATGTACACTTACATTGGAAAACTATTGCACTGGTTTGATGAACAAGTAATGGCGACAACTTTGTAAACAACATGGTCATCAAAATTTGAACCACTTTCATGAGACCATTAGGGGTCAGGTCACAGTTAAAACCAATGAAACAAAACCCTAAGCCACAGGCAAGACTTTCAATTTATAACTTGAAAAATTACATTTTGAGAGGTAAAAAATTTCAACTTTTTTGGGCAGTCTCAAAGCTTTGAAACCTTTGTGAGACTTGCTAGAACTCAATCAATTTTTGGGCAACTGTACCTGAGGTGCAGGCTGTTGGCACAGCACAGCTGTTATGCAGTATTGTTTACATGGAAGTGGACAACAAACTGAAAAACCGCATTTGAGAAAATCAACATTTTTGCATATAATTTCTAGTTAAATTTTTTTTGCAAATTTTAAGGCAATATTATACCCGAATAGAGGTATCTTTAAGCTACTTATCTGTTTGCAATTTATCTCAATGAATCTGTTTCAATGAATCCAAGAAAAAATTTAGTGTAACTCCCACTTTTGTGAATTTTTTATAAAAGACGTTATTTAGGCCATGAGCAGAGCTTACAATTTTCTCTGGTACTCCTAAACAAAAAGAGAGAATTATACCAATCTTTCTGCATTAATTAGGTTGGTAATGAGGCTACACCAAAACTGTTGGCCATAAACAAGCAACTTTTGTGAAGTTACAGAAAATCACATTTTAAAACTTTGTCATGCAAAGGTGTGATGAAGATCCAAGAATTTTCTCTATGGCCATCGATCAAGTTTTGTAGAAACTATTCAAAAGATTCTTATTAGCAGTTTTATTTCTTTAAGCCCTGTCTGACAGAAGTGCCATTGATTTTTCCACTAATCACTACTGGAGACATTTCCATTTTCTGACCATGTTTTCAAGCCTGTGCAAAGGGTTTCTTTACCTGAACATTTACATACTGCTTTGGAAACAGTACTTTTCCAATATAAAAAACTGTTATGTCTGGATTGTGTTATTTGTTGAACTTTGCTTCTAGAAACTATGATAAGTGACGTTTTGAACTAAATGCAGACCCCTGACTCGTACTCGATTCTGTTGTCACACTGTTCTGAAAATTGCAAATTGGCCTTCAAAAATTTATCACAACACAAGAGAAATTCAGAATTAAATGAATAATTCAGGGGTGTTTTCTTTTTGCATCATCATTAAGGGTTTTAAAAAAATTGCAAGTAGTTACAGGGAGGTATGAATGCAGCCTTACTAGAATTGACTTCTGTGGCAGCTGCTGCGACACCTAAGATCTTGTGAGAATCTGTCATTCTCTGCAAACTAGATGCATATTAAAATGTTTTTTAATTTTTGAAAGCAGCCAAGGCAAAATTGTTGAAAAAATAATGTTTATCAAAATGCCTGAACATAAGCAATTTAGTGATTTTAATTTTCTATGGAAATGACATTCAGCTCTTCACCTGTACTGTCCGGATTGCAGTGTGCACTTGTGCAGCACTTTTCAACAAGACCTCTGATGGTGTGCAAGACCAATATTTCAATAATTTAGAAATCTCAGATGTACACTTCCTATAATCCGAAGTATAACTGGGTGCACTATAATGTGCCCAATCTAAGCTGAAATTTTATAGATTTGCAGTGACTGTCATTAAAAATTACCTGAAATTGATAAATAGCTTTGTGGTCTTTGTAATTACTTCAATACTTCAAAACCGGCATGACACACTCTAGACAGGAAAATATATCATCCGCCATGTTTTCAAACACATTTTTAATTCAATCGGAGTTGAGTTGAATTACTTGTGAACCCAAACGAGTCTGATACATAATGCTAGGAAATTCGATCTTTCTTGCTTCAGGGAGGAGTTGCATTGCACATGATTCAAAGAAGTTAGTTTCTAGTTTAGTTACATCAAGTATGCTTTCGGCACTCCGTATAACATTCAGCCCATATTTTATGCTTAATTTGATAGCATGTTTAGCTTATATTGGCTCGAAGTATATTCCATGGGTTTGCAGACATGCTTATGGAACTGGAGAGAAGTGTGCTCTTGACTGGCGTGATCAAGAAATTTTGATGTTTCTTTGCTTCGTAATTGTGATCAAAAACAGAAGATGGAAGCCAAGTCAATGGACTGAGTACATGGCAAATGTCTTCATGCTAGTCAAAGGTACCAATATACTATTGTTCTTCAGGAAAAATACCGCCTTGGGTATTGTATACATCATTATTTGCCTGATTCTTTTCTTACTTGTCCCGGAACCGAAGTACAAAGGGCCTGAAGAAGTCCGGTATTTTAGAGGGCAAGCTTTGGAAGAAGAGATAGCACAAAATAAAGGGACAATTTACCTGATCGAATTTTATGCCTCGTGGTCGTCAGCGTGCAACCATTTTACTCCAGTGTTTGCTGAAATATCCCTGAATTACAACCATGAATATCTAAAGTTTGGCAAGCTCGATGTTGGCCGTTATCCTATTGTAGCAGAAAGATACAACATTGATACAACAGTCAGATCCAAGCAACTTCCAACACTGATATTGTTTGTTAATGGAGAAGAAAAGTTAAGGAGGCCAGCTGCTGGAGAGAGTCAGATCTCCTGGTATTATCGGTTTACTAAGGAGAACATCATTCAAGATTTCTGCTTAAATGAACATTATAGTGCTTCTAAAGAAAAAGCAAAGAGAAAGGGGATTACTAGCGAGGAGAAGCCTAAAAAGGACTAACAATTATCAATACATAAAGTGTGTTCATGTCTTAATATAAAATGTTTTTCCTTTTTGAATTTGTAGCATGAAGCAAAGTAAAATGCTAAGAAATGCTGACTGCCTGATGCTTATACTGTATTTACCTTGGGATACAAGGCTGTAATGCTGGATAAAACCAGATATTTTATGCTAGTGTTTAAACTTTTTAGTAAATTTTTGGTTTAAAGTTATTGCTGATGTTTACCTTTGCTTATATTTAAAATGCATTTTCACATATAGTTGTAGTATGTTATACAAATTTGCATTATAACTTTACCTGTGCTACAGTTTTTGCATCTTTAAGCTGCCCATTCAACTGTTTGAAGGCTGTAAAGTATTCATTTGATACAAATTGCTTTCAAGAGCCATAAACACTGCTAATAATTGTACATATTAAAGCAATCCCCCCAGATCACCATGGCAATTTTCAAATGCAGAGCAGTTTTTTGGGGAGAGTTAAAAAGAGTATATTTTCTAGAAGTAACTATGAAATATGCAAACATTTTGAAACCCACTAAAGCTTTTTGTCTGAGTATGAAATGTCAGAACATATGTTGAAAACTCTAGGAATATTCTGCTATTTGGCACCATTTACTATAAAACATAGATTGTGATTCCCTTTCAAAATTCCTAGACATATTAAGTGTTCTTACCTTCAGACAATCACTTGATGTTGACATTTAAATTTTATTTTGATCAATTTATCAAGAACGTTGTAGTGGGCTCAATATTGATGTGTTATAAAACAAAAATACAAGCTAGATTCTTTCCTTAGTTTTAGTTCAAAAAGTATGTCCAAAATGGATATTGATCCCTGTTTATAAAACCTGGTACATTCAATTTCATCAAATGCCAACTAGGCGAATCTCTTTTCAAAGGTAGCAGTATATGTCTCCATCCATCCCGGTCCTTCGTCTTTCTCCACAGCTCGGCTTCAGTTTTTTCACTCAAATCCTTCAGATTCTTTCCCCATCCTCGACTTCCCTCGATTATTCCTTTCGATAGTGCAAAGAAATATGGGAAGTTTTGAGTGCTACAGTGGAAACCCGTATAAAAGAACCTAGGTTTTTTTCTAGCAGCCTAAATAGGTTCTTAATTAACAGGCTAATTAAAAGGTTCTTAACAAGGTTCTTATATATGTACAGGCCTTGTACACGTTAACAATGTTTATCACCCCAAGAATCCTAACGGATACACTTTAACCAGATTTCATGCTAATTTCAACCAATCAAACGAATTTGTGTTGTTAGATCGTCCCATTAGAATGTAACATACCATAACCTGATTTACTATAAGATGGTTTAATTTGCTAGTGTGAATAGAGTGTTAAAATACCACTCTAAAAACCCTCTTCTCTTATATATATATAGAGTGCGAAGCTCACTGCACATGCGCTGTTTGAGCACTCTGGCAGGGTCCCACAACCAATCCATTAAACTGCCTTGTTGCTCTGACAGCATAGCTCGGGTTGTGTTTCAGACAAGCTCTGTGCTGCACTGATGAGCCCACCAAGGGCGAAACAGTACTGTCTGCAGATTGAGTATATATATAAATATATATCATAGATTGAAGAAAGGAAAACTACATGGTTTATCTCTACAAGCCTGTTTCGTGAGTAACTCACTCTTCAGGAGATGTTGATATACCGGGTTGGCTTTTATAAATATATATATATATACTTGCAATATAGATTTAATCGCAGAAATAACACATTGTTGGTACCGGTTTCATCTTATCGTGCAGAATCTTCAGCCAAGTTGTATATATATATATATATACCTATATATATATGAAAGAACCCTTTCAGATTTCAGCCTCCTGGGGGTTCTTAATCATGGGGTTTGAAAGATTAAATTTCAGTCTCAAGGTTCTTATAAAAACAGGTTCTTTTATGTGGGTTTCTACTATACATAGATCGAATTCAATTGTTTTTCCAAAGGTCTTCTTGCTTTACACTACTATTATGTTAATAAATCAGGTATATAACTTAACAACTATGGATATCACCTAACGACTATGATATCATATAGTCATTATTCTTAAACAATGCTGAAAAAGTCATTATTCACATAAGTTGATTTATAATCAAGAAATCTCGTTATCAAAAATCTACGAAAATCGCAAAAGAAGTTACACCACAACAGAAAACATAATTTAGAAATATTTGGGAAATTCTTACTATTTTCGAATGGTTGGCTTTTCTACAAAGATTTTTAGGGCAATGTTTGTTGGTTTCCAAGCTACTGCTCTAAGTTGATGATATAAAATAAGATACAGAAGATATAAACTATTCTTATACTTATCTAGACGGGTTGGCTTATAGGGGTCTTTGATAAGAAAATGAATGAGAATGTTTACTTGTCATAGAATGGCTTATCCGTTTACCAAGAGCAGGTGTTATCGGTGAAGCTTAGCTGTTTACGCTGAAAATCTGTAGGGTTACCAATAACATCTTTTGAATTGCTAAATATTATTGTTATCATTTATTGATACTTCACCATTTTGGAAGCTAAGATGAATGTCATTTTCATTCTGTCGTTTCTTAAGATCAACTTCACGAAGCTCAACACACCCGTCTTTGTTATTGTCATTCGAGTTTGATATGCGTAGTGACTTAGCCGCCCACTGCATCGTTGCTCTCACTGCATTGAAGTCATCAATAGCGTTTACAACAGAACATATAAAACAAGAGACAAAACTTAGTCCAATGACGTTATAGAACATATACACAATGCCATAAAATGCCTTGTCACCAGAAAGATCCGGTATCAGGTCGCCAAAGCCAACTGTGCTCAACGATATGAAACAGAAGTATATACCTGTAATAAAAAAATATGTTATAAAAATATATGTTACAAAATTGAAGCCCTGAGTCAGAGAGAGTGGTTTTTGGTGGATCCAAAAAGCATTATTTAGTTCTGGCAGTTGAACAGATAACCAGTACGACGACAAAAAGAAATCTTGTTAGCAGTATTCAAGTTTCTACTTCAATTGATGCAACAATCTATATGACGGAAATATGTATAGTGTAGTGTCAACAACCTCGCAATTAAGATGACCTATTTTATCAAAATAAAACAATCACTCTGATATTGATAACTTGATTAGAATTGTCGAAAGCAGAAGCCTATTTCAACCTTTTCAAACCCTTTAATGTCCATTAGGAATTGCCCTTTATTACTTCTTAAAGCAAACGCATTATATTTTACGTGCAAAGATGAACTTTTTAATGGAGTACCAAAATGTAACGTTATCAAAAACTTTTTACGATTTACGAACTATTTACTTTTGATTACATAACCTAAAAACACCATAAAATACATCATAAGCCTATTGTAAACTCTTAACTGTTGACTGAAGGGACATAATTAGCCTGCGATCAGGTCTCCGTCCGAGCCTGATCTCAGGCTAGGACATTGTGCCTTTAAGAAACATTATTTCCAAAAGAAATAAAATTGTTATATTTTGCCTTACTGTGCAATGTGCGTCATGCACTATCACTTTAAGTATAATTCATTTTCTAAGAAATAAATTGAAAGAGACATAAACATGAATGTTCTTACCCTGAAAATAAGTCCAGTTAAACGGAAAGGCCCCAAGTGCACCTGTGAAAATTATTATCATCATTTCAAAGAAAGCCACAAGAACAATCTTTGTGTTCTTCCACTTCTGTTCTTCCGGGCTCAATTTGTTGCAAGAGCATAATCCTAGCAATCGTTTATTCGCGTAGAGGATGCATTCTCCAAAATGCTTCAAGAATAGAGCATACAGTGGAATACCTATAAGTGCAGTGATGATTGCCATCAGCCGTCCTTTGAACGTAATTGGCACAATGTGGCCGGTACCTGTAACACAAGACAACAACTCGTGTTATTTCCTAGTCAATAATTGTTTCTGGCCTTTTAGAAATTCCCAAATATCACACCATCCACAAATAATTATACTATGTTATATTTTAATTTTTATTTTCAGATATAATCTACTCAGTATTTACATAATTTAAATATTACAGAATGATTTATCGCCATTGGTCAAGGAACCAATCAAATGCGCCAGGACTCCTCTCACGTTATTTCCCGTCCGCAAGTGGACCGCTCCTTTAGTCATTTCTGACATTTTTCTTCAAATATATCATTTATTACTGGGTAGTTTGCAAGTGTTTTTGTAACGAAGTGATTAACTCTATGTAACGCAAAATTTTCATAGAAAGATGACATCGACTTATTTTCTCTTTATTTAGCTCATGATGTTCCTATAACTTCTCATCTTAACTTCAAATTTCCATATCCTATATCCTAGCCAAACATCTGATTTTCGAGTTATGGATCTGAAACACAGGCAGCTATGTCCATGGGGCGACCTTTTCACACATCACACAGCTCTAAGCCTCTCAAATCTCCACACTTTATTCTACGTCAAAATCTTACTTAAGTGGCTGAAAGCAGACAGTGTAAAAACCTACTTTGGAATGATTAGGCAATCAAAAAACCCACACATTTTTATCCAATATTTCCGTCAAAGTGGAATTTTCCTGATAGGCTAGCAACCCACACCCTCCTCATTAGAAAATGTCACTTCGACTGTAGCCATTAGGCTGATTTTGTGTGAATCCGAATCCGTCAACTTTGCTGTTTGCTTCACAGCTCATTACTAACAAAAAATCTTAGCTTTTCTTTTATTTCATTGCTGTGAAATAGAAAGTGATTTTCTTGAAAATGTATTTGCTTTTATCTGGAAAATATTTGAATATATGATGCATTTTACCTGGGAACAAGAAACAGAATGAGATGACATGCAATGATTTAAGACTTTTACTGCCTGCCTTTGCTGAACAAAAGGAAGGACTGTTTTCATTCGCTTAAGGGGAATCTGTCTCGTTGTGGATTAGTCAACGAGAACAATAGCTGGAACAATAGCCTAAACACGATTCCAGCGCTCTGCCATATTTTTTACAATGCGATACGTAAAGGGAGACTGGAAACAATAAAAAATCCCTTTGTTCTTATAATCAATCAACGTCGTGACAGATGGGCTTTAACTTGTCAATCAAATCTATAGTATTATTTCAAGCATTCTTTTTTTAATTATCTATAGAATTATCCCAGATTGTGCAAAACTCTATAATGACGACATGTTTCAAAAAATTGGCTGAGCCCGGCCGTCTTTCCATCTAGCAGTTTTGGAATCGATCTACATACAAACGAAAAAGCCGCTATTTTGTAGACAGAAGGAGTTCGTTTTCTCTCTTGGACTCCAGTGGTAATTTTTCTTTAGGCACACGGCTCTGATTGGACAACTATACCAGTCTTGTGCTTGCGTTTTTCTGAATGGCCTATTTCGATCCACAACCGGGTATATATTTTTCATCGTGTTCTTTTAGACCCTTATTCTAACGTTTAATGCTCTGAGGAGTTTCAGACAGAAAAGTTTTTAGCCAATATGTTATAAAATGTTTGCTTTTTCAAAGCCATTATTAATTACTTTTACTGCAAAATGTTACAGAAAATTGCAATAATCATAAGATATATTTTAAATCTTCACTGAAATGTAGTCTGTTTCACTTAAAATTGGTCTCCAAGAAAACATAGATAAGTGCTAGAACATAGATTAAGTCACAAATTCTGCATCTCTGAGGTCTGTTTCCCTTTTTGCTTATAGTTACTTATTCACTCAATCTGTCGAAGCCTTTTGTGTGTAGAATAATCATGAAAAAAATTCCGCTAAAAGGGCCGTAATATTGATATCAACTACCTGTAAGCTGGTAAATCCTTTTAAAAGTTTTCCTTAAACAGGTATTTACAAGGTGGTTGATAATGCTGCTAAGATTCAAATTTTAGTAAATTTGTTATCTCAGCTTAATGATTTAAAGACTAAGTGAAAAGTGACACACTTAACTTCAAAGGGAATCCTTTATCGGATAACAGGTTCGTTGGATGAACGCTCTAAACTAGCCTAGAAAACATTTATCATGCTGTATAGAAAATACGGTGAAAATAGCATTACGAATTCATTATTCAGGAACAATCGTCAAAGAAGTACTTTTCACAAGTACTTTTCAGAATCAGACGCTTCGCAAATACAGGGTCTCCGACGCAAGTTTGCAACAAACTCTTGTTTTACAAAGCAGTGGGGGGAGGGAGGCCAAAACCCCCGGCCCTCTGTGATCGGAGGCCCTGGTTAACCTGTTAAATGAAATTTCTACATTGGCCGAGAATAACAAGCTGTTATTAAGTACAGATCTGCTAAGTGTAATTTAACAAACTCACCTATGAATAAATCATATTTCTGTTAGACTTTCACAAAGTTTATTTTTTTTATAAATCCATAGAAAGATGTATTCATACTGCGAGTGTGAATCCGAGTTGTGAAGGGAATATATTACCGCGAAGGTGAAATGATAAAAAGAAACTCTAAGAATTTTCTTCCATTTCACCTTCACAGTCACATAACTCCCACGCTAATCGGATTCGTAAAGAAGTATGAATACATTTGAATGCTATAGACTATAGGTAGAGACTAAAGCGAGGTATGAATAGCTACCGACTTTAGGAAAGTCTAGATTCATGTTGACACCAGGTTTAATCCAGTCTAAAGTCAATTAGGCACCTTCAACTTTACAGTTAAAGCGATAATACTTAATCCAGTAACAAGTCTTACAATTAGCTCTAATTTTCATCAAAATATACGAAAACCTGTGCAAAACTTTCATGATATTCAAATAAGATTCATTCCAAAAACATAAATGCGATTTTGGATTGTGCTTCTACGCGAAAATCTGATTTGAGGGATGCATTGCTTCTTTTTGAAAATTAGTTCTTAGCGAAAATGCTATGTATTAGTATGATAGTGTTTAGCTCTTTGCTCAACAGCTAGCTAACAGCTTTGCTGCATCTGGTAAAGTGAAGGATGCCAGAAAAGCGTCAAAATAACTTCTAATTTCAAAGGGCAATTTGAAAGATTTTCAATTTTGTAACAACGCTTCCCAAACTTGGTAAGCGGCACTGATTGGTCAACCTCAACAGTCATGTGCTCGTGTTTCTGATTGGCCTATTTCGATCCTCAACTGGGTATATATATTTCCTAACGTAGAGTTTTTGATCTATGTTCTGACGTTTTAAACTCTGAAGAGTCTCAGACGAAAAGCTTTAGTTTACTAAATGTTTGCTTTTTTCAAAGCCATTGTCAAGTTTTGTACCACCAAAAGATTTTTTGCTTCCCAAACTATTACGTCACTTGAGTGGTGGAGGACCGGGAAAGGGGAGGTGGGTGATAACAGTCTTCAAATGATTTTAAAAAGTACTTGGAGTGATACACTATGTCATAGTACCTGCAAAACAATCTTTAATCTCCCGTCTGAGCCCGCATTACACTCTTTTTCTATTATAAGAATGCTGTTTACAAGAATATTCTGGCTCAGAACCATCCAATTTTTAGATGCAAATTCAAAGAATATTATAAGAATTTTGCTCAGCCTTAGCTCACATATTTGTTTCTCATTTTTCAACCGTGCCTCTTTTTGGATGTTTTTCACCGAACTGAAATATCTCTATTTTCCAAAAGCCATTTCATATTCTCCTAAAACCATTTCAGATAAAAAAGATTACTTTAAGAATCTATTTGGGCACAAAAGAAAAAAATATCTAAAGAATATCGAGGCTTGAAGAATCTTTAACTATTCTTATTGAAATAAGTGTGCATGAAATAAGTGTAAATCAGAGGTTTGTGTTTATCGTTATGCTCAGGTAAGCTTAGCGGACGAAACGAGGCTGTTGCAACTTAAACGAGGTCAAATCAACTAGAAACTAGAACTTCTCTATTCAAATATTGAACAGTATATTTATATTTATATTGCGACCTTATAAGGCAATCATGAAAGAAACGTCAGCAATAAAAGGGCTATAATGTTTTCTACAACAAAGTAATACAGCAATCAGCAATAGTGATATGGCTCGATTCCTTTTAGAAACTACCTGCATATTGTTGTTCAAGTCTTGATTTTGTATCTACAATGCTAATGTGGATTAAGTTGCATGTCCTTCTTTATTAATCCAGTGCAATCTAATTGTTGTTTTTAATTAGACGCATTTTTATTGTAGAAGAGAGAGTGATGTGGTTTAATCCTTGCCAGCATGATAGTTCAAAAGATCAAGAATCTTAGGATCGAGATTCAAAGAAGTAATTCGGATCGCAGCGAGAGAACAAAACCGTGTTGGAGGATGCCTTGTTATAAATAGATCATTTAACATTTTAGAAAACACAGGGAGTTTTTTTAGATGTAAGCATAAAACGTGACTATCTTCATACTTGAAGGTTTTTGGCTAGGTGCAAGAATGATACAAGACCTGACTTAAAGAACTCTTCACTTGACTACAACATTGATTTCAACAAAATACGCCCATATTAAAGTAATATTCGCAGTCCAATCTTTTCAAGCAAAGTTTCATCGAGAAATTTAGGTATTAGTCTAGAGAAATATGGAAACGTTGCTTCCTAATGCTGTTAGTAACGACAACAAGGTTGACTGCAACTGTGGGCATCGAGGGATTTGCGCTAAAGGCTCGTAACAAAATATCGACTTATGTGTAACTTAAATATTGCCAGGTCAAAGAGACATTTATGCTGCTTAAGTTTCGTTCTGTACTTGCATATTTGCTTGCCTCAAAATAATCCCATAAGCTGAACCGATCAGTGGAAAAAACCAATAAAAAACTGGTGAGGCGATAAAAAACTAAAACGAAAGAAAGCCGAAACGAGAGGCAACCGAAACGACAGGCAGCCGAAACGATAGGCAGCTATATATGGCAAAGGTATCGCAAGAGAATAATGTTCTAAAAACATAATTGCTTTTCACAAGACATTGTACCTTATAGTATTAAATTTTTGGAGATGCTTGAAAACGAACTAAACTTGAAAACAGGCTAATTGGGCTTGGAAAGATCTACCACATGCAATTATAATCCTGATGTCTTTAGCAATACAAGCAGAGCATTCATATTGCAAACGATTTGCCAGGCTAAAAAAATTATCTTGTTTAATAGAATATTCATTGTTTTTAACTTGTATCTCGAAAAGACCTGTTTAATGCATAAATCATTTGTTTTTTTTAATAGACAATGAAAGCAAATATAAAAACGGTCAGGTCACTGCTTTGAACGGAAAAGTAAAAATTCTGCGGACATCACCAAACGTGTTTATAAGACATGTCTTTTATAAGTCATTCGCGCTTGCTGATATTTCTTGATTTTCCAATCAAGCTATTATGATTTACTTGAATATCTTCCCGTGAAAGCAACATTCTCATTTACATAAAACGCCCAGTAAATTCATTTCTCGATTAACACAAGAAAGCAAAGAAATGTTTCTTACCTACTGTGGTGAATAGAATAGTTACGAACCAAAACGCTTTGGAGAAGCTTTTCCATGAATCCGTCATATAAACAGCCCTATCTGCATTAGCTGCTGCAATAATGTTTTTTATGAGCTCCATTGATTGATTAGCCGTGTAATTAAAACGTCTTGATAAATTCGCAGCAATGCTTTTCAAATTTGGCCTTTCTTCTTTTGCTTCCACATACTCGATTTGCTGGAATATATAGGCACAGATCGCAATGTAAACATGCAGAACTACAAGAAGTATCAAAGTCTTTCGTCCATCGTGTGAACTAACAGGCAGATTGTCACTGTATGTCCTTCCAATACCACGCTTTCGTTTTCTCCAAAATAACAGCATGTTTATCTGTCACCTCCTCTGAGCTCGCTGTAAAATCTATAACGCTCTGTATGCAAATTACTAATAGATATCCCTGTACAATTTGAAGACAAGGTTTATCGTGCACAAAGAAGATGGTGCTACCTTTTTGCCGGATGTACTCGTATTAGTTCAGAGCTCGTGGTAAAGAACTCTGTAGTGTAATGTTTTATTAATGAAAGGGGATTCCCTGTTGCTAGAGTCTGCAAGTATCTTTCAATGAGGTATTGCCCTTCCCACTCAATGGCCGGTTTTTTATGGTAGAATGCCCGTAACGCTAATAGGGCATATGACACTAGCCGTTCTGGTTATTTAAGCTGTTTCATAGTCCGTTTTCAGTGCAATGATCATTGCCATATTTTCAGAGCTGCTAAAAGCCACTGTTCTATTTTACATTCCTGAGTAGACGTGAATCTTCAAATCCACAACTTAAATTTCGGTTAAGGTTATATATTACTTCATTCAACGGCTGAAGTATTTTAGAATGGTTATATAAGCATAGGAAGTATTTTTGATTATCAACACATTTCTAAAATTGCAGTTACAAAAAGCAAGCTGAGACCTATAGCCATAGTGAGAGCGGAAATCATGTTTCTTTAACATTTGATATCTATTGAGAACCTTATAAGAACCTACTGAGAATCAAAGTTTTGCAAGGTTTATGCTTCATACAATAAATCCTTGAAATGAAGATTCTAAGAAATAGAACTTACAAGCAGTGTTTATTTAACAAAGCATCTTGTGTTTAGCATTGTTATGTATATAGTTGGCTTTAAATAGTTTTTAATATCTAGTACTGCACGTTACCGACTTAAAAGAAAGTAAAAAAATAATATACTATAGCCTTATTAATCATGAAGGGGCATCGTCAAACTAACCATCTTCTACTAAGAGCATGGGTGTAGGAAACATAGGGGCTGGAAGGGTACAGCCCCTTAATAAGGCAAAATTCATCTCGTTCCAGGCCCAATTCAAGCAGTTCTGTCACTATAAAGCAATAATTTTTGGGCAACATGAATGCTAAGGCCCTCTCCCCCAAACGTGCAGCATTCACTACGCCCATTACAAAGAGACACCCCTATAGACAGGTAATTCCAACCGAATCTATAATCAAATTCAAAAGAAAACTTTTTGATAAAAGCCTTATGCAAGTACCTTTGACCCTGAAAATTTTGATGTTGCAAACTGCTACTTTAGAAAATAGGGATTAACACTGGCATAGGTTCTATGTCATTTTTAAGGTTCTATGTCATTTAAAAAAGATAAAGTCATAAATTGCCAGTAAGACAAATAAATAGAACTGATAATAGAAAGAATTAGAAAACAATTATAGTAAATATCTCAATAGAAGTGTTTTGGTTGATAACGAATTATATAAGATCAAAGAAAGATGTGTTGGAAGAAATTCGATATTGATTTTCGTTACAGGAAAATCAACGGATAATGGATTAGAAGCACACGTAGAAACTGTGTTGGTGTTAGTTTTGCTAGAAAAGAAAGATAATAACTCGCAGTCGAACTATGATAAGGAAGAGGTTGTGACAATAGACAATTGCACCACATGCCGTTAAGGTAGAGATTGCAATCAGATCTTAAAACACTTTGTAAAATTTTATCATGAAAATTTTAGTTGTGGTCCCTGACAGCTCAGTGAAAACTCTCAACACTCCATTTTTCATGTGTTTTTGATTGAGTTTTTCAGACATGTTTTGCATCTCTCGCTGGCTTATCTACACTGCATTAAGTGCATTTACAATCGTTTAACCAGACAGTCACAACTAGGATAATAATCCTACGTCAAACAAATCTACACATTCTTAATTGAGCATGAATACAGTAAGGTTGATAATTAAGAAAAGCCCAATAACGGTTCTAGCTAGTAATTTTTTGCCTGGTCTAAATGAATCTTTTGTCCACCCCACCATCAGGATAGAAAACTTAAGACGCCATTAGTCGCTTTAAGTCGAGATTTTTGCTGAAGTTGATCAGTAATGTTTTTATCATCATTTTCGCGATTGAATTCATCAGTAAAGAAAATCCGGCTTAATCTTCTTCCATAGTTCAAATGTTACTAATTTGAGGCTAACTATAAGCTGGAAAACCTATCAGCATTTCTATCAATGCGATTTCTGCGTCCTTGCGAATTGTACTGATCGTATGGTGTACAATGCAAAAACTTTTTGATTTGTCTAAAGAGTGCTATGATTTTCTTAAAACGTACTTTCTTAACGATTTAATCCAATGTCTATCTTCCTAAAGAATTAATTAAATCTGGCATGCCTTATTTGAAAGTGACATATGTATTGCACAGATATTTGTATGTAAAATTCTACCAAAAGAAATTTAGAATTTTGGCTTTAAATATTGCTTACTTGAAGATAAAAGAGCATTAGCATTTGTCATTTTGGAATGGAGCAACAGGGACGCCGGAACATTTTTTTGTGTGGGGACTTTTGACAGATTGAGCACTTTCATGGTAGTTTTTTCATCATTATCTTGATGCAACAACATTGATATCGTACTTCAATAAATAAAGTGAGGGGGCTACAACCCCCCCCCTCTCACCACCACCTCAGGCCCTTGCGTGCCTGAGCAATACCCTCAACATTAACATACTCAAGAAGTGTCTAAGCGATGACATAATAAAAATTGATAAACTGAATTTGGACTATATGAACTCAAAAAGCACAAAATTTATGTCCCAAGGCAAGACAACGGTAATTCTTTAGCAAACTCCATATCATCCAGTTTGTAACTGATAGAGCTAATTTTACAGTTCTGGAGCCATTGCGAAGGGTTTTTCTAAGAATAAATAGTTCAAATACAAATATCTTAATAGGAACTTCGTTATCTGTCCGGTTCGGTCATCACTCAGACATGATTAGTATTGTGGCAGTGTGGCAATCCGGAATACGAATCAGGTACAAAAGTGAGTGGCCGGGCGGATGAACCCTAATAAGCCCTATATCACCGTGTGATCGAAATCCTCTAGATCATGAATTCGGTATCATCAGAAATGTTTTGAGAAAGACTACATCTTGTAATAGTTTTGTACTTTTTAAGAAGATTTTCTTTTTCCTTATTAACTATAACTATTCTCCTACTATTTTAAAAACAGCTTAGAGATATCTATAACAACACTATGCAACTTAGCAAGAAAGTCTTTGAACAAAGCCGATATTATAATTTGTTATTGCTTATAAACGCTAGTTTACAACTTGCAATGAACACATTGCATCATAGACACAACGCCTCTTTTGTAAAGTGAGAAATTCTTCTATGTTATGAAAACCTGTGGGTTTAAGACTCGAGGCTTTTCGTCAACATTTAAACATCACCGTAATGCACAAATAATGAATCTATGCTCTAATGAAGCAAAAAGTATGTATCAACTTGCTTATAGGGCGTTCCCTGCAGATTTCAATTCTTTTGTAGACACCATTCATCTGATTTTCCCTATCAAAACAGCAGTGACACATCCTTGCTCTTCTAGACTAGGGTGCGGAGAGTCATTAAATGTAAACTTTACCAACGAGGACATAGTAAACAAATTCTGTTTCTATTTTTCTTAACGTTCTATGATATGTTTTCAGAACATTTTGTAAACTAGGAAGATGAATAGAGGATGACGATTTGTGTGGGTAGAAGAGATCTGTTCCTTATTCTAATCGGTCTACTAACAAAATAGGACCTATCACACGGGAAACGTCTTCCATGGTAGAGTGTCATAACCCCCCTTCAGTTACCCGTTTAAGTAAAGTCATTTGAGAAGATACGCGCATAGATTGTTTGCTACTCGTGTGTCAAGTGCTTCATTGAGTAGTTTCCGCATATGCTGTCTCGCCTTTGTTTATCGTTTCCAGCATTTACTCTAGCTGCGAGTTCTTTAAACAGATCTCAGAATTTTCAAACAAACGCATCGTCGTGGGAACTGTTCCTATACATTTTTCTCTTTCTTTTTAGCCTCTTTGCCGAATTTCTCAGCGGTATGACTGTTCATATTTAAGTCCAGCAAATGAATATGCCATGCTGTTTTTTAATAAACAATTATATAATACGATTGGGCTGCTCGGTGCCTTTTTGCATATACCTGTATAATCTGGATATAATTTTGAATCAGTTTTATACCTGCTGCGATAATTTAATTACTGGTGAACTAAATTGCAAAATAAAGAGAAAGGTCTACGCTAATCGAAGTATTTTTAACATTGTCGTATTAAAAGCTTCGGCTTAGCGTATGGTTGGTATTCATTTGGCGTAAAACTAAACCACGTAATAAATAATGAATAGATAGGTTGCTTGTTTATACGTGGATTTAAGAATATCGAATGTCACACCTTTTACATAAGCAACTATATATTTGTTTTCACATGTTGCTAAGTAACTTCAGCTCCGCGCAATGTTGCTAAGTAACTTCAGCTCCGCGCAACTTTAAAAGAATATTGGCAGATATAACTACAAACGCTCAAAATGAATGGAAATATATATTGATTAAATATCTGATGAATTACTTCATGAATTCATTTGATCTTTCTTTTAAACTTATATACAAAGAATATAAACCAACGTGATTTACAAATACCTTTAGACCAGGGTGACAACTGTATACTAGATCTACGGGCACGTTATCCAACTGAAATATTGTATTGTTTGATTCGAAAGTTTGGTATTACTGTTAACATGCATTTCTTAGTACTAATGATGAGTTCGCATGTAGTTAATTCAACAGTGTTTATGTAAATTGTGTATATGTTAAAGCTAATTAAAAATTGGCACCAATTATCATCCTTCCTTTAGCATAAAGCCGTACCATGATGAGTACAAGGAGCATGGAATTCGAAGTAACAGCTGTGAACAGCCCTTTTGTCCTACACACCTGTGTATAAATTCTCTGAATAGCAATGGTAAATATCTTTGAAAATAAATGAAATAAAACGAAAAAGAGGAGACATAACAAACTTAATTACTTTTCATCAGACACTTCTAATAGTATTGATGACGCATAATGACCAAATGGTAAAAACGGAAATTTAAATCTCTAGATAAGGAAGAAATGTAGCATAAGAGGGAGAATGTTGCGTTTGATTGGCTGAATATTAAACAATTGAAAAACAAGACTAACATAATGAATCGAACATACATATGTAAAACACAGGAAAAGTGGAAAGATTCTGTCATTGTCTGTCATATTTATATTCACCCACTTTTTAAGTTTGCAGCAAAAAATTCCCTTAAATGTGATGCAATTCACCATTTTATTGATAGCTGCTATTGTAAAATCAACATTTAGTAACAGCTTTTGAAATTTTTCAGCAGTGGCCGCTCGTGTATAGAGGCTTGTGGGACTCAGCCCCACCAGTTTTCCAAAAACAAGTTTTAGATTTATAAGCGTAAATAAAAAAAATAAAATCCTCAAACTAGTCCCCTGGGGGCTTATTTATTTTTGATATTTTTAGATGGGGGCTTATTCGAGGGGGGGGCTTTTACGAGGGGGGCGCTTATACGAGGGGGGGCTTATAGAATCATTATTGACATTAAGAAGACGTTATTAAAAGACCTCGTTTATTTTAGTAGAAATTTCATTATGAGCATTTTAATTAATTACTACCAAAAGTATGAATTTGTTGTGGTAATTCAATAAAACGCCATAGGCGACCTCAGATGGCAAAAATCATCAAATTGAGGGGTCCAATTTGAGAATTTACGGTAGCAGTGGGGGCTTATTCGAGGAGGGGGGCTTATTGAAAATTTGTAGTTCTAGGGTGGGGGCTTATTCGAGGGGGGCTTTTTCGAGGGGGGGGGCCAATTCAAGGATTTACGGTATATATGAGTTTCTCTATCTTCAAAATTTGAACTTTTGAACTTTTTGTCTTTCATTCCGAGGCTCTGTGTCTCGAAAGGGAGGTAGGAGCTAAAGCGGCCTAAGGACCTCGAGGTCGCACAGAGGAAAAATAGAAAGAAATGAATTAAGGGTCGCAGCAATGAGTGAAATATTAGAAAAAAAAGTTGACACAAAAACTTCTTTAGGCAATTATTCTAATTTAAACAAACCTGAAGCAGAAAATCAAACAGAAATTGGTGAATTTGGAACAAGCCAACAGACGACCGACGGCGACGAATCTACAACGAAATTATCAAAAAGCAAATTAAAGAAATTACGAAAGCTTCAAAAATGGGAAGAAAATAAAAGTCTTAAAAGGTATCTTTCATTTCTAACGAGCGTAATCGTGCTTATGCAGGAGCCGGAGATGTTGATGAGGGTGAGGGAATGTGAAGAATGGGACGGTCCCTGTTGAAGGGACCTTTCTCTTGGGAATTTTTCTGGCAACCCCCTCCCCCGCCAGACAGCCATTTATTGCCGTATTTTTAGCAAGTCAAATTTCGCTTTGTTTGTTCGACAAGTTTTTTGTCTGTTTGGTGAGTTTATTTCTCTATTGTTGAAATTGAAGTCAAATGTGTTTGTGAATGATATGAAGGCTTTTCCATAAAAAATGTTCTTTCTTGAGCCACTTTCTTGAAAAATTGAAAGTCAGTTATTTTGTAAATTTGATAAAGTTGAAAAGTAATGATATCAGACTAGAAATCTGGCATGCCTGCCAGTATGCAGATTGCAGAACATGGCAATGGTCAAAGGTCCACCTAAAACAAGCTTGATGAATTTATTGGGCAAAATTTTTGGGAAATTTGCCCACCTCCACTTGAGGTGTAGATCAGTTGGTGCACCCACGGTATGGTCAAAATGGTCATACACTTCCTTTATGCAAAGGGATAACCATTGGCATAGATGGAGGGGGTCAGAGGGGGTGAGAAATCCTCCTGTAAAGCTAAACTGCTATTCTTCGGAAAACCTCTGATATTGTGGGAAAAATAACACAGTTACATTTTTACATAAAAGGTTTTAAAGCTGAATATAATGACTTCTTCATTTGCTCTGAAATAAATTGGTAATCTTTTTCGAAAAGGTATGATATGTACTTAGAAATACCTTTGTTGAGGAGACAAACAGAAAAATCTTCAATTTGTATGATTTATGACACTTGACTTGAATAAATGAAAAGACTAACCTCTTGTTTTATTTCAGAACTGATGTCATTATGTTATGTTTAAACATAGGAATAAATAAAAATGCTTATTAGATTTCTGTCGGAAAAGCTGAATTTCTTACCCCTCCAATGAATTTTCCTATCTACGTTATTGGGGGTAACTTAGGGGATAGACCCAAACTGCTATTTGATTGGCTATGTCTTTATTCTCTTACTTCCAGCACCTAAAAATTCCGGACTATTTTTCTGCCATGATGTTGTGTATAAAAAGCTTTTAGTGCAGTTGCAAGTGTGTGACTATCTTGTGTTTTTTATTTGTAACTAAACCCAAGTCATCACTCACATGTGAATTCACAAAAAATTATAAATTAATAACTGAGAAAGTGTGTTTCAAGCATCGATTTGAGCAATCTACGTCCTCTTTACTTTTTACTTCTAACAGTAAATCATTCCATAAAGTAATGTATATCTTAAAAAACAAAATCCCATGTTTTTGCACTATAATTGGTTTTATTTTGAATAATAAAAAAACAGATATACAGTCAAAATGTTTATTTATACTCTGTTGTCATGTTGACATTTTAGGAAAAAGGAGAAGGAAAAGAAGCGAGCCAAAAGGGAAGCCATGAAAGATGCTGGTCTCACTGGTTTGTGATTTCAAAACATTTATCTCAACAATTTATAACATAGAGCCATTTTCAGCTACCTGAAATGAAGTAATGCCAGTTCCCTTTCCTTCAGTACTTCATCTTTCTGCACTTTTGAAACCTTAGAAGCTAAAACCAGATATATTTTTATGCCAAAGGAGGGTTTTGATGGACATCAGAAAAAGGTCTACATGAAAGATGATCATTAATGTTTTTAGCTGTTGTTAATTTCTCCTTTGAGGTCTTCTAACCACAGGCCAAAATGTGCAGAAATTGTCCCAAAGCTTTCAACTAATGCTTTTTCAATTATACAGGCCTTTTCATATCACCCGGGCGATCGCCCGCGCCATCGCCCTTGCCAAATTATTGACGCGGCCTATTGACCGCCCTCGCAAAAACATGTATTGCCAGCAAGAGAAAGGTAGAGCACTTGTAGAAAAGTTGACAACAAATGCCACTATTGTTGTCGTCACTATCATTCGATTCACGTCTTCTCGCAGCATCGTCAAGGATTTCTCTCGAGACCTTTTAGCTGAACGTTTTTTAGAACGCTAGTGTTTTCGAAGTGGGGTAGAAATCCGCCGTTCCGGTCATTTTCAGCCGAAATTCTACACCTTAAAGTTGTTGATAGGGCCTTTATTCAAAGAATTTTTTACAAGACAACAAATGAAGATTTCAACAAATCCTTAAAACCCTAAAAAAATTCCGTATTCCGTGCAACATTATCGAAACAATGCGCCTCCAGCAAATGTGTTCCATCGTTTCGTCCGATTTCCAAGTTTCCGTAATCCGCGACAAATTTTCATCAAAGTCCATTTTTCCGTAAAACCTGATCACCCCCACATCCAACGACGGCTACTCATTAGCGGGAACAACAAATAATGATAATAAGCGACAATGATAACTGGACAGTAATGAAAAGAAATTCTATATTAAAAAGAGTTGTTGGTATTTATTTGGAGGAAAAGCATAAGACTGTAATAAAGGAGTCTCCAAGTAAGAGACAAGTAAGAATCTGAAAACATAGATAATGCAATCAGAGAGAATTGTTCAACCGAGTTGGAACCTATGTGATTCATACACTAAAGAAGAACTTTAAAAAGTCGAACTTCCAGATGGTGGTTTTGATTGTTTTCAAGTTTTATTTTATGTTTTTACTTAGCTGGTCAAACTTAACGTATTTTTGCCTGTCCCTAAAAGTTACGGTATTCCTGAATGAAGGGTTAAGTTGTTAATGAAAACAAAGCATGATTTCCTCATTGTTGACATTATAAATCATTACATCAAGTATTTTGGCTACTAGCGCGCGTATTTTGGTAATCGCGCATTTAGAAAATCAAAGGTTAGGTAGCCGTGGTTAAATGATACCCTTACTCCCCCTCAGGTCCTGAAGGACTTTGTTTAACAAATAGTGTTGGACGGGCGATCGCCCTCGTAAGCTGATCCACGCGTGCAATTTGTCACCCTTGCGAACATTGTTTCACGAAACGGCCTGATTATATAAGTTTTTTAAAACTCAAATGACTTTCATTTTTGTGAGAGATATTAGACATTTAGCAAAAGATTTTTTTGTCTGTAATGGCCATCCTATTATCTTATAGGCAGGGCATTCCTCTCAACCATCGACCGCATTGCCTAACCTTTGTTTTCTCGGCTGATTATGGAACACTTTGGTATAACGAATAATTTAAGCCCTTACAACATTTTCAAAAATTCATCAAAGTCACGTTACCGATGACGTCAAAAAGGTTATGTTTCCTAGACTCAAAACCATTGTAACTTCTTGAGTATACGTCTGACTTCAATATAAATGCTAGATTCGGGCTCGCCTGAAGAAGAGCTTTCCAATGATATATACATATGAGTATTTTAACGATGTCAGCAATTTTCAATGATGACGTCATCACTTTCAAAATGGCCGTCGAACAGTACATTTTAAGACAAAAGCTCTGATCTAATCAAACGCATTTCTGGATCGTTTACTAATGTCTTCTTAATGTCTACAATAATTTTATAACTCCCACTCGTATAACCCCCCCCCCTCTTTGGAATAAGCCCCCATCCAAAAATATAAGAAATGAATAAGCCCCCAGGGGACTAATTCGAGGATTTACGGTATATATTCGCCTCATATCCATTTACCGCCCGAATCCTCCGACGAACTAAAGTCATAAACTTCCCGTTCATTCTCTAGTTCATCAGAATGTTCAGTGCTACTTAGGTCAGAGTCTACCTGGTCTGTTGTTACCTTGTATTCGTTACTAGCGTTGATTTCGTCGACACTACGGCCCTATTTCGGTACCTCTGTACATCTCTTGCATTTCTTCAGAGCAGGGAGGTTTTCATTGCCACTTTCGACATCTGCCCCAACACTTTCTGAAAATCGGCTCTTGTTTTTCCGTCTTGACTTCAAAGAAGGAGGCAGCAGGGGGCACGTGAAGCAAAAAGATTTCAAGGAAGACTCTTCAGAATACCCTTCCAGCCACAACTTTCGAAAAAAAGTCTTGACGGATAGTTCTACGCAACGCAACCAGCAGTAGGCTATCTTCTTGGAATGTGAATCAGGAAGTAGTTTAATGTTAGTTTCATTTTGTTGTACATTTTTAGTCTTGTTTCCACATAGCTTCTCTTGACCTTGCCAGAATACATTACCATTTGAACAAACTTCTGAAAATCTTCTATATCGCTATCACTAACCACTTTTTCTTCTCCAAGGCTGTCAAGCAGTTCAAGGTATCGCGGGCTCTTGATGACTGTCTTCAGCAACCTTACCTTTCCTACGTTGCGGAAATAGGATTTAGAATTACACCCAGATAAAGCATGTAAAGCCTGTAGATTAATGCAAACATCCCTTCCGAAATGGGAACCATTTGCGTTTTACATGGAGAAAAGCAAAAGCCCAATGTGTCTTCTTTCAGAAATCAGTCTTATAAAATCAATTTGCTTCTAATTTCGATACAGGAGATCGTGGCATTTAAATCCTTGCAACATGTTTTGGTAATAAACTTCTAAATGACCCCTTGGCCCAGGTTCACCAACTTATACCCAGCTTCAGGAGCAACAAATTTGATAAGGCTGTGCATCCGTGCTCGGTACGTTGGCATCGGTTTGATGCAGCGAACTGCTGCCACTCCGTCTACTTTCCAAACGGCAGACTTCGGAGGCATGTCTTTGATCCATTGCCCCTCTTCGAGCAAGAGTCGTTGCAAAGTTACTTTGTCTGACTGACACAAAGTTAAACCAGCTATAGCGATAGTAATTGAAAGAGGAACGGTTGTCAGGGGATGAGTAAATGCCTCTAGCAGACTTCCTGCCTTCAAAATGAGTAGTTAAAGGCCTGTTTTTGTGTTCCTTGACCACCGTTTTGTGTTCCTTGCCCTTTTCCAGATCTGTCTTCAGCTTTGTTTTTATTGATCGGCGTGAAGAATTAAACGCTGCCATTAATCAGGCGATCATTTGTGAAGCGATGCATATTCTCTTCTCCCATGATCAACGCTGCAAGGAGGTCAGTAGAATTTTATTAATCCAATTCTTCACCAGTTAAAGTCGATTTTGCAGGAGCAGCAGAAAGCCGATTGGTTACATAGCTTTGAAGAGTTCTCTAAGGCTATCATTATGCTTCTGAAGGAGCTTTGTCCCATCTGGAATGCTGTACTTGTGAATTGATGATGACTTTACGAAAAAGTATTGCTTCAGAGCCCCTCTAAACTTGCTATGAATGTGGGACGTAGCAATCCAAGTGTTAACCGCATTAACGTTTGCTGAAGCCAGACCTGTATGGACCTGCAGTCCCTTTAGCTTCTTTATTAAATAGCTCTGTATGTAAATCGCAATGAATTGCAGATAATTTGTTTTGAAATTTCCGCCAAATCCTTATTTGTTCCAATCTTGGAATGCTGTAGTTTGTTCACCCTCACCCTGTAATGATTGAAGTGCAATGGAAAAGCAGGTGCTGGTATGCACAGTAGCGAGCATAGTTGATGCGATTCAATGCAAATGTAAGCAGAATCATATTTCGCACTGCTTGCAAAAGTAGCTTAGTGTTGCTTTTCTGCAAAGCTGCTACCATGCTCAACAAAGCAGACAAATTGTCCAGCTTAGCGATTTCAAGACACTTTTCAATTTTTTGACGATTTTCAAGAATCAACAGTTTTTTGCATCAATCTGCCATTGCTTATGGGCATTGACTGTGTGTGTTTTTTGGAAAAGACTTTGGTGAACCCATGAGTTGATAAAAGCAACCCATCAGCACCTTGACCTGGCTATACAAGTCAGCATTCGTTCACATATTTTGGTTTATCTTTGCCTTCCCCATTTCATCCGCATGAACAAAAATATTAAATATGTCAAGATGATATCTAAGAAAGAATCAAGGTATATTCCTTGCATACTGGATAGACAGGCACCTTATGAGTGATTGGCAAGTTATCTAGCCCTGTCAGGGGTATTAAACAAAGTAATAAACTATATAATAACTATTCCCTCCTGCCTCCTGGCAATGCCAATGATATAAGCCCTTGGCCTTTGTGCAAGCTCGGTTTCGTACGGACGGCTTCAGGTCCGGTCTTCGGAAACAATTATTTTAGGTTTAATTAATAAAATTAAAAGAATAATAATGAAAAACTGTGGATGGCGAAGAAGGAGCTTCTTCTCCTTTATAAGAAAGTGTCAAGCAAAATCATGCATAATGTCAAATCGCGATAATGCCAAATTGTGCCTAGCAAAATCAGAGTCAGCTCGCTGGTCGACGGCCATTTTGAAAGTGATGACGTCATCATTGAAAATTGCTGACATCGTTAAAATACTCATATGTATATATCATTGGAAAGCTCTTCTTCAGGCGAGCCCGAATCTAGCGTTTATATTGAAGTCAGACGTATACTTAAGAAGTTACAATGGTTTTGAGTCTAGGAAACATAACCTTTTTGACGTCATCGGTAACGTGACTTTGATGAATTTTTGAAAATGTTGTGAGGGCTTAAATTATTCGTTATACCATAGTGTTCCATAATCAGCCGAGAAAACAAAGGTTAGGCAATGCGGTCGATGGTTCAGAGGAATGCCCTGCCTATTATATGAATGAGGGCTGCACTTCAATTTTAAGGTCAGTCTAAGTGCCTAGTTTTCAGAATTTAGTTCTAGGATTGTTTTTTACTCAATTTTGGCTTCCTTTTGAGTGTAAAAGAAATTTTTAAAAAAAATTTGCACCACCACAGTGAAAGGGTTGTTTCGGCAAAATTAGCATGAACATTCGAGCACTATGTTGTGGTAAACTCAATTTTTACCCAAAAAAGCTTTTTGACTCGAGGAATTCAAACGGTTTAGTTAGGTACAATAAGAGAGCTTTGGTAAATTATTTATAATTTTTATTATTTCAATTTGTTTTGTATAAATATTTACTTGGTAAATCATTTTAGCTTTTTCTACGTTTTTTCCTTGTTGACAGTTCCAAAGAAAAGAAAAATTAATATGGACCATCCTGACGCAAGTTCTGTCAGAGTTGCTTTAGATTTAAGTTTCAACCAGTTGATGAGTGAAAAGGTTGGTTTTCTTTTAAATAATAATGCAAGCAAACCATGTTTACTTTCATTAGTTTTTTCAAGTCAATGCAGCTGTGTAAAACAAGCTCAAGTTTTTGTAATTGTTATAGAATTATTAGAGATAGTCTTTACACTCATTTTTATAAAGAAACTGGCTATAAAAACGAGTACTGGATAAAATTAAGTCAGAAAAAATTAAGAAACTTCAGTACTCGAAGCAAAAGAATTAAGAAACTATTAAATCGTGATAAAACTGAGAACAGCGAAATTTTGTAAAATCCAAGAACAAGATTGTCATGTTGGCCTATAATTTAAGACACAAGGGATAAAAATATACTTCCCACATCTAAATACAGCATCGGACGGAAGCGAATCTCTTGACGTGATAAAAAAGGTCACATTTCATAACATCATTCATGACATCATAATTAAAAAACTCTTGAGAAACAATTAAGTATTGAAATTTCCAGAACACTAAGAAACTGGAGTACTCAACATCGACCTTTGTTTTTTATAAAAAAATGAGTGTACGCAGATAATATAGCATAATTTTCATCTTCGTCTTTTCTCATTCTTTTTGTTCGAAACATCTCCTCTTTTTTAGAATTCTTGAAAATTTGTTTTGCACTCCTTGAAATGGGGCAAATTGATTTTTTCTGTTGATTTCCTTTTCTGGGGGAATTACAATGTATTTTGTTTTGCACATTTCACTGTCATTTATCACCAGTTGGCAAAGTTAGTGCTGAATTTCTTGAGAGGGAAAGGAAGGGAAGCGGTAACAAGCGGAAGTATTTTTTTGTAAAGACTGATTGCTTATGACAGCAAAGTATGTAATTTGGAGAGACCTTGTTAGTGTGGGTAATTTGTGTAAAAGATAGGTAAATTAGTGTTCTTTGATGGTGCGGAGAGTACCTGTCACAGTTGTCCCGGAATTGGCATATTTGTAATGGCCGGTTTTTCAAAAACGTTTAGGCCAGTAACTTCAGTATTATTGCAGGAAACGAAAGATCTCGTCGAGACAAATCGATTGGTGGTATTGGTTTCGGGGTTTCACCTAGTAATGACGTCACTATGACCGGCTGAAGTTTTGGCACATTTCTGTACTGTATCCTATATAGCCACTGTACAGTTCCTATGCAGTATATAGGGTATATAGTATAGACTCCGTTGCTCAGGAGCATGAGGTACAGCAAAATAATTTGAAAATAGGAATTTTCTTTACGCAATTTCGATTTTTTTTTCATTTTATTGTTTTGACAGGATAGAAGGAAAGTTGTTAAGCAAGTGCTTCGAAGCTACTCTGTAAACCGAACTGCCGCCCATCCTCTGCAGGTGAGAATACGGTTTTTTTATATACTGCTATACTGAATACTGCTATCTTCTTTTTTAGCTTATGATGAGACTAGTGATGAAAAGACCAAAGACATTAAATAAAAATAAAAATGTATCTTTTCAACCAGGTAAAACAAAAAAATAGTAAACAGAATGAAACAAAACAGAGAAAAATAATAGCGACACATTGTTTAATTTATCAGTTTTGACACACTATTTTGATAGAGATATCTGCTATCGTACTGATATTACGACTTTTAAGTAGTTCAAAGAAGACGTACGAAAAAGGGAGAAATGGCCTTGGAAGAAAGAAACATTTTGAACCATACTTAAAGACTCATTGCTAACAATGAGCCTTTGCGAGGGTGGCAAATTATCCAGGCGACAATCCAAACAATGGCAGTAAACTTCTACGGATTAACCATAATTGATTTCAGACTGTCTGAAAATGCATTATGGGATGCTTGCGTAGCGCATTGGCTCATTGTTAGCAATGAGTCTTTAAGCTATGTGGATCGAAATCAGAATGTTAAACTTCAGAATGTGGATCGAACTTTGTAAGCTAGGAGATATGAATAACCCAGTTGTGGAACGAAATAGGCCAATCCGAAACGCAAGCACGTGACTGTACGTGGTATAAATATTTACTAGCTGAGAGTTTTTGATCTATGTTTGACTTTTTATACTCTGAAGAGTTTTCGTCTAAATGCCTACGTTTGTTTCAAAATATCTGCTTTTTTCAAAGCCATTTTTAATTTTTTGAACTACCAAAAGAGTTAAAAGGTAGACAGCAAGTTTAGAATTTATTGGTAAAACATAAAATTATGTGAGGTCCCCTTCGAACATCTGTTTGGGGTTTGTTACACAGTAGGTAGCATGTACATTTAAGTTTTACAGTAAATGCATCGTTCGTAACTTGTAGACAATGTGTGTTTATATTGCATATCTAGAAATCTGAAAATGTGATATGCTAATAAGAGAAAGCTGGCGTGCTATGTTCGTATGATAATATTTTATTTCATAGTTTCAATATTGTTTCTTTTCTAAAAAAGTATCGATTTATAGATGCTTTATATCAGAAAATATTTTAGTCTACGAATATTGTACGACAAAGTACTTATAAAGTGGCAAAGGCCAGAAATCTATCTATTAGCCATGCAGTTGTTGTTTGTATGGAGCCAGCCATACCTTTAGAGAGTGCTATGGTTCGTCTGTATGCTGGTTCATTGACCACCTCTTTCTGTTCCTGGAAACACTTTGGACATTTTGCTGCATATCAATAACAGTAAAAGAATTTTCGACTTTGAACATTTCCGTTTTATTTACCTTTCTTAAAAAGTACATCCTAAATTTCAATTTTTTCAATGTTTTTTCCATTTTCTCTAGTTGTATCTAACAAATTTCGATGACAGTAACAAAGAACTTTTTGGTACATTTTCAACCGGATATAAAGCTTGGGACGTAAGTGCAACACTATCTACTATTGTATGTGTTTACTTAATGGCCGTCAAAGACACATTAGTTAATGTTTTACTGGTTGTCATATAGTGCTCGCTGCCGTATTGACAGTGCTGTACACGCTTTTGTATATAGAACAGCAACGTTCTAAGTTGCTGCTCTAAGTTTCACGCTTAATGCGATCATTAGGCAGCTGTTTAGTTTCATATACCTATTCCACGAAAACTACTATTTAGCAGCCTGCCATTAAGTGCTCGATGCTGTCGATGCAAAGCTGTAAACGACCTGGTATATAGAACAGGACGGCCCAAGTTGCAACTCCTACTCCAACCCCGTATATTGCGATCATGAAGCCACTGTTATGCAAGGGGTATATCACTCCATGAATAGGCGTGCGAGATTTTTTCGGATTTAAAGATCCATCGATTTTGGGTTCGGATTTGCCGATTTTCCAGAGTTTTAGCAAATTCCGCGGATTTTAAATATTTTTTGCCGTGACTTCTTCTTCCTTCAAAATCTTAAAGAAAATGCATTTAGCTTAATTATACCTCCTTGCTTGACAATTCTGATTATCGCCAAATGTTAGTTGGCACATTTTATTGATTCATGCAGTTCTGTGAAAAGAACTTATCAAAACATAAGTTATTTAGCCATGTCCTTTAGACTTAAAAACATAAATTAACGAAACAACTATATCAAAAGCATAACAATAATGCCGAGTGGACAGGGGGTCAAAAACACTCAGCTCACTTTTTTCGGGACTGTTCAAAAAATGATGATATTTGAATTCATTTGACGCATACCATTTGAAAGTTCATTATATCTTCATTCGAACGATATCAAGTTTTGGCACTTTCATTAAATCAAAATTACTTAATGGACCTTTTAGCTATTCCACAAAAGTGTTTGGATCGAGTCATCGTTTTTTACAGTGGCACGATTGAGTTGTGTTCAAGTTTTTAGAGGATATGTCATTTTGTTACCTTATCATGCTTGAAAATCTTCAGCTTTGGTTTGGCTCTATTTTCCATGGTAGCTCTTGTCCTTTTATTGCCCTTAAAGCAAGAAAATTAAAGTATTCTTCCTAACAACGACTTGGAGGGATTATCGTCTCTCCTAAAGAGGCACTGGTCTCAAGACTTTCTAATATTACGTTGCGCACAGGGGCGTAGCTAACGGGGGGTGTAGGGGCGTAACATCCCCCCCCCAATACTTCATGAATTCGTCGGTAAATCTTCAGTTTGTCTACAAAATCCTTAGTTTGTCGGTAAAATTATCTATCAGTAAGGGAAAAAGCACCTAAATTCTTCTCCATCTATGTCTTCGTCGGTAAATTTTTCTATTGGTGAAAAATTCTTCTGGTTTTATATTGGTTAAATTTCCCTTCATTTCCTTTCAAACCATCGGCCCTCTAGTCTGGAAGATCAAGCGACGCCACTGGTCGCGCATCTGCGGTGCCGAGAAAGGTTTTTGCGAAATCAAGGGTTGGTGTCTCTTCACTTTTTTGTCAAGGATGGAATTGATGGTGCACAAAAATAAACGGACGGGAACAAGAACTCGTGTTACCAAAGATGACTGCCAACCAGCGAGGAATATGACAAGAAACGGTAACAGCAACAACAACGGAAAGTCTCCGTACTCACTGCACCGAATCATCCTTCTCATCATCCAGATCATCTATCGTATCTTTCGATGATGTTTCTTGATTGATCCAAAAGATTGTCGTCCAGAATGTTAGCCCGTTATGTGATTCAGCTATGAAGTTGCCATATCTTGGCCTTATATCTTTGATTTTGCACCAGACATTTCTGAGTTCGACTGGGTTTTCGGAATTTTATATTCTTTGTGGATCTCTGGATTTCTGAAAGGATTTAGTGGATTTTAGTGGATTTTTGGCAGGGTGTACGAGGATTTTTGAAGTGATACACCCCTCGCTGTTATGTGTAGCAATTTTTAATTTATTATTTTAGGTACACATCGTGGAAGAGAGCCATTTAGAAAAGTTTTCCAAGGACGAACTGGTTTATCTTTCATCAGATTCCTCAAATATTTTACAAGGTGATTTGATTTTTTACAAATGTCACATTTTTTTCTTTGGTTTACATTTCATATGAGATGAATTTAGTTTGCAACTTTGCAGCCTTTAAACTTTGATCATATGTGTCCAATCTCCCAAGGTGGTAAGTTGAATTGTTGCAACTTTTTATAACAGTCAGATCACACAATAAACAATTCAAGCCTAGAAGTTGCATGTTTTCTTGAGATATAACTCGAAATGTAATGCAGTTCAAAACAAAACAAATTTACTACCTTAATTGATTGCCAACATTAGATGAGTGCCAAGATTTATGACAAGCATCCTGTCTCTTGTAATTCAGAGAAATGTGCTTGTGTATGGTAGTAAATAAGTTTGATAACTTTTTAAAGAAAGACATTTGATAACTTTATCAGTGGTTTCCAAACCTGTTTGTTTGACAAAAGTATAGTGCAAATAGGTTGATATTTTAATTAGCACAATTATAAAAAATACATGTATATATGCAAACATATGATTTCACTGAGCGGCATCGTGTATTCTTTAATTTAAAGACTTTTTTTTACCTTTCTTTTGAAGAAAGTTTAAATATTATTGTTTTTGTCTTTCTTTAGGATGAAAACATTTCATTAAGTAACACGTTTTAACAAAATAAAATATCAGAAAATTAAATTCGATAAAATTTCAGCTTGGCCGTTTTTCTTGATTAATTTTTAAGTTTATGTTGATAATTTTAACTTCGCACCTAAATATCGATCAAACTTTATTCTTATAAAAAGTGTGTATTTTGCGAAAAAAATTATATGCAGCCCTAATGGTTATTAAATGCCTAAGCTTTAAAAATTTAAGCAATTTTTTTTTCAAGAGATTAAACAGATACCAACGCAAATAGAATAGATATGAATTTCACCCAATTTGCATAGAAATTAAACTGCATCTGGTGATATGATTGACACGAAATGTTAGGCTAGAAACGATTTGGACTTTCAATATTATTGCCTATCTATTAATAGATATTGCAGTCTTCACTCCTATATTTTTTAAAGTTAGATACTTCGAAAAGGATTATGATGTGTGCTCACACTATATATGATGTATAATTTCTTTCCTTAGTAAGTAACTTCCTTGATTATACATCGCCTATATTCAAGCAAACATTTTACATTATATGAAGTGCATATATTTTGTCATTATTTTTTAAATCTTTGATTTCTATTCAGAGCTAAACGATACTAAAGTGTACGTCATTGGTGGCATCGTGGATCACAATGCTCACAAGGTGTGTATTTTTTGTTTTTGTGTTCCAACACAGAAATCCGTATCAACCTGCTTTTGCCTTTCCTATACCATAAATGCTCGAATCAAATACTAAATTCTATTCTATAACCTCCCCAATCTTTTGCTGACCCAAGAGTAACAACGTACCATTACAGCAATCAGCCAACCACCTAGCAATGGCGGACACCTGGGAAGGGGGGCGAAGAGGGCGGTCGCCCCCAATACTTTGGAGAACAATGGTCTTTTGTTCTAAGACAATTGGAAATGTGATGTCATCTTATTAAAACAAAAGGCTTGCCCCCCCCCCCAATATTTGACCAAGTGTCCAATATTTGACCCCTGCTACCCAGTTAGCTTTTCATGATGGGTTCACGCAGCTTTAAATGCTTTCATCTTTGTTTAACCAGTTAACTATCTCACTATTCGTTACTAGCCACTGTATGTAGTCCCTAAGTTAGGGTTTATGTTCAGTTTTATTGGATACAAGGATAGATTGACTCCTCGCGTATAAGCCTCCACCTCGAATCAGCCCCCCACCCTGGAAGAAAATTTTGTGTTAACAGGTATGGTGTTCCGTCTCTTTGTAGAATTCCCTCCTTCAGTCAGTCAGTTTGGAATTCGATCCCTAACGAAGTAAAAAATTTCCAAGCGCTTGAAATATTCAAGAAACAATAACAGAATATTGCTTTTTGAGAAATGCAGTGGTCATTGCTCCCTGGCCCCCTTTTCCGCTTTTAATTGATTACCTTGCCATAAAGTAGGATTTACCTTCATCAAAGCCTTCAAAAAAGAAACCATAAGCCAATTTAAACCCGTTCAATGATCCCTCCCTCTCTAATTTGATAGTTTGTTGATCCCATTTAATGACAGATTAGAGTTATCTGGTCACACTTCAGTATGCACACAGAATATTTCCGTTTCCAGAAAGAATGATTTGAATGAGACAACCATAAGCCAATACATTTATTGCGGAAGTTTTTCTCAGGTCAATGATGGGCTAGTTCCTTGTCTCCAACCACTCCGTGCAAATCAAATTATGCTCTGGTCTTATATTATGCAAATGAGATAGTGTCTCTCCTACAGTTATGTACCCAAAGCAGTTACATTTTTTCACAAATGGAAACATTACAAAATAAGAAATAAGCTTTGAAAAAATTTTGAAACAGAAATTTTTTCGTCGGAGACTCTTCAGGGTATGAAACAAAATCGAATTGACAACGTTCTTCTTAGAGGAAAATTTAAATTTAAGAATTGAAGCGAAGTTTTTCCTTAGTTACATGTACTTTATATGGTTTTTTTATGCGGTCGACTCCACACCTTATCACAGGCCACTAATTACAGTTGCTAAAGTACACCCACAAATGTTTACGCTCACAGTCAGCACTTTTCCTAGAAATATCTACTGTGACAGTCACGCTTATTTACTTTAAAATGCTCGAACATCACATGCTATCTTTATTCAATGCCATGAGCAACAGGGGCGGACACTCGGTCAAATATTGGGGGGGGCAAGCCTATTGTTTTAATAGGATGACGTCGCATTTCCCATTGTTTTAGAACAAGAGACCATTGTCCTCTAGAGTATTGGGGAGGCGGTCGCCCCCTCCCCCCCCCCCCCCCCCCAAATGTCCGCAACTGATGAGCAAATTTGCTGCTTTTAATCAGGACTGTTAGAAAGTTTTTCCTACATGATTCCCATCCTGTTTTTATAAAAGATAGAATATATGATACATATAAAGAATCCTTTTAAAATCTTTAGATTTGGAGACGTTCAGATTACTGTATTTAAATTCAATATTAAGAAAATTCTCTCAGGCAAATATAGAATGCAGTTGAATGAACACGAAGTTATCAAAGAAGAATGTAATTTATACTAGATGAAGAACGTAGAGAAATAAGCATATATACGGTCACACCCGAGAGTTCTTTTCCTTATATAGAAGTTTTGATCTTCTCATAAATTCATGTTAAATGTCTCCTTCGTCTCGTTCTTCTTCAATTTATTAAAACAACTAACGAAATGCTCTATAAAGACAACATTAAAACAATACAACATGAAAACGAGAGTTCACGCATTGTTCTGTTTGTTCGAAAGTTCAAACAAGGACTCCTTCCAAATCATAAACAAACACGATAATATTTTATTAGCTAACCTTGGACGACTGTGATACTAACTAAGTGCCACAATAATCCTACCATATACTGTCAATGAGATACCTTTGTTCGTTATGTCTGAAATAACATCTTTCCTAGAAAAGGAAAATCTCGTTGAGGTTTGTTGAGGTTCACATTCAAAAATAGGGAAATGTTGTAATAAATTTGAAGGGCTTGAAATGCTTCACCAAAAAAGAACGTCATAGACATCAGTGAATAGATTGTAAGGCTAAACTCAAATTAAGACTGATAAAATTTCATTTAATCATCATCAAAGCCAAATGCTGTGTTTAAAACACCCTTATCTGGTTGTTTCACCGTTGCCCGACTCTTTGGGAACAGCTGCTGCTGAAATCAACAGCCTTCTATTTTCTGTCTTCAGGGGATGTGCTTTGGACTCGCTGAAAAGGCTGGTATAGGCCATGCCAGGCTTCCGATCGATGAATACATCAAACTAGAGGGACGAAAAGTTTTACCAGTCAATCATGGTATGTTTCCATGATTTATTTTTTTTGTCATATTCCTCTCGTCTTGGTGTATAAATCGTGTCATACTTGTTTCTTTATGCAGTCATTTTCAAAGATTATATATGACATTTTCAAAGACTGAAAGAGTCTGGTGCCGAAAGACACATCATTCAATTTGAACTATCAAAGATCCCAACCCTTTGCCCTAATGAACTTGCAATCAATATTCCACGAAATTGATATCAGTTTGTCAAACTTCAATTGATATATTGAATATGTATATACGATCCTAGAGTAGGAGGTGTGTCAATAAGAAAAGGCGATTATCCTAGGCCAAACGAACAATGAGGAAGGGTCAGTTGCGCAATGGTAGAGGGGCAGGTTGCTTCACCTCTATAGAGCATTCATTTTGTTTCAAAATTTTGGAAACTTTTTCCTTTATCGTAGGCCTAGGCTTTTAGCCCCCTCCCCCCCCCCCCATGAAAGAAAGTTAAACCCGCACTGCACCCCTAGGTAGCATGTGCATTCTATAAATGGGTGGACAGGGACTGAGAATCTGAATAATCGACCCAGTCTGAGCTTGAACCTGCAAACTTCAACAGGGTATCTAAGCATTTTACCCACATGTCCAATTCCCCTCAAACAATTTAAGTATGGTTCAAAACACATAATGAAATATTTAGCCTTATATCTAGCGGTATACCTATAGAGAGGTCATATAAACATATATCTGCGGCGGTGACATTGAAATTAGAAAGCTTTTCACGTCTACCTGGAAGTGATTGTAGATTGAAGCGGAGCGGAAGTGAAATTATGCATATGCATATGGTTGGAAAACTTTTACCAGGGGTTGCACCTTTAACTTCTAAGTGGTGGAGCCATACTAAAGTAAAGGCTAGGTTATCGATTAATTATATGATTGTCTTTGTGTGACCTTGGCTTACTGCTGTTTCCTTTCATATTGCACAATGCTCCTCCCTTTCGATTTGCTCAAACCATCCGAGCTTTTTGTCATATATGGTTCCCTGGACCAACTTAGCATTGGGCTGTACACAGTTATATTTAAGAAAGTATTCAATGATACATGTATCTTGTCATGAATTTATAGCTGGCTATGCTTTAAAACAAATTCTTGCAATAAAAGATTCAAAACCTACAGTCTTTCTTTGATGAAAGTGTGACGAATCCCTAGGTTTTTATTTGAAAGCTCGTTATATCCCTAACCATCTTTTGTCTTCTCATAACGGATTAATGAAACTTGTAATCTGAAATTTTTCTTGTGTATGAAACTGGTTTCACCAATTTTAAACGGGTAAATACTAGTTCAATTTGTTTCCCGAATTTTTGTTGTTGACAAAAATGAAATTAGTAAATCTTGATAAAAGAAAATTTGATAAAATTGATAAAAATTAGTCAGCCAGAAGAAGATTTAAATAGGATTAAGAAAAAATAATCTTATCAAATCTCGATCTTTACAATTTGGGCAATTTCAAATTAATTATATATATACAAGATTGTTCTATTTTTTTGTCTACTTTTCGCATTACAGCTTAGAGGAAATCACAAATTCTCTCCGAGATGTCTAAAATTCTCTATTGGCAGGCATTACCAACCAGTTTTATCAGCAAATTACACATTTTAAAGTAGAGCCTAATGTCAGAGCCTCTGACCCTAAAACTCTTTTATTCACCTTAAAACCAAGTTCTAAGAGCACGAGCTTGGGAAAATTAGGATCTTCTTTGCGGTGTTTTACTAACCATGCAGGTGAAAACCCTAACCAATGATGTCATTCTCTAGCCTCGTTTCAAGATCCTCGCGCCCTCCAGAAACATAACCGGTGTTACGTTTCACAGTGTAAATCGAAATAGAAATTGTTTGAAATAAGTAGTACTTTTCTTTCATAATACTTGCACAGTTTTAAACCCATTTATCTGAAAGCGTGGTTGTTACAATTATGATCATTAATATTATTCATGTTAATGTGATAATTCTCAATATATTTACTTATTTTCCCTTTCTTTCAAGTCTTCGAAATTCTTCTTCATTTTGCGGAGCATTCCGATTGGAAGGAGGCTTTTTATCACGTGATACCAAAACGAAAAGGACTGACGTCATATCAGAATTCGCTGAGTAATGCTTCAGAAGACGAATGTGGAAGTGAAAAATCAGTTGAAGTGAATTGCTTGGATTCTCCTCACAATGCAAAACAAGACGAGACGAAACAGGAAGATACATGAGGCAGTAAAGTTTCATGGTAGATATAAAATCTATATTTTCACAATGTTTCTTTAGTGCACAGTCGTGTTGATAATGTAAAATAATGTAGGTATTATTCTAGATGTTTGATTTGATAACATGTGTCAAACGAGGATATGATATGTTTTATCGTTCATATTTGTATCCTTTTTAAACGAAGAGACATCGAAGGCTTTTTCATAATTCCTACTTGCCTGGCCACATTAATTGCAAGGGAATAGTGGAATATCAATCTGTTATATTGTTTGCCAATGACAGTATCCGAGCCAAGCCATCAGTGTTGCTAGAAGTTTAATTATGAGTAGGCAGTGTGTACGATTTTGGTATGCAGATATATAGAAAAACTGTTGCGTAACGTTTTTCGTGCAAAACAAGATTTGAGGTAGGGGTATTGAGAATATGAGGAGAGATACTCTGACAGCTCACAAGCAACAATCTCTGCAAAAAGGCCTTGAGATTGCCGTCCTTTTTTTTGCTTAACCAGCACTTCCCAACTGGTTATCAGAGATATATGTTATTTCCAGAAAATAAAATTGAGCCCTTGAAAAAATAGCTACGTTCCCCGGAAGTTCCTAAAGCTCTAGGGGCAGTGATTGTATGAGAACGATTGCGCTCCGGGGGCTTACCCCAGATTTGTCAAAAACCTTGATGATATCAAATTGCATTTGTAGCTAGGTTACGGGCTCTTTTCTTCCTATTTCAATACATTTTTTATATAAGGTCCCGTGAATTGAGGTTGGTTAATTTTCCCAAAACTTTGCATAACAAAAGTGGATAGTTACAATCCAGGTATTGTTTCTTTAATAACATCTGCAAGGGATATTCTCTGCCATAAAAGAGATATTGATTTACAATATCTTATTTCCTCTTTTTAGTGTCCAAGGATTTAAAACTTGAATATATTTCAGTACCGCAAAAAGAATAGATTTATTGGCTGGCACCGTTAATTGAGAACATTATCAGCAAAAGGAATTGTTTATTTGAAACAATTGGTTTTCATAATTTTTCGGCTCATGTCCCCAGCACCCCCTCCCATCACCCCCCGAGGACAATGGTATCGGTCATTGTGTAGTTCGTAAATACAGTCAGTTGCACAAATGAGATGACGAGATTTCCCTTAATAATATTTTCCAGAAGACGCCTCTTTTCAAATTTCTGTGTTCCTTGTCATTTACCCATTTGAATCTTGAAAAAAAAGTGCAATTCCATTCTATCCGGTTTGGCATGGGCAAATTGTTACAAGGCTTTTTGTCAAGACCAATCGGTTACGTATTGCATATAAAAAGAACTGGTGCTGAAGTAGAAACCTGGAAATCTTTGAAAAGATTTTTTATTTAATAAGCAAAGAGTCTACCTGCTAATGTAATTAGCTAGTGTTGGTCAATCTGTATTTGTACCTTAATTACTCAAGTGGTAAATTAAATGCATAGGAAATACCTAGCTTTCCGGAAACAACAAAGGTACCACTAGGTGCACGTTTTTTCAGAACAAATACCCACTTCGTTCTGAAAGTCCCGTCAAAACAGAGATTTTGCCAAAGAGAGTCACCAAGAGAATGGTATGAGGTTTGTAGATTTGCTAGTTATGATCAGTGTTTCGGTGCAGGCCGTCGCAATGTTTGAGGTATGGGAACCATAATGATAGTGACGTCATTCTTGGGAAAAAATTGTTTCGTCTTGTTTTGGTTCTTTGTCACTCAGGGTTTGCTATTCTCATGAAGCTACCAGCAACTGATTACTTGTATCTTATTCTGAATATCCTAGCAGACAATGAATTTTATTCTTTATCTCGAAACTGCGCATTGCTGGCTGATAAGTTATCCAGCAACTTTTGATTGCATATTAAAGATTTAAAAATTTAAGATATATTACATATTAAAGATATGCAAAGTTCTCGCAATTTTTTCGTTAAAGTAATACTATATTTCACCCAATTATTGTTCGTGGTTCTTCTTAGAGCTTAGTGACCATTTGTTCGTTACGATTTACTTTCAGTTCCTCTTGTTTTCACTGTTTTATTGGGCTAATTTCCGCCCTGGGTGATTATGCTAGTTTCAGTTAGGAAGGCAACCCGGTATTGTTAGAAAACCTCTCGGCTCCCGGCTTCAATATTCAATCAAGTATGAAGAATGAGCCCGGCCTTATTGAACAAATACAAGATCACCTTGAAAGATTCCAGATTCAAGATGAACCCGGGTTATTGTTTCTACTTGAATCCGACATCTGCTTTCTTGAAACCGTCATGAATGAATCCGGCATACAACGTAGCTTCTTGTAGTGACGTAATCTGCTGAGTTGCTTGTAATGATGACGCTAATGCATTCTTAACGATGAATGGCAGTAGGATCTATATCACAATAAATTGATCGCAATTGTCCCATCCCCCTCAAATACGCCCAAGTGATGCTTCTTCTTAAAACAATCAACAACGCCTTTTACTGCAAACAAAAATAGCTTTTGTGAGCTTTTAGCGCTAAAAGATGACATTATTTCCACGCAGAATCTGACGAGGGTGTTATAGAATAGAAAGCCAAGTTCTGCAGCATCTGATGCCTCCCTATACTCTTCGAAGTTTGCCATAATTGTTCATTTCGAAACACGAGTTTTTCCTTCTATGGCGCTGCAAAAGTTGTCCTGCTTTCGGTTTTATGAATTTATTCTAGCAAATTCCAAGTAGTTATTAAAGGAGCTAACATACCTTCCAAATGTCTTAGAACACCGACGTCGATTTCCAAGGTCAAAATCAATCATCCCCTCTCCCCTACAGAACAATGTTGGTTTACTATCAAACGGGTTAGGATTTTAGGAAGCACTTTCTTTGCGCTTCTTTTATGATATTTCTCTAAATTATCAACATTGTTTTAGGGGGAAGGGGGCGGAAGTAGTAAATTTTTCTTCACGAAAGGAATGAAAGATGTCAAATGCAGCGTAAATTGCTGGGTGTTCCAAGTACTTTTGGCAGGCATTAGAGATAACCTAGAGTTCCATCGATAGAGATTTTCCTCATATGATTAATTTTCGTTATATTTTCGTCACATTACTACCCGCTCTCTTGCAATAAGTTTTGAGGAAAGACAATGTACCTTAGCGGTTTTTAATGAGAATTGAAATGAATACATAAGAAACCTTCCGTTATCTTTTCACAATAAAATGCTTTGACTAGACGAATTCAAAAGACAAACGAGGAATACTAGGAAGGATTTTGCGTCACTTTTTGTGGAATCCAGCTTTGGAGACAAAAGATTGTATGGAGTCACATGTGTGTTGAAATTGAGGAAAAAATTTGGCATAGTATTCAGTCTGCAGCCATGAAAAGTTGTACGTGAGACATTTTGGATCGTTGGAAGAAAGTTATACGTGAGTCTTGGGTCTTGCACTTTTTTCATTAAATTTTAAGAAGAAATTGTTAACAGTGTTTTGTTTGTAGCTGGCCCACTTACATAAAAAAGAAAGAAAAATTCGTAGAGGAAAATCCGGTCTCGACCAAAGAAAAGGGGCCAGAAGTCAACGTATGACAAAGTTCTGGGCTACTTTCCCATTTTGTTCCAAAGCCTTGCCCGAATATCGACAATCTTGTTACCGATTGGCTGTTAATTTTGATAATTACCATCTCAGCCCTTGCATCGCATCCTTATGGTACGTATTTGAAAAAATGTGCCATCAAAATGCACCATGAGTAAAATTTGCATTATTTTGTTATTCAATAAGGCCCTTTTTTGTTTTTTGAAGTGTTTTTTGTATAAAAGTGCCTGTATATGCTGCTTATAATTTCGATGTTTGTGCAAGACGCTTATGACTCCGTTTACACAAGAGGAACTATGCGTTCCTGGTCAAATGCGAAATGGATTTAAATATGACAAATTTCATCAAAGTTTAGTGTTGGTCGAAATTTATATCAACTTTTTTGCAATAATCATCTCTTACGTTGAAAGAAAAATTCTTTAAGAAAAATATGAATTCTTTATAGCTCCATAAAGATAATTTCTAAAACTATCCTACTTGGTTTGGAAATTTTATCGGTTTGCATCTTGTGAATTTTCAGTTTCTGTCTATTGAAACATTTGATCGTCCAACGGCTGTGCCAACATTTAGTGCCAAGGGGGCGAAGAGGTGCAATTACCCCCATGTTTTAAGAATATTTCTCTAAAAAATGAGTGAAAAAAATTTGGTAGGAAATATTTTTCAAATTCACTCGAGTTTAAAAGAACGTGGCACAACTTTTGCAAAAAGGGTTTATCGCTAATATAAAAAAGCATGGTCTAAAATGAATCTTTTCATGATATTGCATTCCTGAATGGCGTGACTGTAAAATTTCATTAAATAAACTTGGCCTACCCTTGATGCCAGAACTGAAACCCAAAGGAACCTAACCTCGACTTGAAATAGAGACGAGACTGTTTTGTAATAGGTTTGTTTTCGTATTTTGATTAGCGAAAATTCTACCCCATTTCATGACATTCTTGTGTCATTCTAAAACTTTTCAATTATGGAGCATGTTACTATTTTTTCTATAAGCTAAATCGATTAGTTAGTTTTCATTAGAATTCCATTCGAAATTCAGAAGGACTGCGCAGATCGTGAAAGCCATGGTCGCTGCGGTGGATGTTTTTTGCACGAGGCGTGGAAACAGGCCGCAAGGCACCTGGAAACAGGCCGCAAGACACCAGTCCTCTTCTACACTGAAGCCATTGTTTGATATGGGTATTTGATTCCTCATTTCGACCCATTGGCCGAGAAAATATATACCCACTTTTGTGATTTGTTTCTCAACAGCTGCTCTGCAATGTTAGATATATGCCTGGAATTTCAATTAAAACTATTTTAAGATGTCTATGTTTGAACTGAAATAGTGCTAATAACAACCTTATAAATTAGTTCTGTATCAGGTAACTGATACCCGTGTGAGCATTGGCCGGGTTTAATTTGCTTCGGAATTTTTCTCAAACCGTGCTCTATGCATCAACAATTCAGGGAAAAGTCTTGGGAATTTATCAAGAGGAAAGATGAAGATCAAGTATCGTGAATTGTTCAGAATTCAATTTAATCTCTCTACATGACATAACATTAATTTAGTCATCCTACATTTTAATATACTGAGCATTCAATCATAATTTCATGATACCTTGCAACGCTTATGAAAAATCTGTGTATCTAGAAGGAACTTCGGAACCGGGGTCTATCAGAGGCATATATCCCCCACATCTTTTCTATGACGTTTGCATCCTTGAAAAAGATTCCTTTCTCAACAAAATGATGACCCCTTCTACCTGTGCCACTCAGATATGTTTCCGACCTTTCTGATCTCTAGTTCGCTCTTTCGTTGTTGCTCCTTCGTTGTAGACGTCCGAAAATGCAGCTCATGAATAAATCCCAGAGCTAAGACAAGAAGCAAGACATTTTCAATTTAACATTTTCGAAAAGCAATAAACCTGGCAGTACCCCCATTTTTGTCGTTAGTACGCTTATGAGTGTCTCTTAGGAGCGAAAACGTAAAGCTGAAGGGCATTGATAGGAAAGAAAAGAGAGCACCTCCATTCACTTCTCCTCTCATCTCCTCTTAACTTTCCCACTCTTGCATTTTGGGGGCGATGCGACTGGGGCAGCGTCTGGGGTAGCAGGGGGGAATCTTCTTATGATTTTCAAAAATCTGTTATTGCCAATAACTATGTCAAGACTCCCCAGGAATTCAAAAATCCAAAAGGAAATTTTACTACATCCCCCCCCTCCTCCTCTAGCAAAAATATCCACACCACGCTCATGGCCTACATAGAATGATGTTTGACCAAACGAATTCATCCTAAATAATCGAGCTTCTTAATACTCTGTCGAAAGCCACTTGTAGACCCTAGAACTCTTTTACATCGAAGTCGCTTCAAGTCACACTTCTGGCTAAAGTCACAAAAAATTTAGACCCAAATATGCAAAACTCTTCTATCTAGCATATTTCATATTTCCTATATTCATACTTTTTTCATATTTCATTTCTGAGTTACCCTTCAACAAAGTTGATTCACAAGGGGCCCTAACTAAAAAATAACAATTACAATTAATAACACTTTAAAAAACCATAATTATAAAACCCTATTTATAGCAGTATACATATTTACATAAAATAATATACAAGAGTTATAATAGAAATAAAAACAAATATCCACTAAATAGAATGTTTAAAACTACTCAGTGTTGATGCCTGTTTACACTCGGCTGAGAGGCTATTCCACAGTTTTGCCCCTCTATAAGAAACATCGTTAACAGTCGCACTCCGTTCACAGTCACAAGTCTTCAAGCATCATTTGGTGCGACACTAACCGGAGTCTCGCGCATAACCCTTTGCCTCTTGTTTTCTGTTCTGATGTTGAAACAATGCAGCATGATACAGCAATGTGGCACAACCATCTTACAGCAAACTGCGTTACGTAGTCATCCTTTTTTTTACCTTATATGGTCATTTTTCATCGGTGCTGAAAGTTTTGATTCAACAGGGCAGAAATATATCCATTACAATACCAGCTCGTGAAGCGTAGGAGGCAATCTTAAAAACAAATAATTAAATGGGATAGCTTGCGTTTACTTGCGAGAAGATGTGGCATTATGCCAAAGAAGTTGCATTGTCCAGCAGTGGCGTAGCTAGCCAAATAGCAGTGGTAATGCCCTCCCCTCAAATTTGAAGAAATATGGGTATGGCCAATTTATGCCACGCCCAATTTTTGAGTTGATGGTTCCCTTTGGAAATTTTAATTTTAAAGCTTTTAACTTATAAAAAAAATGTTTGATGAACCTTTGGAATGAGCTTTTCTTATTATATAGCAATCATCTTGTTACACAATGAAATGTCCTTTGTGTCTTAAAGCTGTGACACTGTTTTGGTTTGTTGGTAATTTATACAGACAGAGTTCTGACAATTTCCAAACAGAACTGTAAAACATTTAGTTTAGCATAGTAAAGATAGGCAAGGGGCCTATCACTCTTTCTAAACAGCGCACGAGATTTTTACTATAATTGAATTTTTAGGAATTTAAGAAGATTTTGTCAAAGGTGTGCGAGATTTTCATGGTGTGATGTTCCCGTCGAAAACAAGCAAAGTGAAGAAAAATTGAACCTTTCCTCCACTCAACTGAGAACGGCCCTCAACCATCCATTGTCCCTGTAATGTCCCTGTGACCAAACTTTCACCCAGAGTGGGGAGAGTCGCCAGCTCTCTGTAATTCCAGGCGTAGGAATCACGAGGTGTGGTCACATCGAGAGGAAGGACCAGGATACTGCTCGATAAGCATAGCTTCTCAGTGTCCTAAAAACTACCTTCGGATGCTAGGTAGCAACAAATACAAATACGAATGAACTTTTGTTGCGTTGATTGTGAAACTGAACCTTTTAAGGGAAGATCGCCATTAGGGGAAAATTTTGATGATTCAAGCTTTAAAAAGAAGAAAAGAGAATGCGTGGAATGGAAAAATTCGGAAATGGTTAATTGATTCCACGACACTCCTCAAAAACTTTTAATATTTTCACAAATACCTATTTTCACAAATACCTCAATAGGCCTTACCGACGTCGTAGGAATAACTTTTCAATACGTAACAATACGACGAGCAGCTAATAGGATTAATAAACAATAGGGCGTTTGTGTTGACAAAACATTACGAAATATTTTTAAAAATCAGGCGAAAGCCAGATGCTCCGGTTGGTTCTATTGTTCTTGAAATGCGTCATCAAAGGTGGCTTGTCCGCCCTGGCAAGTTTATCGGCTTCAAGCTCGCGGAGTGATTGTTCAATAGCCGCCAATCGGATGAGCCGCAGATGGGCCGTGCCCTTTACCGTCTGTTGCTAAAACATTGGAATAAACTCTTGGCAAACATTTTTTGAACAACTATTCCGGTCATGTGCTTGCGTTTTTCTGATTGGCCCATTTCGATCCATAAATGGGTATATATTTTCTATCATGTTCTTTCGGACCTTTATTCTGACGTTTTATACTCTAAGGCGTGTCAGACGAAAAAGCTTTCAGTAGTATGATGTGAAATGTTTGCTTTTTTCAAAGCGATTTACATTAGATTATTTTCGGAATTTCATAAGAGGGGCGATAAATTTCGATTTACCGACAATATTTAATGTTTCGTAACTTTAAATGTTTCGTAATTTTTTTAACATAGCATAACAACATCAGAACTGAAATAAAGAATCTTCTGATTTATTTAGATAAACTGATGCTTTAAATTTAATTCGGCTTTAAATCTTTATTTTCAGCATGTAACACAAAGATAATTAATAGACAACCATGTTTTCCTACAAAGATCGGGCTTCTTCCTACAAAGTAGCAGTTTTAAAAGGGGTTTTTCGCCCCCTCTGACCCCGCTCAGTCTGCACCACAAGCGAGAAACGATCTCGTAGGTCTTTGAGCAGGGCCACTGAGGCCGGAGCCGAATGACCATTAAGGGCAGCGAACCGCTTCTTTGTGTAGTGTGTTGCTATCAGCGATCTACGATCTATTGAATTTGCGGGAGTGTGTTGCCAGTGGATTTCCATAATAGGCACGGATTAGACGTGACATAAACTGGTGATCAAAATAGGACATTACGTCGATTTACGGGTCCGCTGCCCACGAGTTATCAGAGGGACCAGAGTATTTATGCTTGCGTCATAACATTTCACGTTATAAAGCAGAAAAGAATTTTATAAACGACTGGTTGTCGGCTGTTTACAATTTTGCGAGAGGTTTAAAAGAGAACAGGACTCTTGGCCTTGATATTTTCATCTGGTTGAATACCTGGATTTTTATATATATACTGCGACATTGTCTGCCCTGGAAGAGATATTGAATTTTTATGGTAAGATTATTCACAAAATTTTACTCCAAATTTTTAGAAAAATTAGGATCTGTTTGTTATGACATAATTCTAGGAACTTGATATTTCGGATGTGGAAATGGCTCGGCTGCATCAACTAAACTGAAATCACAATTTGTGCCGCTAGTTCTTCCTGGTTTCGCCAATTCCAACCATTTGAAAAATTCGTGGAATTTGCGTGGCGCGTTGACCAGGGTCAGAAGTCTGTGTAAAGAAATTTTTTGGCCATATTAGTTTTCAGTTCACAACAGAGAGTCCATGTTTGCGTAGATGAATATAGGTAGTTTTCTTTAATTTTGTTGAGTTCCTTTCGCAAAGATGGGATTATTTGGGCTAGTACGGAAGTTCGCACTGCTCGGAAGGGCGGGCTGTTTATGTCGTCACGTTTGGACGTGAACGTTACGGCAATAGAAGATACTAGAACACGAAGAGCAAAATTTCAGGAGATAATTGTCAAAGTGTGGTTATGATGCTCAATAATTAATGAGCTGAAATTATGTGCGGCTTGTTTAAATGAGCTATTTTTGTCAAACACCTGGTGTCACTAAGAATTGTCTTCACAAAGCGGCAAAGAAAATCCACCTAGATGTGAAATATAAATAACAAAGAATTATACACATAAACTGTTAAAAAGTACACGTGTTTTTGGTGCCGTAAAAATTAAACACGATTTTAAGAAAATAACAAAGAATTATACACATAAACTGTTAAAAAGTGCACGTGTTTATGGTGTTGTAGAAATTGAACACGATTTTAAGAAAGAGTATAACTCGAATTTGATTTATCGATTGGCCTTCCGTCTTTTTTGAGTAAACGAGGTACCATTCAAATCCTTTAAAGCCTTCATTTTCAGTCATTGTCGAGGAGTTTTTTTGACTGCCCCAACGAATCACAGGTTGCTTAGGGTCAGGAAAGGCTCTCCTAAAATGATATCTAGCAAAACATTATACCCCTCCGGATTCTTCATGTCCGCCCTGCCAATGTTACATGTAGAAATGGTTTTTAAAAGCAGAATATCTGTTGAAATCAGGAACAATGGAAAGGAACGGGGGCAAAAGGCAAATTTAGGACAGGGTAATTCGAAATGATATTCCAAGCTTCCACTAATTCTTTCATAGCTATTTTTATTTCTATTTGCTTTAGGCATCTTGAAAATGGGCTTATTTCTGGACAATTGTTTACAAATTTTGAGTAACTTTGTTGTTAGTCAACCGCAAAATTGGCTAAAAAAGGGACCACACACAGTCAGAATTTCATATTTATAAATTTTCCCTTTTTATTTACGATGGCAAACATCAAATGCACTTACACGAGAAGACAAATTTGGCCCCCTTGTCCTTTATCCTTCTTATCCAAGGGCAAGAGAGGTGCTTTCCTATTCCCCCCTCTCCAGGGTGTTCCAGGCTCGAATTTCTACTTAGACGTTTTCAGTGGAACAGCAAGCAATCCTTGGCCCTTTTCAAAACAAAGGAAGGACCCCCTTTGATCGAATTTCGTAGCTTCCCAGGCCCCAATATCGTAAAAACATTTAAGAAACAATAGCTGCTGGAATTCGCCGCAGCATTATAAATCGAGTGCTCGATGTTGACCCAAGTTTTATATAAAATGGGTGTACTGACAGTATCGAGTGAAAAGTATTAAAAAACAATTGTAAAATAGGAAAGTGCCAAATCGCTAGATCGAGGTCAAACGAACTTTTTAATTAAAACGGCAGAGATTATTTTGATCGAGGGGCAAATCACTCCGAAAAATCTCGTACACCTTTGGTGGAAATCCTATTGTTTTATCTGGAAATCACCAGAAATATTTCTGTTTTAGGGAAAATCTCGTACACCTTTTGCAAGAGTGAATTGCCCCTCGATTTTGATTGTTCCAATACATTGGGTGGGTAATCAATTGCTCATATCATACACTTTCTCATTGGTTCAGACAAATAGAATACTAGCCATCAATAATAGGAATTTAGATTTGTCTCCCAGCAAGTATGGTTTTTCTGCGTTATCGTGCTTCCTCTGGTGTTCGCAGTAAATCTGGGATCGTGTTTCATTTCTCGTTGGCGAAATAAAAGTGAACAGGAATTTCATTGTTCTTTGCTAGAGCCACAAGTTTGTTTTAAAATTTTATGATGATAATACAAAAGTAAAGAGCACGGGCCCATGCCAACCAGCCTTAGTAAAATAGTGTACATTGAGATGTTGTGTGATCAAGTAATCTCGAGGAAGTGGCGAATCACAGGAAAGGCATTCTTTGAGAGGTCTAAGAATTCCGGGAATTCCCTATCATTTGCCTGAGTCAGCAATTTTACATCCTACATATGACCAACGTTGTGATAACGTTTTTCTCGAAGTTCCTGTTCCGCTTTGAAAACCAACTGCGGTAATTGTATCAAGATAAGCAAAATCTAGAAATTTGCTAAGCTGTAGAATATTCATTTTGGAACTTTGTCGTAACAGGTAGGAGGATAGCGAACGACACCCAAGCTTTGATCTGCATTAAACCAAACTATTTCCTTGTTCTTAGAAATTATAGGGGATAGTGTTTTCTCAGTTCATGTATTAAAGCGTAAATGGATGGTATTGAAAGCTACTCTAGGTATTTTAATTTCGAACAAATGCTTAGAAAAATATCTTATTGTTTTTCTCAGCAGTATCCAAGGTTTCAAAGTCAGTATGACAATTCGTTGTGATGGGTGTATCTTCAGTTGCCTTAACAGTTGCTTGCAGTGTGATCTTATCACTGTCAAAGAGTACCTCAGTCTCTCAGTGTATTTTCCTGCTAACGGTGTTTTGCTTATTCCTAGAATGACTGCTGATCAAGACAAAGCTAATCAAAAGACTAAAGACCTTCTCAAGGCAGCTATACTAATGAAGGCAACATCTTTCTCCGAAGATTCATACTCCTTCCCAAAACATGAAGCAATGTCGATCAGCTTTAGAGACGATAGCGAAGAGATGGACAGTGATCAAAAAAGTACAGAGGTAATTACTTTTGCTCTGCTCTCATGCAGTCGATAAGTAAACGTGGAAAGGGGGGGGGGGGCGGTGAAGGAATGAATGACACATTGTATTCCCATTGTATCTCAATAGAAGTAGCAGGGGAGTGGGGCAAAGAACATCCTCTCTTTGGAGAACTTAAGTTTTGGCTCACAGCAGAAAAGTTGCAGGAAATGTCACCATATGTGCTCATTTTAATTTTCTTGAGATAATACATAAACCTTATGCACAATGAGTCCCTCGGATTGTCGACAGGGCTCAACTAAAATTGTGTTTCTCACCTTTTTAACCATCAGAATAAACCAATCACTATAAAATTATCCTTTTTGAAACTCATGGTGTAATAACTGTTTGATGTCTCTGTTGATCCTCAAAGAGTCTTGTGGCTGGCACGCCCACACTTAAAACCAAAAGCTTGCATTAAAAGTCATATTAAGAATTTGCCTCTTGGGGTTCGCCACCAAAACAACGCTGTTATTGAAAGCTAAAACCCAAAAACCGTTGGCGTGTCCTTTGACGCAAGTAAAGTCACAATAAATCTGTGATTTTGCGGCTGAGCTTGTCCTAAGAGGATGTACTGCCTAAACAACGTCGCTAGTAGATAAAACAAGAAAAATATTTTCAAAAATTTCGTAATTTTATTTAGTCGTGTTCCCTTTGCAAAGGAATATTTCATATCAGGTTGGCCTCGTGATAAGCTAAGACAATGAAAAGCTTTATTGTTAAATAAAAGAAATTCCTATTCCAATTGATATGAAATGCAAGACGCACCCTCAAATCTACATGGAAGGCCAATTTTACCAATAAGGAATGCCGAAGACTAATTTTTCAGTACATGGTGGCAATCTAAAAATTATAAAGTAAAAATAACGAAGTATAAGCCAACATATTTCCCCTCCCCCGACATTTTCCCCCGAAATTAGACGAGATACAAAATCAATCTTGCCAAGGACTACCGGGACATTTCCTCTCCAGTCCCCTCCCTCGCATGCCCCACAAACCGGATTTTCACATATACGGAATATGTTTGGGTAATGAGTGAGCTAGTTTCTGAAGAGAGGTTTCGCAAGCTCTGATAACCGGAATATTCGAATGTGATAACACCGTAAATTTGCTTTATCATGATGAATTTACATTGACTGACCTGTTAGCGAACAATGTAATAGAAACCCATAAAAATCCGTTTCTAACAAAGAATTGACGACAATAGTGTGATACGAAACTGAGATTCTTCCCTATCGAAACAGACGCGATCAAAAACAAAATCGTTTGAATTTTCATGAAATGTTTATCGACTTGGATTTAATTTGATTTTATATATTAAACCCCTTCAGCAAGTCAAACTTGAAGAGTCAAACTACAGACCTCGAGAATATGGGGACATATTGTTAATGAACATGAGGAAGGCCAGTGTGACCAATAGAGACGGGCTTTGGTTTTCGGCAAATTCAGAGTCGGTCACGGGTGTTCCTTACTGGTGTTCCCAGTTGGTATAAGGGCTTTTGACTTCTAAAATATTGCTTTGTCCACCTCCAACACTGTGGGTGCTGGCGTTGTCACTGCCACTGATCAAACACCTGACAGGTGGTTTAAATACATGATACAACCCTGCACCCTCCTATCCCATTGGTGTATGCATATTTGATAGCAGAAATATCAATATTGAGCCGGAGCTTTAACACCTCGGTGCCTTCTGACAAGACCTGTAGGTCGTTCCTTTTAAAATGTGCTGATGTTTTTGGTGGCAGAACCAAGGGAAACATTCTACCGTTTATTTTAATTCGTAATAACTACTTTGGATATGCGCTAATGGCTTCAAAAAGCTGCTGGTGTCTGTTAGAACATATTTGCGCAGCTGAAATGGTATTTAATGCATCGCCTAGGATAGTCTTAACGGTGCTTGAATGAAAATTTCTAGATTCTGTAAATATACGAGTACTTTATTCCCTTATGCTGTTTGTAGTTCAAAACCAGTAACCAAAGATATTTGGGCTAGAGAAAAACTAAGTGGGCAATAGAAGTATTTTGGTCCTTTAATCAGTGTCGTCTCCAAAGGGGTGGATTTTTCCCAGTTTTCCCAGAAGTCGATTTTCTAATTTATCGAAATCCATTGAAAAACCTTTGGGGGGCGAGGGAGGTGGGCTGATCAGATTGATTTCGATTTTCCCACTGTCAAAAAAGCCACCGTTGTGAAAAATGCTGCTTGAGAAAGTTGCTTGTCCAAAAATTTCAAAATAGATGAAAAATACTAAAAAAAGATTTTCCAAGAGTCTGAAGGGCGTGGGCGAGAAAATTTGTTTTTGTCCATCCCAGTTTTTTCGAGCTGGCGACGCCACTACCTTTAATCTGTTTTAGACATATCTATTCCTGAACTACAACAAATTTATAAGTTCTGATAAAGCCACCCTTAATTTTTTTATAATCGTTAGGAGCTTAACTTCCTTTGATATATAGGAACTTTGGAGAATTCCTATCAATTCCATATAATTCTCCAATTAATTTATAAGACGTTTTCTTTAATGGTTTTGATGAAAGTGTTCCTTTTATCAGAAAATAGACTGTTTTAAGATAGAACTTGCAGCACTGCATTTGCCTGAGGAAAGTTCCCTTAAATAAATTTCCTTAGTTTAAGTTGAAGGTGATGCCAAATTGATTTGAATACCTGCCAACAAAGAAGAAGAAATTCGAGTTTCTTTTGGATAGTTGTATCGTAAGATAAACTTAAATTCTTGTTTTTCGTCATAGGAGGAGCAACGATACCGAAAAAAGAAAGAGTTGAACAGGTTGGCTGCACAAAGAAGCCGAGAGAGGCGGAGGCAGCTAATAAAACAGTTGGAGCAGGTATTTTTCTGAATTCCCTCTTTTTTACAAGGATGCCTGATATTTTACTGAGTCACAATATTCTTAAAGTTTTTGTTAAATCATTCTTAAATTTCAACGATTTTGGTTTGAGTTTGAAGGAGATCTCTAATTGTGATCTCCCACTACATTGTAGTGCCGTTGGAACGTACTCCATATCAGGGGGCTGCCCATTACATTGTCTCTCATTCAATACACTGTTAAAAAAGGAAATATAATTTAATTTGACAATTATTAAGAGGGCTCCATACCCCCCTTCCCTCCAGTCCACCCCGCTTTCGATGGCCCTGTCACATTGGCAGTCTTCAATTACTATGAATCAGTGTGATTTATTGTTTTAATGCCTTTTATCCTCAGGAAGTCAAAGAGCTTGAAAGCTGCAACGATTCAATGACAACAGAAATTGCGAGCATGCGCAGTGAGATCAAGCAGTTGGATTTCATGTTGCAGAGTCACTCGTGCAAGATGACGCAATGATATTCGTATGTTTTGGGACATTTTCGGAGCATGTCAGTCCATTCAGAGTTAGATCATGTTTGAGTACATAGTCACAATAATGACGTTTTAACTACAGACATCCAACTTTAATGCCATCATCAAAAGAAGTTGATACAACATTCCAAGCAGAAATGAGATTTCAGTACATGCTTATCATTTTCCCAAAAACAATTCTTGAATCTGCAGACGTCAATTTTGACGAAACGTTAAATACTGTTCAGAGTTCAGATTTTTCCCCAACTACTTCATGTTAGAGGAGAGTTTACACAAGAAAGTCTAATGATGATTTCAACTGGAATTTGTGCCATGATAGCATTCAACAATCCGCATTGCATAGAGATAGTGTATTTAAACTGAAAATTTGTATTTAAATTTATGCCCAGATTTACTGTTGTAATGTATGCGACCAGTAATGTATGCCACTAAGAGCTTTGAATTTCCAGCACTGTTCAAATTGAAAGACCCCTCTATATCACCCTCTTGAATAAACGATCCGTCTTAAGCGAAAAAATGGACAATTATATTGCTTTAAGTTTGTTATCCAACAAAGTGTCTACTCCAGTCAGTATTTCAGTCCCTCTTATACAAAGAGAAATGAATGACACATTTGAGCAACCCATCCTCCTGTAACAATCAGGGTTCTTCTTATGACGGTGAATAACCGGTGTATAACTAGCCCGTTGGTGGAACGATGGGCTAGGCCAAAGGGCCTAGGCCCTGAATAAGTAGCACACAAAAGATACTCGTTCTTTGATGTTTTCTCAAATGATCCAACAGAAAGACTAACTTATATCGTGATCAACATATACTAGTAACATAAATAGAAGCACAAACACATTGCCATAAAAAGGCACTCACTAACACAACAGGACTTAACTCATATTCAATGTTGCTACTTTTAAGCCAAGTTTCTGGTGTAGTTCCCTAAACATATGCGAAGCGTTGAGTATTTAACTTAAAAGCAATCGACAGATATTAAATAGCTTTAACCATCTGTCAATCATGATTTGACCAATCAATGAGTGTGATACTACTTGCGCGTTTGTTGATTGGCTAATGTTGATAGACAATTGAATCGAGCCACTTTAGTGTCAGTCGATTGCTTTTACAATAAGCAGTCTCTAAACGACTGTATCAGTCTTGTTTTGGAAATATTTATTTCTGTTTTGTTGATTTATGCAGTACCAGCCCTTAAAATGACATAAATTACTGTACTGTCGCAAAGCTCGAAAACTTACTGTAAATTAAAATGCTTTTTGTAAGTCAAAGTATTTAACTTCTGTGTAAACCTGAAACAAAAGTAGTTAAAAAGTGACTCGATTTTATTTTATCAAAGTTAATAGTTGCAAATATGAATGACTTGTGTTTTAATAAAGAAAGATAATATATTTAATTAGCAAAAATGTGGCTACTTTATTTACATGCTTGTAAAGTTTGAAAGATAAACTAGAATAGTGGTCTTTTCTTTTATTTTTTAGTTCTTTCTGTTATCCATTTCTTAACGGCGAAATTTGCAATTTTGACGACGAAGAGGCTTGCTCTGGTATCCAGCCTGAACTATAGCAGTCTGTAACTAGATGGTAAAAGACTGTTACTAGATGAGAAAGGCAAATGACTATTTCCTTGATTACCCCCAAATTCCATGTCCAGTTTGTTTATATAGAATAGATAGGGTAGTGTAGTTAGCCCTGCAGAAACATTCTTGTTCGGTATTCACGTTTGGTTGAAAGCTATATTTGAAAAGCTTCGCTAATTTCGAATGCAATCATATTCAGATGAATGTCCCACGAAGCTCTGCAGAGTCTTACTTTTGACTTAGGCGTCCAAATTCATTTTAATTTTGTTGAGCCTAATATCAGCAAATTGTTTCAGATTGAAGTTTTCAAAAAAAAATTGCATCGTCGCTGCCTCCATTGTTACATCTGTAGTTTTCGCATCGTCTCCGTAGATATGTCTATCAGAGACAGGGGCGGATCCAGAGCAAATTTGAAGGAGGGCGCTAAAAAATTTGCAAAAATTGGTGCTGTATACAACAATTTCAGATTCATTATCGGAATAAACAACATAACTTTGAGGTAATCCTTGGAGGAAATTAACCTATCGGTCTCAGAAACTATACACCTGATTCTCATTTTTCAAAAGCGGCGCACAATTTCCAAAAAAGGGGCGCCAGACTTGCTTCAACTCATTGAGGGAGGGACAACTGCCCCTAGTTGCCCCCCCCCCCCTTGAATCCGCCACTGATCAGAGATACCATCCACAAATTTTTTTGACCTGTTTGTAATTCCACGTTTAAAGCGTATCTGAAACAAAGATTCTGACCAAATCTTAAACCCGAGGACGAGTTAAAATCAATGTGTGCTAGTAAAAATATCGTTTTTGAAAGGGCCATGACATTTAAATGACTCATAGGGGGTGGGGGACATCTCGGCGACATTAAAGTCATTGTCCCAGCTGATGATATCACTGGATTTATCATAACTGTTGAAAAGAGTTGTCATTTGTTGAGAAGACTTATCTATTTCTAGCAATAAGAGTGTTTATCTTAAACTATTCTTATTTTTGAGCTAATCTTCATTTAATTCATGGTTTCCCTACTGCCTCATCGTCTAATGTTTTTCCACTTACGTAGACATTTTTTGTTAGGTTTTATGATAATAAAAAGAAAGATTGATATAGTTTGCCTTATTCATCATCCTGACAAAATATTCTAGCAATTATCCAAGCCAAGATAATTCTCAAGCTTAGTTAATTTTATCTTGGTAACGACATGAAATTTTAACGCTCTGAAAGCCAACCCGGTCACCTCTGAAAGCTATGCTCAGAATTATATTTACGCGGGAAAATGGAAGGGAGGCTGGACGTGACAGCATGTTTTTGAGGCCTAATCTAGAAACTAATCTGATCGAAATGTCATATTGCCAGTGCTTTGGTGTGGCATCTAGACTAAGAATCGAGGTAAGAACGACATAAATGAATGATTTTTTATATTAGAAAGACGCCCGTATCTTAAACAAAGCCAATCCCAGAATCATGGACCCGTACAGCTTGATGATCGTGATTATACATAATAAAATTATTACGATTAGTAATTTTTAATGCAATGAATAAGGCAGCTGTGTGCCTTGAGTTTCTCCTTTAATTGCTTACATAATTATATAGGCCTGACGATAGGCGATTCGTTTTGACGATTCGAACGCAACTACCCTCCGGTTATCCTATACTGTGCCCACCAAAGTTTTACTGTTTTTTCATATTTTCATAGCTAAATAAAAGTTCCAAGTATTGGAAAAGACTCCTTTGCTAACTTTTTTAAAAAAAATTATAAAGATTTCATTTGAAGTTTAGTTCCTGGAGCATGTGTGATGGACAATCAATTTTGTTTTTGTTTTAATGCCCAAAGTAAGAAAATTGTATTTGCAGGTTTTGACCTCTGAAAATCGGAACTGGTAATCAAGGTAACATTTGTTGACCAAAAAACACATGATTCGTTGCTGCAGGTTGACGTCATTGATTTGTATCTCGCTATCTATGGATCTTTCTCAAAAATTGACTTCAGAATTGAAATATTCATCTTTAAATTAGTTTATACTGAAAAAATGATGTTGTTTGGACTGTTCTGCAGTAAGTTACTTTGTTTTGAATATTTAGATGTTTCTTTAGATTTGACTGATAGATATTTCTTAAAGTTTTTCAGTGAATAAACGCTTACCAATCCGGTAGTGCTGACCAGTTTGTTTTCTGATATTATCACTTTTAATATCATTATTATAGAAAAAATTTCACTACAGCAACAAATTCCATTGAAAATGTATAGGAAAAGTTAAATTTTGAAAATGGGTCAATTCGCAGCTTGATGACCCAAACAACTTGAAATTTTCAGCACAAGCTAATTTCAACATGAAGATTCAAATTCTATGAGCCATTTTTGCCAAATGTGAAGATAAAAATTGCTGGGATCAGAGAATTGGTCCCTATACGAAAAACACATTCTACTTTGATAAACTTTTCAAGACCAGGTTGACAAAAAAAGAACATGCAATACATTTAAAGTGTTGTTGTTGATAAAGTTGAATAAGAAATAAAACTCTCTATAACTTAAATGACCAACTACATTATCCTGTACAACTCTTTCAGAGTTTCTCTCCATAAGCCGCCTGGTACCTAGCTCTGACTAGTTGTAAAGATATTCTTGATTACTTCCATTTATTTTGTCAAAACGTATGAGCCATTGATGAAATATTGTTTCTCATCTCTGCACATGCAACTTTGTTTTAACAATAAGACATCGTAAATATAGCAAGTTTTTCAATTTTATATACAATAGATAATAATTAGATAGCAATTTATTCATAATTAAATTTGCAGACTTTTTGGCCATTAGTATGTATATTTCTTACACACCAAACACATCATCCACTATACACAACACCTTTATTTCTCCAAATTATGAAATAACTTCCTATTTCAGTCTATCCTGCTTTTTAGGACCCTTATAGATTATGTCATATTTTTTGTACTAAGTCATTCATTGTGTAACAATCGGCTTGTTTATAAACGTGGATTTGTATACTTAGTGCAAAGTTTGATTTTCTTTTTTAGAAGAGATAACACTATGCTTTGATTTAAAAAACATGATAAATAAGATAAATTTATTTTCAAATGCCAGGGCCTTTTATTCCTTGAAACAAAAGTCTCTACCAAAAAATTGAAAGTTCACATATTTTAAAAAGTGAGCACGATTATTTTATTGGTAGTATTTTTTAAGCATAGTTATATGCTAAATGGGTCTTCTGAGCCGAAGGAAGATTAAGCTAAGAATGTAAAACTATAAATGCCAAAAAGCTACCAAATTTAAAACAATGTTCACAAAAATATATTACTCTAAAACCTTAAATGTCAATAAATATCAGATTGTTTCTAAATCAAATCTCCTGATTATGCAATGAATTGTTTTGATAGAATATTTTCTTGAACGATATTGACTAGATCGAACTTTCACGTTACTTTCTTCCTGTACATTTAAACACAAACTTCTCTTATTTGTCAACAATTCTCCACTTGAATTGTTGTTCAAACTTTTTTCTTGAAAAAGACTTGCTTGGGCTGTTTATTTGTTTGCTTGCCATGAAGTTGTTGCTTTTACCAGAATTCTTTCTTTGACCATTTAAAGTCTATCCTTTCACTTTTGAAAAAGCTTTTGCTTTTGAAGCTGTCCCTAAAATTTTAAATACAGTTTTTCAGGACGCATCAGATATAAGGTGCTCTCATGCAAAAGATTGGAGTGTACTACATTAGGATACTACATAACATTGTTGTTGCAGCAGCTATGAGGGCTTTGGGCATCAACAATCTATAAAGTATAGGGTGCAAATTTGGAATATCCTGAACATTTATATAATGTTATTGAATAAAATTTGTGATATTAATGTTGAATAAAATAATCTAAGAGTATAAAGAAAGGGTGATTTTGCAAAAGATTTCAGGAGAATTAGCCCCTAGGCCCCCTATTTTACCCCATAAATAATTTTCTACTTGTCACAGCATGCTTATGAGATTTCTATTATTCCTCACCTGGTTTGTTAACTTTTGTTTTCTTTAATCTTCTTTTCGCTAATAAAGACACTTTCTGATTATTTAATCTCCGCTGCTCATTCTCAACTCGTTCATTCAGTGCATTTGAAGCTTCTTTATAAGCCATGGCAAAATCTTTTTGAAGAAGACTGTCAGCCATTTGATAGACATCACCTTGGTCTGAAATATTTAAAAAGTCATTAGTCGATCCGTTTGCTAAAAATCTCAAATGGCCTAGAAATGTCTCATATGGCTCCTGGTGCTTAAGTTTTCTCTGCTAGTAGGAACTGTACCTCTTTGAGTTTTCGTGGTCATCTAAATTCCTATTGGCTGCATTATACACTAGGCTGTTGTTTTATCATCCAATCGCAACTCCGGACTAATTTTCAATGATTTCTCAAAATTGTATGCAGAGCGTATTGTTTACGTGAACGGTCGGCTATTGAGACAGTGTCTCTTTAACAGCATGGCTGTTGGTAGTATAGAGACAATTATGGATTTTCTGGATGTTATGATAACCCGTACCATTTCCAGTGCTATAAAACCAGCAAATTTCAGTGTTTTAATGTTTATAAAAACCACGGTGTTGTGAAGGTGAAACACTTAGTTGTTGTGTCTGCACTGGACCAGCTCATATCGTATTGTTCTGTTTCAATTCAAACCAAAATTTTGAACAGAAAGATTGCCTTCCAATACCGTAAATCCTCGAATAAGCTCCCGGGGGCTTATTTGCAAAAATGATTTTTAGGTGGGGGCTTATTCGAGCGTGGGGGCTTATTCGAGGAATGACGGTACAAACAGAAACTCAAAGCTTTGTACAATCATCCTGTTCCTGTGTTAACAGTCAAAGTTTCCATTCCATGAGCTAGAATGAAAATGGGTTGAATGCTCGCGTATAAACTCGTCAAGGATGTCACTTACCGTAGCTATTTCCTGAAGAACTAGCATCCGGCTTTGCAGCGCCTCTATCCGGTAGGGCTCGCATCAGTGTGTCCTTTCCTTTTTGTTTGTTCTTTTGATTGAAGTAAAATGCCATTTCCGATGACTTACCGGAATTCTCAGCTGTCAATGATGAAAAGTCCGGACGAGCTGTCCGGGATATGAAAGTCTCACTAGTATCCGGCATCGTTTCTAGTCGCTTTTCAACTATCGCTGCCCCTTGTGGAAAGGCCATTGTTGTGTAACCGGGATGGAAATCAGAAGGAGGCTTTGACATGGCTTCTTGGTTTAAGTAAGAGGCAATCTTTAATTTTGCCGAGCTTAGATTAATCTTGTCAATATTCCCTGCAATGGGTTTTGCTCCGCTGGCAGTTTTAAGCCCCAGTTTTTGCGCAATAGGGTTGTTATGATCACCGTCTTCATTCTTGATGTCATCTACATTTAAGGGATCAAGCTTTTGGTTCTGCTGAAAACAATCCTTCTTGTATCTTGCGATCAACGCTCTACTGAATGTCCGTTTTTGGCGTTCTGGTAGTGAATTAAAGGAATCACAATCTATCTCTAGTTGACTGGCTTTTGCGTTTTGCGATAACCCATTCCCTAAAATCTTATCTAAATTATCCTCTGCTTTGTCATTATTTTCTTTGGTAGGCCCGCCTTTAATCCCAGCATCTAGTCCTCTGCATAGCTCCGGGGTTTTGTCACAGTTCTTTTCATGCCAACCATTCTTGGGCTGATCAAACTCTTCTGCGATATTCTTTTGTGGAAAATTATTTTCCCCTGAGTCAATCTTGTCCTCTATTTTGTGTGTATCATCTTTGAATTTGTTGCTATCTGATTGTTTATTATCCCCATTTACTAATTTTGAAACAATCTCTTGTGGTTCTGTAACTATCGGAAAGGCACTGGCCAGATCCCCTTTCTCCTTGGCACTAATCTTCTTATCTTCGGTTTTCTCAGCTCCCTTGCTGTCTTTTTCCTTCGTTTTCCCTTTGCTCTTGTCATCACTATCTTCTTCCTTCTTCCGGTTCATATCTTCATCTTTATTTAAATGTCCAGAAAGCTTCTTCTCATCGCCAAGGTCAATGTTACTCTCTCTTAAAGCTTTCATTCCTTTGCTGATGATTTCCACTAACGTAGAAATATTGGACGATTTTTGATCTTCTACAAATCCTTCTTTGCTAGAAATGGCATGATGTTGTTCTTCTGTGCTTGGATCTCTTGAAGGAGCGTTCTTTAACTGATGTTTTCCAGGAACTGTATCATTTTCCAGGAACGATGCTATATGACCTGTATTGCCAGGACTTTTTACATTCTGGGGTTTGTTCACTGGCAACAATTTTTGAGTCTCGTGACTTTGGTTATTGTCTTTTGCAGACGTAGTAGAAACATGGTTTTGGGAGGGACTTGTGATGGGCGCATTTTCAGCAGGCATACCCTTGTTTGATCCTTGATTTCCTGTTTCTTTGTGTTGTGTTGTTTCTTTGGAATTGTCCTTTTGCTCTGTAAAATGTGAAACGGTACTCTGCTTTGGTGATATATCTAGATGTGAAGATGATGGACGCGTCTCACTTTGTGTTGCAAGCTTATTGACTTCATTTTCTGGGCGTTCGGCATAATGTTTTTGGTTTCCAAACTCTTGTTCCTTGTCACCAGTGAATTTCATAAACTTCTGGTCATCAGGTGTATCGTGAAGAGCAATATGACGAGTTTGGTCTCCATCAAGCAATCTATTTGGTGATGCGCCTAAATATTTTGTGCTTCCTGAATATTTGTTCTGATTGTCTTTCACTGCTAATTGCTCAATTTTGCTTTGACTAGCAGAAGAATCATCGTAGCCTTTATGAAGAGTTTGTTTTGTTTGCAAAGACATTGGCATAGGCTCTTCAGTCTTTGTGCTAAATTTCATGGTGTCATCAGCCTTTGTGCTAACTTTCATGGGCGACACTATCTTATTGGTGACGGACACATTCATTCCTAGGTTCTCTACTTCTGGCTTTAGCTCTGGCTTTTTACCGCATCCTTTGCATTTAGAAGGACCTGTTTTCATGTCTGATGATTCAAGCTTAAATTCCACCTCTGGTTTGACATCACAATGTTTGCAGAGTTCTTGATTGTTGTGTTGATGGGTACTCTCTTGGTTTGCATGATTTTTATGCTCTTCCTCTGCTCTGTTTTGGTCAAAATGATTGTTTTTGAGTTCTTGAATGTTGTCAACTTTTTTCTGAGTTTTAAATCCCAGGTTTTCACTTCCTCTTTGGCTACCAGGTGAATCACCTTGACTTGGATGCAAATTCTGTTTTGTTTGTAAAGGGATGGGCACAGGCCCTTTGAGATCCTCTGCATTGGTTACAACAGTCATTGGTGATACTATCTTATTACTCACGGACACATTCATCCCTAGGTTCTCTACTTCTGGTTTTAGCTCTGGGTTCTTTCCACATCCTTTGCATTTAGAAGGACCTGTTTCCATGTCTGACGCTTCAAGTTTAAATTCCACCTCTGGTTTGATATCACAATGTTTACAAGGATCTCTTTCTTTTGCCTGCTCTTGCTTAGGAGACACAGAATCCGTTTGCTGTTTTGAAGCAAGATTAGGTGGCTTTGAAAATCCATTGTTTTTATTATCATAATTTCCCTGTTGTTCTTTTCCAGGTAAGCCCATGTTGTGTTCCATCCCATTCACTCTTTGCGGTGCTCTTTGGCTATCAAATCCATGGCTTTCAATCCCTGGGGAACTAGATTTCTGGCCACCTAAACTATGGTCCCCAAACTTTTGATCACTGACCCCTTGAGCACCAACATCAGATTCTTCCTTATCGCCATGCATTTGTTGCTTATTTTCATCCATCAATTTGCTGTTTTCTGAATGCATCATTTCTCTTCCTGAATCTTCATTGGGATATTTTGCGCTGGACGAACCAGTTTCAAACTGGCGACCTTTTTCAACCGCCTGAAAGTTATTGTGGTGGATGGGATTCGCATTGTTGGCGGGAGAAGGTCTATCATCTGACAAAGGCTGCTTTCCATGAAAGTCTCCTCCATTCTTCCCTGAGTCCGCCTGTAGTCTTTCATGCCCTCTTACGTTATCAGTATCATCATGATGGTGAAACTGCATCGACTGCTGTTTGTTCCTATCAAGAGCTGTCTTGCTGTTTTCTGCTGAATACGTCTCACTCTGTTGATAACTACCGTCTTTGGCATACTTGCTATGGCTGCTTCCTTTATCCGCTACTCTATTTGCGCTCATATCACCTAGTTGCCACGCGCCTGATTGTCTAATCGCTTCTCCCTCCTTGTGTGTATCAGGCTTCTCTGCAAACAACGCCGACTGCACTGGTTGAACTTGATTTGGCATTATCATCGACTCGACTGGCAATGGCTCATTGTCTGCTTCTGCCTCTGCTGGTATTGCTTCAGCGCTGTGACTCTCTGGATCAGGCGCGTCGTATTGCGTGAATTTTACCTCGTTGTTGTATTTTCCTTTGCTCATTACCATGTTATCATCGCCACCATTCTGAATCCTCGTTGCTTGTGCAGTGCCTCCGTTACCTGTTGCGTTTTGGCGGTCAGAGTCCATTGCATAGTGAAGGCCTCTTCCGTAAGGGGATGATTTATCCACTGCTTGCATGGGCACCTCCCTACCAAGGCCTATTTCTCCTGATTCCTGGCGGTTCAGGTACGAAGCAGCAACTGCCTGTCCCTTTGAACTGCTGATATCTGGTATGATTTCTTGGCTACTGAACATTTCGTGTGGCTTATGAGGCACTTCTTTTGTCATTTTCTCGGCCAATGCTTGGTCAGGAGTCAAACTTGATGGTATGCCAGCATTGTATCCCTCATTCATTGATGCACCTTTGCCGTCAGGTTTAATGGCTTCAAAAACAACAGAGCCACCGCCTCCGAATGCAACGTATTCTTTGTTGACCCCTATAATGAAAATAACGTCATTTAGATAGTCACTTTTGCAGCACGAGGTTGATTCAAAATGGCTAGTCAGTAAATTGCACGATTTATGCAAATAATGCTTACCTTTCCTTGCAAATTACATTTCATGATTAATTCAATTAGACAATTTAAATAAAGGGAAAATACAAATTTCTTGTTCCCTGTCAAATCATTCAACAGCAGTGGCGTAACGGAGGCATCTAGGCCCATAAGGAAGAAAACTGAGAGAGTGCCCCTACTTTCGGACTGCGAGAAAGTTTATTCCAACACTATAGAGAATATCAAACACATCGTAAAAATGAGATTTCTTTTCCTTTAATTAGGTGGGCTGAGTTAAGGAAGCTTCAGTTGATTGTCTTAAACGCTTTTAAAAATGAAGAGAACTTGAGCGCAGTCATAAAATATGGATTTAAAAATAATTTAGGGTCCTCTTTTGGTTTTGGGCCCTTAGCTATCAAACTATGGTACCCTAAACTGCGTTATGCTACTGCTTCACAGCTGCGTTTGAATCTGTAAAAAGTAAAACACATTGCAAAAAACAGCGGCTCTTTCTTCCTTTGACCAATAATGTTTGAATGAAACAATTCATAAGCGTTTGCAACTATTTTTAGTCTGCTTCAGTGAATGACAATAGGCTCAACCATTAACATCAAAACCTAACTCACCAACAATTAGCTGAATTGTACTAGGCCCTTTTCCTGCGGGTCTTTGCACCTGCTGTAGCCATGGCAACTGACATTCACCACGGCAACCAATAAAAGCAAATGAAGCACGACGACCTTTCTCAAACGGTGGTCTAGCGCCAAATAATGTCTGTGGAGAAAAGATGCTAAAGTCAGCAAAATTGAACATGTCTCTAAAACAGATCGTTCAGTACCGTAGGAAGGATAGGGTTATTGGGGGGCATAATTGTTTGTAAACAAAATCAATATGAACAAAAGAAATTTTTCATTTGAAACAAAGGATTTCTATAATTTTCAGAGACGCACGACCCCCATCCCGCCTCCAAAGAGCAATAGTAGGTATGGCCCTAATGTCGTTAAAATATCACAAATTTTTTGTTAGCGTATAGTGGGTCCGTATAACAGTCCTGACTATAAATCGGATTTAGTGCAAAAAATATAATTCTAAAAGGAGCCCACAAATGTCCAAGGATGTATCATTTGTAGTGTTATGTCTCCATAACGAAAGCCCCTTTTCTAACGATTCTTGTTATGCTATGGGCTTTCGGGACAAAGTAAGTTTTTTATGAAGAGAAGTGCAAAATGTGAACGTATTGGTGCAATCGGCATAGATATGACTTGCATAGCACCTGGGAAGAGCTCAAAGTGTCCAGAAAAATGTTTGTCATTCCTCTGTAAAACACGCTAAAGCTCTCAAAAGTTTTTCCAGAAAGCATGGAAAAGAGGCTGGAGTTAGAGCGTGGTGCTTTTGGTTTCCTCGACCTTCTACATGATCGTTGACTGTGCGATCGCCATGTTTTCCTTACTCCCAGAAAGATATCGGGATACTTTTCGTAAAAGTAATTTCTTTAGAGAAGCCAAATTTTGCTCATTTAAGATGAATTTTTATCTGGTCTAATGTAGTTTTAAATTGTTTGTCCGCTTCTAAATTTGGAGTAAAAAGTGCCATCATGAACCAGCTATACTGACTTACCAATGTGTCCCAAACTTCCTGTTCCACAGCACCAGCCACGTCTCCTTTGGTGGCAACCAGTATAATGTTTGTCCCTTTAAGGCCCATCAGAAATGAAGAGAGTTTCTGTGATTTAGCACTGTCCATGTTTGTATCGTAACTCTTCACCATCTTGACTTTAAAAGCTGGATAGTCCATTACAACAATATTAAACCCAAATTTGTCTTCACTAACTAACGACCCGTCGACTACGATTGTTCCTAGAGCTTTGCTGCAATCTTCTCTATTTGCAGGGGGGTCGTCACAGCCGGAAGACATGATTTCAACGGTATGTACTGCAAGGAAAGAAGAAAGGAGTGAATCTGATACTAGCAGTGGTAAGTTTATGTCAGTTTCATTTTTACTGTAACTTTGTTTCATGTTCCACATAAAAGCAGAAAGACCTCTTGCCCACAAAAAGCTTAGCTTCCATTATAGTTACAATATGACTTTTTTTGTCAACATTTAACATTTCCTCCCCTAGATGTATGGAGAAAAGATCAACATTGTTGTTTCGGTCTACGTGATGTCCTAAAAGAGTTTTATAGCATGACCCCATTAACCAAATCTTGCTTTTTTAACTTTTCATTATGATCAGCTCCACAAATCTGGTCTCTTTTTATTCAGACACAGCACTCATTCAAACTGTGTCTTACAATTTTAGATATAGACTTCCAAAGACCAGAAGATGAAGTTTTGTAAACGTTTGTATAGCTATACTTTGGATCAATGGTACCCCCTAGAAAGGGTTTCTATATCCTTGACTGTGTTTAGAGTAACTTTATTATATCTGGTTTTATCCACATATAACCATACATTTGTTTGAAAGCCTTGTATTTATCATTTATTGGAATGTATGTTTTTTGTTAGATGTCGTAATCATAGTTTATTTTCATGACTTGGAAGCAATCCCAAGTCTTTAAAGTTTTTGCTGGTAATAAAGGCAAAGTGCTTATTAACGGGTCTTTTATAAGGAAGACTGGCTATTGTGATATATGCGACACTCACTGCCTCCCGAGTATTCCATAATTGACAGCACACTTGCAAGTTTCTTCTCCATTCTATCCAAAAGCGATTGCTCAACAAGTCCTTCTATTGTATCAGGTTTCGTCTCTTTTACTGGTTCTTTTTCTTCTGGTTTGTTTGTGCAATCTGTGTTCCCTGGTTTTTCTTCCGGCGGGGGCTTTCCCATTAGTCCCCCTTTACAACCATCATCGGGCTTCTCCTTTTCTTGTTTATTCACTTCAACTGGCTCGCATTCCTTTTCTGGCTGTCCCTTTTCAAGAGTGCCACCTTTTTCTGTCTGACATCCTTTCTCCAGTGGGCCTACTTTTTCAGGAATACCCCCTTTTGCCGGTTCCCCCTTTTCTAATGCTCCTCCTTTCTCTGGCTCTCCCTTCTCTAGCCTACCCCCTTTTGCTGGCTCTCCCTTTTCGGGTATGCCTTCCTTATCAGGCTCCCCTTTATCTATCATTCCCCCTTTTTCAGGTATATTTTTATCTGGCTCTTTTTCAAGAGGACTACCCTTTTCTGGCTCTCCCTTTTCAGGAACACCACCTTTCTCCGGTTGACCTTTTTCCGGAACCCCGCCTTTTTCAGGCTCCGGCTTTTTTGTCTCTTTTGGCGGTAACTGATCCTCACCCTTGTCAACAACCTCTAAATTAACAATTTTAGACTGTCCCCCAACTTTTATATCTCGACTCGCATCTGTTGGCTTTCCTTTCTCAAGAGAAACATTTATATTTCCAATTGTTGCCCCGTTCGGTGATATTTCCTCTGTATTTGGATCTAACCCAGCTTTCTCAGGCTTTGCGTCTGCCTTATAATCATACTTTCCTTTAGGTTCACTTTGAGTCGATGTGAAGTAGTGATAGTCGTAGTTATTTGCGTCTCTAGCTTGGTTTTCACTTCTGTTGTCATTTCCTTCGCTTATATCATACCTCTGTTTGCTGTCACCTTGCTGTGTCGTAGCGTAATGGTTTTGGTTCATGACTTGGGAATTCTCGTTCCCTCCTGCAGTAAGGTTTTTCCACCTTTCTTCTTTTTGTTGCTGATACTGTGCCCATCTATCATTCTTTTCCTGTTGCCATTTCTCCCATCTTGGATCTGCCGCGCTTTTTGCTGCAGCCTCGACTTTAGAATTCTCGGTATCCGCTTGCTCTAAACTGTTGCTTGTGAATCTTTTTCCCGTATTTTCGCCAGTATTCTGCAAACTCGTACCTGCAAATTTATCATAAGGCTCCGATTTCGATGGATTGATGATGCCTTCCCCATTATCATTATTTCCAGGAAATTTTCCTGTGTCAAACAGAGCCTTTTCAGGCACTTTTTCATTTACATTGACACCAGCCCTGTTTGCATCGTATGGGCCTTTTTCAATGTAAGACTGTTTGGAACGTCCTCTAGATTTAAAAGAGACAAGCTTTGGTTTTTTCTTCGGTAGTCTACTTCTGCCATAACCTTGCTCTTGTCTTGGCTTTTCAGGGATAATCGGCCCAAAATAATCTCCTTGTTTCGTTATTCGGCTGTTTGGGTTTCTATACATGTATGAGGCCATAGCGTATGGGGAATTCAACGTCGTTCCTCCCAAATTGAAATCCTCGTTTACTCCATCTTGGTGCAGTAGCAAGGAAACTGTGTTTAGATATCCTTTCGGATCCTTTGGTGCAGATTTTTCTGCTTGTATTCTCGCTTGCTGCTGTCGCAAATGAACGATTCGCTGCGGAGGTGCTAGCCTCGATTGGAAATGCCTTGGGTTCAATTTATTATAAATCTGATTCGAGGTTAGAGTTTGACTAGGTCCTACCTTCATTTCAGTTACAGACAAACGCCTGTCTGTCATGGGAAATGCGGTTTGTATTCCATCCTGCATTTGTGATAATTGCCTACTTAACTGGTCGCCTGGATACCACAATTTTTGCCGCTTTGTATCGAGATCCTCCACAGGGTTTCCTACTTGCCATGGCATGTTTCGATTGGTCAGTCCTTTGGCAGTGGCTAGAAGCCTCTTACTAAGCATTGGCTGCTTTGGAATAACCTGTCGATGTAGCATATTGTATTTAATCAAGTTTTTATTCGATGCACCGACAGGCCTGTTTGTGATGATTGCTTTACGCTTGTTATAATCTTGTCTATTAGGCAATTGCCTCTGGGTCTGTTTTGGGATCACATTCGGGTAAATTGGATACGATCTGCGTAAACTTTCGTCCCATTTGGCTTGGAGTATGTTTTCTGGCTTTAAGATCTGAAATGCTGTAGCCAATGACGGCGCCTTTGCCGCCCTTCCATGTGGAAGAAGACGGAGCTTTTGTGCCAACGCGAGTGATTTACCTAGAAAGGCCCGGCAAAAGTATTTTAGGTGTGTGTGCAGACAGAAATTTGCAGTGTATGTTCAAAATATCTAATCTTATCAAGATAAGACCCCAGAATACCAAACTTATCATGCTGGAAGTTGTTTATTTTGCCACATTTATTTACGCAACAATTATTGATAGGAAAGAATTTTATTGTTCAAGAGCGATAATTTTATGCAGATTCATTGAAAACTAACAAACAATCTGCCCAAATCCACTTCAATCTGCCCAAACCTTATCGATGTTGATAAACTTTTCACTGAATATGTTACTTTGTGATCACAAATATTAAAAATTTTCATATCATGATAAAATGTTTTTGCTAAATTGATCTATTTTTCTAACACCCACCCTGTAGTATTGCTTAGTTTGAACAAGATAGAGTTTAAGGAGCAGATAAACAGCCTTAGTCGCTAGCAGGTCTTGAGTTACTTACTATTCGTTGTAAAAAGCCCGGTGTTTATAGATGTTTCTTAATGGGAATTTGCTTCAGCTGTATATGACTTACGGGAAGCGACAATGGTGGCATAAAACTTATACGCTTATACGGCAAAACAACAAGCCTGGCCTGGCCTACATCTGTGGAAGCCGACATGTATTTCAGAAGATGTAAACTGGTCATACTTTGTCTCAGAACATAAACCCTCAATTTCCTATATCTTCATTCAAGTTTTAATTGAACTAGCCAAGTGGCTGTGTTTTAATATTTTCCCTGTACATGCTTTTCTCTTCTATCTCGCACCTTTAACTTGAGGGTTTTACTGTCTTACTCCGAGAATCAAATTTTGAGAAACCTTTCATGTAGCTTAAATGACTGTTGATTGCCTTTTTAAGCTTTCCATAATGTTTAATAGATTATTTTGTCAACAACACATCACATATGACTTCTCATAAAACTACTAATATGAACAACAAATTTCTTAAACGTAGAAGTTACAAGCACTATTTCTTATTTGATCTTTCATTTGATTGTTTATATTTGATAACAAACGAACACAAGATTTTACTTACTTTTTGATCCCCTGATATCAACAGCGTGGATGAAGACAAGCATGGCAAGGAAGAACGTTAATATTTTCCAAATGTCTTTTATGCTTGCTATACAGGTGAGCATTTTGAAACACTATTTGTCTTCTCTTCACTACTAGATCCTTTTCACGAAATATTACATGACTCTACTCGAATTTGTTCTACTACCTCTGGATAAACACAACCATTACATTACTTTGTCTCCATTATTTTTATTACCAGAGCTCTAAAGCATATAAACTTTATTTTCCTAATATTTCCAGCCTTCAGTTGTGAAAATCTTAACTTGCCAGAATTTTTAATGAAGTAAATTTCTGAAATCTGCTTTATGCTGGTAGTTTGTAAGCAGCATGATTTTGTTTACAAAATTGCATGAACACCATTTGAAAAAGACGAGAAGGAATTTGTGTTAAAATCCTTTACTGGTTGGTCTTGTTCCTTGGTATATTGTCAGGAAAAATCTGTTTTTCGTTTACCCTATTCAGGACATCAGAAATAAGTCTTCGAGCGACTAAATCCTTCTCATACGTGATCAGAATCTTGCTTTTGCAAAAGCATTGCAAACTTAGTCATCAGTAAATGGTTTGTGGTTCCCAATAACTTGTTTATAGCTTTTATTAGACATCGAATTAACTGCCTCCAGAAGAAAAGGGTCGATTTAACCAAAATTTCTCAGCACAAGAGTATTAATCCTAAAAAGCTCTTGTTCGTTAAAATCTTAAATTTTTCAAATGATACGATTTTTCCCTTATCGTTTTAAAGGTCGGCTTTTATCTGAATTTGTTAAGATGTGATTTTTATTTTACATGTTCTTTATCTGTGAAATTCGCTGTCTGTCTAATGCAAGTTTATGGTTGAGGCATTTTGCATAGAGCAGGGGCAACTGTCAGAAATTGTGTGTTTTGTGAGATATGTGAAACTATTTGAATACTGAATCTAAATACTTTAATCTGCATCTTTGGTCTTTCGAATTTTGGTGTAAGAACCTTTCAGAGAATTATTACATTCTGACGTGTTCTCAAATGGGGCTTTTGGGGAAAAAACTTTAAAGCAGAGTGTTGTTTTTAACGTTCTTTTGTGACTGTAGACTTTTAGAAGAAAATTTCCGGTAAAAATAGTTTTGCAAATTTGTGGTTCAAAAGCCTTAATTTTGCGATGAAATTATGTCTTTGAAGACAAGCAGGAGTCACTTTCAGATTTTATCTGTAACCTCCAACATGGCTGCAGAAAGGTCCTGGGGCAAAATCGAAACTTTTTGCGACCATGCTTTTCAAAGATAAGCTTAAAATTCATTTTAGAATATTTTTGCTGTTATTTTGAATATGCAATTAAACATTTCACTTTCTTGGGCATACTATTGCAATGTTTGATATGGAATTCATTATGTTGTGAATATAGAAAGTTGATTCTTATTGTAAGGCACTTTCTTTATATCATGCATTGGAAAAATCCCAAACACTCATAACAGTAAGTAGTAATTTGCTACCTTTTGCAAGGGAAGTTGATCCCTTTGAGCTCCCCTAGCACAATATAATTTTTTTGAATCAGTTTTGATCTTTTCAATGTCATGAGGTAATTTTTGATGAGCATTTTCTTTTCTAAAAAACTGCCCAACCTCTTACGAAGTGTATAAAACAGTAAAATTATTTATCTATGGTTAAGAATTTCCTGTGAGAATATTTTTCAACTGTAAATTTCGTGTGACCAATCTTATCACACGGTCAGGGGGAAAATGACACCCTGCTTTAAAGATACGTACTTGCGTACATTTGGAAGTCGCTTTTCAGTATCATTACTGTGTATGATGCTATGAAATATTTGCTTAATGACCATTTGAATAATCAAAGTTGATTGGGGCAAAACAATCTACATGAAATTCTCTGTATATTAGGGAAGTTTCCTATATCTCACTACTACTTTTGCTGGGCTTTGTCTTCTTGAAAAAGGTTTTGGACATTTTGTTTATCCAGTTTCTAGAGGTTTGTGGACACTGTACCTTTCCTTTCTTCCTTGCATCTTCTTCTCCTCCCTTTCTTCCATTTATCTAGCCTTATCTTCTACCTTTCTTCTGTTTCTTTTGCTTTTTTCTCTTTCTTTTCTTCATCATCCTTTTCTTCATTTTCTCTAACATCTCTCCTCCTTTTCTTTTTTTCCTTCTTCTTCTTCTTCTTCACCTCTTTCTTTATTCACTTCTTCTCCGTCGTCTCCTTCTTCTTCCTCTTCTTTTTTTTCTTTATCTTCTTTTTCCTCTTTTCCTTTATCTTCTTTTTCTTTCTTATTTTTCTTTATCTTCTTTTTCATGGTGCAGGGTTGGCCGCTTGTCCCCGATGACACAAAACGATGACACTTAACTTTTTAAAATAATTCCATCTTAATTTTGATCGCCCGCTTCCCATTCTAGGCCCCTTCTACCATCTATTTGTTTATTGCATGATTTTTAACTTCTCCCTTAGGTGCGTCCCTTGAACATACAAATCAATCCACATTAGTTTTAGTTTTTCCTCATCTCTTTGCTAGTCCATTCCCTAATCAAATACTGGTTATTCGTTTTATTATTATGGTACGATTTTCTCCTTTTGCACCATTTCTCCTATGAACGTACAACACCATTGGCTCATTTTTTCTTAGCGCCCAGCATTCCCTACCGTATATTTGTCGATGTTTTTAACTGTTTTTAAAGCTTAATTTAACAATTTTTTGTTTTTCCTTCATTAAATTTCATGCAAATTTTGCCAAACTGTTATCATTTTTCCTCACATCTTACTCGTATTCACCTTATGTTGGATTCCCTGAAAACGTATACTTGCTACAGGCTCTCTCCATTCATGTCCGTCCTACTGAACCCCGTCAATTGTTTTCTTTATAGTGTTCATCATAATCCCTTATATAAGCTCTTCTTGTCTCAAAATGTAAGTTCATTTTACTTTGATTACTCAGCAAAAACAGATGCTGGAGGGAATATATATAGAATACTCTAAAAGCTTGGATGTCAATTGGTTTAGGCAAAATTTCGCAGAAGTACAGCAAATGGCAAAAGATTGGCAGAATGCGATTGGTAGTTGTACTGATATAATTTGGTCACGTGGATGGCTGAACATTGCATGCTGTATTCTTTAGGTAAGGCAGTACACCTACATATTTCTACCTTCTTGAATAGAGTAGACAGAAAATGGGCCAACCGAGGCCAAATAATGGATAGATGAAAACCGCGTGCTCTGTTCTTTAGGTAATGTATTTTATCGATATTTTCTTTTTCTTTAGGAGATTGGACAGAAAATAGACCAACCATGGCCAAAGAAGTGATGATTGAAAACCGCATGCTCTATTCTCTAGGTAAGGTGTTTTATCAATATTTTCTATTTTCTTTAGGAGAATAGACAGAAAATAGGCCAGCCAATGCTAAAAATGCATCTTTAAAAACCACTTGCTTTCTTCTTTTGGTTAGGTGATTTATCAATATTTTCTATTTTCTTAAGAAAAAAAGAGACTAAAAGCCGAGGGCATACTAAGTCTGCTAATCTGTCTTCATATTTCTTTAACTGATAATCTATACCTACAAATATCGAGAATTGACTACTAGAGAAAAGAAAGTCTTTTGCTGTAGCTCCTATTGAATGATGCTCTTATTTGGTACCTAGGGTACAATCTACCTGGGTTTTGGGACTGAATCTGGTAAAATCTACCTGGAATTGAGACTCAGGGTAACTTAATTCAGAATTCCAAAAGAATGTCCTCGACTATTTTCGCTGAAGCCATCATAGCTATCTGTCATAAATCTTAGTCAGGAAATAATAACGATACAATCTTTATAAAGTGTATAAAATGTGTATATCTACGTTTCATAAACCGAGGGGAAATGTTTTATGTATGTAATTTGCAGATTCTCATAATTTTTCCGCATGAATCATTTGTTTTTTTCTGCTGTCTTTGATTTTTGATAAAGAATAAGAAATGGCTTCATTTTGATAGAATTATTTCGCAGTGACATAGTGTTATGAGGTTGAAATGGCAGAATGGTCACGATAATGATTAAGATGATGATTATGATAACGATTTCGATGGTGGTTATGATTATTATTATGACAACAATTATGATGACACCTTAGGATACACCTCTGGCTCCCAATTTTTTGATAGGTTTCCAATGCAACAAGTCTGACGTTTAGGCAAACTGCTAGCTGTATAACTAGTTGATTCTGTGCGCAATCTTGGTGCAACCGCCGATAATATTCAACCAAGCTGATGACATCCACGCCAAAGAATATGGATTATATACATGATTAAGCAGGTCAGATCCGCGGGCAGGTCAGCATTGTTCAATTGCTGTTTCGGTAAGTCAATACCATCAACAATCGCGAATCACTGATTCGAAACAACCAAATCAGTGAATGTTTGTCTAACAGTCGAGAATTCGTAACAGGCGTTGATATAATTGTTTTCATTATCAACAATTGCCATTTTCTATTGTTGTGAAAAATTGCACTGATAATGTGTCGTTTCAGTGACCCTATTCATGGCTAAATTCATATCCTTTTTAGATTGTGCCTCAAACCGCCTGTCAACTAAATGACAAATTTCAATTCTTTTAGAAACAGTCTAGGACGTATAACGTAGTTCTCTTGCGTCAATATATTTCTACATTGAAGCCCAACACTCGCTTTACATTCCCCTAAATTGTCCCTAAACGCGGAAGGGGGTGAAGGGAATTTTATGGGTCACCATCTTTTTATGACGTAGAGTTCAACTGATTCCCGCCCAATGCGGAGACACATTTGTTGTCTCCAAAATTCCCTTTTATGTCTATTTCAGTTTTTGCATAAAATCGTGGAGTCTACGTGAAGCAAAAGTTTCCTTTAATCGAAGTTGTTGCCACAATACTTTCCTGATATTAAGGTTTATCTTATCAGAGATCTGTTCGCTATCATGGAGATTTTAAGTAGATTGGAATTTTAACAGACCGGATGATATCTAGTGCATACCAGATGTTATATCTAGTAAACTATGCTTACCAGACATAAGATTTCTTATCTCGAATAAGGGCCTAAAGCTATTACTGTTTTGACATTGTTTTGAGGCCATGTTATTCTCTTGTGATCACTGCCATAGCAAAACATGTGGATTCCACTGCCGTATTACCAATGTTATGTTTATGCAATCGTTTTTGCATGTTTTGCACCTAAATAGCACATTGGAACTGTCATGCAACTTCATAAAGCTTATCAGCATTTTTCGTCAAAGGCTTTCTGTTTATGCTACAAAAAACAGGTCAATATCTTTGCCTTGTTTTTGCAAACAAACCGGGATTGTCACGGTTATGCAGTGTACAGGGAGGCAGTACCTATGGCGACCTCTTGACCTAAGAGACAGGTTGCATTCGAACGGTGTTGGTACATTGCTATTTGTGTTTGCAATCAAGCGTGAAGCTCGCTAAACTGCTGCCCGTCCTATGTTTGTCGTTTTATTTTCACAATGTTTTGCGCATTTTTGAAACAAAAATTAAACGATTTAAACTGAAAGATCGAGGATGATCAAGAATGAAACTTTGGTTTGGTTACTTTGTTTGCGCGTGTGTTTGTGCATCGTTGGGGAGAGCTGCCACGAACCAAGACGTTGACGGCACGATAGGTAAGTAGGCCGTAAAATCATAGCTAGCGATTCCTTTAATCTTTAGATAAAAGCGTATTTATGTCTATTTGGTATCTAACGTATAGCCTTTAAGTTATTCGTGATCAGATACCGATTTTTCTTCTCTATTGCTCAGGCGTGCTCACGGAAACTTTGTATTTGATAGAAAATGTCAATTCATTTTTGAGTTCAACATTATCTTTTTTTGTCTTATTTATAACTATGATTCGTGTTGCCGTACATGTTCCCATTGAGAAACATAGTCAACTGTACTTTTGTCTCTAAGTCTATCGTTAAGGTTAATAATCAAGGCTTGATATTAACTCTTTCACAAAGTAAGTTAGATTTTAAGCATAAATTCCCTTTTTGGTTTTCGAAAGCCTACTTAGTAACGAAGTCACGTTTCTGAAATTCTTCAAGTGAGCTTTGACAGAGTTCATAAGCCCTATGTCGGTCTCAGTAAGTGAAAATGTTTCAATGACGTAAATTTCAACCGGCTCATTCAATTTCAAATTACTATCTAAGTAACTAATAGCGAATAGGCCTGTTCGAGACTGCGACTCTTTGCTCCTGATATGCACCCTATGGGGCTTAGACACTAAAAATCTTTCGTTAACATTGGTGTCTTTGCGTGAGTTACGTTAAAGGCCTAGTTTATCTTTGCATTCAAATTACAGAGTAACTGTGATCTTTGACTATGATATTTTCAAACCCTAGGAGCAGGTGTGAACATATCTATTTGCTTATGAGCCTTAGAAATCTTCTTGTTTTCTTATAGTTTGGGTGGACAATGACAAAAAGGAGAAGGACATAACAATCGGAAAGCCCACTACGGCTGGGAGTGAAGACTTGAAGCTCTGGAACTTTGCTGATAATCGCATTAATAATGTCGAAAGTGTTGATGAAGGGGAACAAGATAAAAACAGCAAAGTATCAACGCCGAAATATGTTGGGACGGAAGATACCCCTTCTGTTTATGATAAACATAAGCCTAAGGTCTCTACGAACAATAAGGACACTGTAGATGCAGAGTATATAAGTGATGAAGAATCCAATGGTGATTCCCTTGAAAATGATGATCATGCCTTAGCATTAGGAAGCTTGTCTCTTGGAGATTCCCCTAAAATTGATAACCAAAATCATGTAGGCGGAGAATCCCCAGAGTTCCACGAGGACTATCAAGAAAGTACGCGAAGTTCTCACGATACTGACGCTACTCCTATCAACTCTCACGTTACTTCTATTAACTCTGAGGCTGAAGAACTTGTAAATGGCCATGAGCAATGGCAAAGGTCTGAATTTGAAACATCACCGGAAGATGATAACGAAGACGAAGATGACGATGAAACCGAGGCTGATGAGACTGGTCAGACAAAAAGCCTTGTCGAAAAGCGCCCAAAATCTTCTCATATAAAGCGCCCAAAATCTTCTCATAAAAAGCGCCCAAAATCTTCTCATAAAAAGCGCCCAAAATCTACCCATCGTAAAAAGAGTAAGAAAGCAGCCAAAGGGCGTGCGAAAAGTGTGATTGAAAGTCGCAAAAGCAGTGTAATCCCCGATGCCAAGGAAATACGAGAGGCGAAAAGCATGTTGTATGATGGAGTTCATGTTAAAAGGGATGATATAGGGAGGCTTACGCCGTATGATGATGATGATGTTGAAAATGGGGAATTAAGGGAGAAAATGGGGAATTATGCACCTGACGACAAGGAGATATCTGAAGTCGTTTCGCACTTCACTGATAACAAGAAGGAGAATAATCATCGTATGGACCATGACGAGCTTCAGATGCACCTCGATGATGAGGCTTTGAAAATGGAAGTTAAGGCAATCGAGGATGAAGATTCTAACGTAAGGAGTGTGCTTCAGGGGTCCTCGAAATTTTCCAACGATCGCAAGCTGAATTACTTCGAAGGTGATTTTGAGAAGGATATTATCAAGAATTTCGGGAAATCAGGCTTGGAACTACAAGGGATTAGAGACAGTAAAAGTTTCGATGCCAAAGCTAGAAAGGAACGTAAGGATGATGATAGAAGTGATGAAGATGGGCCGGAAAATGATGAAGAGGAAGAAAATCGTGAAAGAAAATTCAAAGAAGACGAACGAGAAAATGAAGATGAAAAGGAGGATAATGATAGAGAAAATGATGAATCGGCAGAAAATAGAAACATGGATAGAGATAGGCCGGAAAATAATGACAGTGAGGAAGAGGAAGAACACGGCGAAAGGAAGGACCTTGTGACGGAACACAGCGACTCCCAAGATGGAAGAAAGTTTAAAAAATCACACAGAACCGCCAAAAAGTACAACTTCTATTCTCCCACTGGGAAATTAGGAGGTGATATTTCACCGACAGAAGAAGCTGAAATGGGTGTCAATATTGACAATCAAGCGATGGAAACGGAAATTAAGCAGATTCAAAATGAAGATGCCAAGGTCAGTGCCGCTCTGGAAGGAATAGGAAAGGGCCCTAAGCTGGTCGATTTTGATGAATACTCGTACGACACCCAGGATTCAATGGCAGGCAAGGCAGCGACGCATCATAAGTTTAGTGTGGAGATAAATCCGACTGAAGAGGAAGACCTAGCAGGAAAGACAAATCAGAAACATGAGATAGGGCAGGGAGACAAAGGATCGTCCGACTCGCCCCTCGGTGATGATATACGCGCTATGTTGCGGGAAACCTCTAGGGTGCTAAATGAAACCAATGCAGTGCTGAATGAGGGCAAAATGGCTACCCATAGGTCTTCTGAAGTTTTAAACGCTATGATGCAAAAAAACACTAGCGATGCAAATGCTAATGCGACATCGATAAATGCAATACCGTACAATGCAACTGTCAATAACACAGGAAGTAATGAGAATGCAAGTATGATCAATGGGAGTGCAACTGTAAATAGCGGCAATTCAACTGCATACAACACTAGTGCAACAACAGCAAATGTAAATGCTACAACTGGGAACAGTTCTAATATAAACAGAACACAGAATGAGTTTGTTCCTCCTGACAGTGGAAAGTTCTTTGAATCAGAGAGTGCTAAATCGGATGATGAGTATATTGAGATGGGACACTTGTCTCTCCCGTCGAAACGTGATATAAAAGCTGCCAAATTGAAACGAAAACAAAAAGGAAAAGGTAGGCACTTCAAGTTCAACTCAAAGCATGCTATGAGAAAAAGTAACAGAATAAAGAATAAGGCACGTGTCGGAAAACGGTATACGAATGGTGAGATGAAAATATTGAACTTGATGTACAAATCACCCATGTTTGCAAGTGTTCGCAATCATATTGAAAAGTTTCGTCAACAGCAACACGAGAAACGGTCCTATACACCATCCCTTAAGACAACGTACAGGAGATTTAAGAAACCTAGGATTGTGCGAAAACGAGGACAGTTCACAAAGAAGAGGATAGAAGCTGGCAAGAAGAGAGGCAGTGTTGAGGAAGGGATGACCGGAGGTAAGATTAAACAGATTAGATTTTAGTACAATTTAAGCCTTCGTACTGCAGTTAGCTTTGCAAACAGATTTTTTCGGAGTATTTTACCGGCTACGTGTTCTTTATTTTTATAGTATCCGAAATGATATTGTTTTTGCATTTTGTCCTGGTTAGTTGGATGTAGCTCATATATGATAATGAATATGTGTTAAGATAAATTATAAAAGTCAGCCTCCTTACTTAAGTATCTTGAAAACAAAGTCCGGAATGGTTCTTGAGGAATTTAGACCGACAGCTCTTTAAACGATTTCAGCATAAAGAATTAGTGCATAGATAAGTTTTAAGATAGATAGTCGTTTTCAAATCTGCTTTGACTAACATGTACGTGAGAGAGCAAATTCAAAAGACAGTTAATCCTTTCAGCTAATTATTTCTAATGTTGTGAGTCAATTTTAATTTATAATCACGTTTCATTTTGTTATCGTTATTTGTTAGTCAATATCGAACTTTTTGTTACATTAAAAAAACCGTAAAACCTTGGTTGCCGTAAAAAATCATAATCATAATCCGAGTTAATCATCTCGGTTGCCGTAATTATCATAATCATGATCAAAATCATCATCTTCCCTGCTATAATCATCATCATTGCTTTGATCATCCATGACCGTTGCCAATACCAATCGCCGTCAAGGGAACCGCTTTTTTCGGCGTTGGCTGGTCGAGGTTCTCTGTTTTTCTTGCAAGCGAGCGCCAGTTGTTTCTTGAAATGCTTATGAAGTGAATTTTAAATCTTTAATCTTGTTTACTTTCACAAGAAACCAAAAAACTTTCTTGGATTTTTTAATATCGCCATTCCATCCTGATATATTAATGTTTAAGTTCTTGTTGTGAACAAAATGGAGAAAAAGTATTGATATTTTGTTGTTAGGAAAAGAAACCTAACAGACTACTTAATTTATATTACGAGAAAACATAGATGTGGCATCATATCTTGATGATAGGAATTGCATCTAAAGGAGTCTGGTAACTAGACCTTTGTCGTGTTGACAATCAAGTAGTTTGATAACCAATGACCAAAGTGGAAAACAAATACAAGTTTCTCTTGTACAAAATTTTTTCCCCTTATAAAACGATGAGATCTCAGAAATAGAAGGTGATGTTGATGAAACAAAAAGTCTCTTGGTTCTCAATTCAAGGTAAGCAAGAGTAAAGACTGAAAAAATTCACTTCATATGCACTTTCAAGCAGCGACTTGTTCTGGGTTAGTACTTCTGCAATTAACCAAATCGAAGCTCTTTTTTCCTACCAGGTTAGCAACTTTCCTGACAGTAAACATGACTCGATATAGCAAACCCCGTCCAAATCTGATTTTAAGTCGGAAGCGGCCTAAGATTTCAGCCGTTTAACAATTTAACAACGACCTGTCTTTTTCTACATGCGAAGTACTAATCCACATGCTTTCTTTGACATCTCTTTTGAAAATACCAAACGACGTTTTCCATGTAACGCTACTGATGGCGTTATCTTGTACATATAGCGGTTTCCTAATCGTCTCCCTTTCGTTTATCCCCATAGCGATCTCCTACACTAATAGGGATGGAAACGAGTTTATGTTTGCTGTCAGTAAACAATTGCTAACCTGGTCTGAGGCAAATTCAAAATGCCGGTCGCTCGGAGGCGAGCTGTTGAGCATAGGGGACAAGGAAGAGCAAGAGTTCATACAGGCGAACGTTATACCTGAAAGAGCTCATTACTGGATCGGATTTACTGATCAAGAGAACGAAGGAACTTGGCAATGGACTGACAGGTGAGAATAGCTGCTCTTTACGTTTGTGTAAATTTAATTCAGATATTTGTTTGTTATTTGCGAGCATTAATATATTGTAGAGATTCCAATCCAGGTTTTGCGGTCACTAGGGTTCAGTCCCCTTAAGGCTAGGACTTCAAACACGAGGAGCTAAGATGGCGACTTTCAATAAAAGATACTAAGTTCCAAGCCTCCTCGCAACATTATAACTAAAGCATGTGTTACCAATAACTAATCTAGAAATAAACGTGATGGAAACAAATTCATCTTCTTGACTTGTAATAAACCCAGATGAAGATCAGGCAATGCGTTGATCGGTCTCATTTTTTATATCTTAAAGATGTGGTGTATCTTTAAGTTCTGCATGTCGTGCACATTTATTATGCAAGTTTATATACCGCTGGTAACTAGAATTAATTGAAATACTTAATCAAAGCACGTTCTCAGGATATGATAGATATATAGGTTGATCCATCTCATTTACCTTAAACTTGCACCCTTTTACAACCCGTACACATATATATACAGATATTTTAAATTCGATGACGGAACACTGGCTCGTATGTTCGATAACGCATGTTAAAAGTAACTGTGGTGATTCCGAATACACTTGGATAGCTAGTATTGGTTTTAATGGGCTTGGTGTGAGAACAGAAATAATTTGATCTGGAGAGAATCAATACAGACAGGGCCTGAAATACAACAAACACAGAGTTTGTCATTCACATATCGTTTCGTTTTTTGTGGCAGACAAAGATCTTATTTAATAGCATTCATCATCTTTCTTTGTAGGACCCCTGTTCGGTTTTCTAACTGGAGTAACCTTGAACCCGATGACGGTAATATCAAAAGTGGCGAAGCAACTCATAATGAAGATTGCGCGGTTATAAATCCAACGATGGACTGGAGTGATGTACCGTGCTGGAACCGCTTCCAGTTTATTTGCAAGTTACGTCCTGACAACGGACGAGCAATTTCATTCGGTGGTACCATGTCTAATAGTGACATCGGCAACAAACAGTTCGACGAGTTTGCCCAAAGTTTGAAAACCAGTAAAAAGCCTACAGTCCCTACTAAAAAGCCAGTTATTGAAGGAAATGCCAAAACCAGAGAGAAAGGAGGCGAAATGATGCTGAAAGGGTACAGTGGAAGTGGGCCGTCTAGAGGTGGTGACAAAGTAGTTACGATGGAAAAAGGAAAATTAGCTGGTTTTAAAGACGGCGAACAAAGAGACAATGCAGCTATGATTCAAGGGAAGCAAGCTGGGGTGAAGGGAGGTGCTGAAGCAGCAAGTAATGGGGGGCCTAGTGGATCTGCTAAGGGTGCATCCTTGATGGAGGCAGGGACAAACGGGCTTAAGCAAACTGCAAATGCATTGAACCAGGCCGCGAAAAATGCTGAACAAACAGGGAAAGCAATGATGGCTCCTGGTAATGCGGCTTTACAAGGAGCTAAGTTTGGACCAGGATCCACAGGGCTTGGCACTATACCAGGTACAACTGGGGCCTCGATTAATGGTAATGCTGGTCTTGAGAAAATAGGCGGGGTTGACGCAGCAGGTGCTGCCCCTGCACAAGTGCAAAAGGGTGGAAATGGTGGACAGAGCTCTGTCAATCTTACCCCAGGCGGTGGTGCAAGTGGTGGTGGTGGAGGAGCCGCCTCTGCTGGAGGGGGTGGGGGTGCCAATGGAGGAGCACCAGGACATGTCGCAACAAACGGAGGCCTAGCACAGGCACCCAGTGGAGGTGGAGCAGGAGGAGGTGCGTCAGGAGGAGGTGCGTCAGGAGGAGGTGCGTCAGGAGGTGGGGTATCAGGAGGTGGGGCACAAGGTGGAGGAGCACCAGGCGGAGGGGCTTCAGGTGGAGGAGCACCAGGTGGAGGAGCACAAGGTGGAGGAGCACTAGGTGGAGGAGCACCAGGTGGAGGAGCACCAGGTGGAGGAGCACCAGGTGGAGGAGCACCAGGTGGAGGAGCACCAGGTGGAGGAGCACCAGGTGGAGGAGCACCAAGTGGAGGCGGGGTTCCACAAGGGAGACCTATTGGTGGTGCTCCACAGGTGAGTGGTGGAGCACCCGCTACTGTTCAACCAGCTCCTACTGTTGCAATGTCAGGTGCACCCACAGCACCCACAGGTGGTGCCCCACAGCTCTCTCCTGAGCAGGCAGCAATGGCAAAGCAGCTGGCAAACCAAATAGCCCCTCAATTGGCCAAGGAATACGCAAACAAATTTGAACCAGATATGGAAATGATCCAAACGATTTGCGGAAAGTTTTGTGCAGATGCCGCCATGGATCTACGTGGCGAGGACCCATCAAAGATAGGCAAAGCTTGTGGTCGAATCTGTGCAGAGTCCCTCATGAAAATGAGTCCTGACGAAGTTATGGGAGTATTAGCTGGTATGCGGAAAGCAAACAATGCTCCACCAAGTCCCCAAGCGATACCTGCTGCTGCCAATCCTGGCATTCCTGCTCAAGGTGGTGCGCCTATAGGATCGACAGGCGGTAATATGCAAAAGGGAGAGAATCAACCAAGTAATTGGGGTGGCGGCTCGAGCAACTCAGATGGTGGAGGAAACAATGGAGGAGGCAGCAATGGTGGTGGCAACTCTGGGGGTAATAATGGAGGAGGTTCCAATTGGTCCAACAATGGTGGTGGTGGTAGTAACAACGAAGGAGGAGGTGGGGGCATACAGATTAATCTGGGGAAAGGAAGCGGTGTTAACTTGCAAACGCTTGGAAGCATATTAGCCCCAAGCTTGGGTTTGAATATAGAAGGCAATGGAAAAATTTCTGTTGCCGATGGCCAAACATTGAGCGATAAGATTAGTGATGCGATCGACTCTCTAAAGAACCAGCACAAACTTAAGACGAGTACAGCATCGAAAAGTACAACGCCCCAAGTTGATACAGTAAAGAAGAAAAGTAAAGGACTAGATACTAAGAATATAGATTTGAATAAAAGTGAAAATTTAGTGAACAAGATGAAGGCTGATTTGGCTAAGGATTCCCAGTTGAAATCCGATGACAATAAAGAAGCAGAGGGCAAAAATTTGAATGTTGAGGCCGCTTCACCTTCGAAGGCGGATAAAGAGGCCACGCATTCAAAAGAGGATGGTCAGTCGTCGCTTGGTTTTGTCATGGGGACTAAACGCGAAATGAAGTATCACAAGAAAACAAAACGAAAACCCAAAAGAAAGAAGAGAAAGCACAGACACCATTGATTATGCATTCTAGATCAATGGATTCAGTAAAGCACTTCTAGGCGATTAAAGATGACCAAATGATCTTTTATTTTGCGAAAGTGGTTCAAGGTTATGACATGTAGGCCCAGTTCTGAAGCCATATAGTTTCTGAATCCACTCTCCCTGCAAAGATGGTAGAGTTTTGTATAGAAATGAATGTCAGAAAAGCCTGTATATTCCGCCTTCTGACTAAGGGACAGTCTTTCAAGCAGATATTTTTACCATGTAACAAATGAGTACAGGTCATTAGAGACCGATGTTCAACTAGAAACTGATATTGCATACGCACATATTGATCAGTTTTTGAGGACACTTGTTTCATGAGTATGTAAATGAATATATCAATTAGGATCTGTAAGATGATGTGGTACAGTTATAATATAAATGTCGTTTTTGAACTAAAAGAGACTGTTATGTCGTTGAGTTACGTCCTTTAAGTCATTTCCCTCAACGTTAAGGTATATGAAGAGATCTTTTGGGGTTGCCTTAGGCCCTGGAGAACATTTTAAAAAATGGGAGTACTTTTTCAAATCCTCGTAGCATCACTAGCCACACTGCCCCCTTTACCAAAGAGGTAGTGGAGAAATGTAGTTATGAGTCACGGTAATCTAACCCTAGACCAATCAATGAAATAGCAACGATATATCAGGTCTCATTTTTCATAACACCATCATCATCAGTAATAACCTATATAAAACCAATGTCGAAATACAGTAGGGTAAATCTCCTATTGAACCCCGGTTGCTCTTCTAAAAATAATTTACCCCCCTCATTTTAATATCATTATAATAGGCAATTCAAGATTTATGCGGGCTTTAATTGGAAAATATAGAATACATAACTTGACCAGAGGATATACTCTTTCTGATAAGCAATGATAGCCAGCAAAACTGATTGTCTTCAGTTTCTAAACAAGACATTCATGCCCCTCTCTATTTCAACCACTCTCTCTATCCAACACTCTTTTTCTATAAACACAGCTTCTACTGGCACTCGAGAGGTTAAATAGAGAATTTACCCTGGCAATGTTACCTTCCCTTGAAGCTATCAAAGATTTTTGCAAAACTAGAACACAAAATAACATCATGTAGTTTATAGATTTAGCCAAAACACCATATGCAAACGTTTTTTTATAATATCGTGCAAGACCCGTCTTCTCTATAGACCAATATTTTTAACATTCTTCTCAAACTTATCCACTACTACCAGACGTGAGACACGTTTTTAATGATGCTATAGAACGAAATGCATCAAATTATCCCAATACAGAAGAAAACTCGTACGAGAGAAAGGGAAAATCAAGCAGTTAAAAAATATCTAAATTTCCTTGATAAATGATAAACAAACGACATTAGTGCCATTGATTTTAGTCTTGGTGGTCCAGCCTTGCAACCACCAGGGTAACACTTGTTGTTCCTCTATTTACGCAAACATAATATATTATTGAAACATAATATTTTTTGTATTTATTAAATTATTTTCGTTGTTTTACGTGACTAAATCAAGGCCATTTTTTGCCTACTTTTAGCCATTTTAATTCATGTATTTTTGTTGCAATTTAACCAGATATCATTAATTACAATAACCTTTAATGTATAATCGTTTGGCCTTGTTTTTACATTTTGATAAAAGAAATAACCATTATACCTTAGTTTTATGTTTTTGCTAGTATTTTAAAAGAAAATGTATTTTGATATTTGACTTTTTCTGTATATAACCAATTATGATATATAACATTTTGTACTGCTTTATTATTCTTTTTCCTAATGGCTGACCTATCTTTGCAAAGCTTAAAAAATTGTTATATGATACTCAGCTATCCTAACCAGAATCCAATTTTAGGATTGATTTGCTTTGTTTTCATAAAGATCTATGGTTTCCACTGCATATTACTCTACCGTGCACTGGAAAACAAAAAAGATATATTTTGGGGTGGGGGTGTAGTTGACCTCAAGTTGAGGTTTTTCGTCAAAAATTTTTTGAAAATTTTGAGTCAAGAAATTTCGACAAAAAGGGCTGAGTTTTCTCAATCAATTATAGCAAGCCGTGAGATTGCTTATGTGATAGTGGCAAGGGGGGTAATTGGGACAGTCCTCAGAAAATTTTTAAAACAACTTCCTTATTTATCGCACAGCCTCTTTATCGTCTTTTTATTGCTACCCCTCTAATGATACTAATGTTAATTGGAAACTGTTGAAAACAATATATGTCTTAATATATGTCTGCGCACATTGTTCGCGCTTAGACCTTATTTGTTTAGCAAACAAATTCAGACCTTATATATTTGCAAACAAATTCAGACCTTATATATTTGCAAAAGAAACTCAGACCTTATATATCTGAAATTTCCGGCAACAATTTATAAATGTCAAGTGGACACGCATTAAGTTAGAGGAAATAACGTCGATATGAATTGTACAACAGATTTATAATAGATTTAAACAATATATTTACAATGACATCCTATATTTTGTATAATAGACTTTTGTCCCATATGGCGGGGCATACACCAGCCCCTCTTTAGACTCAAGCACAGTATTATTTGTTAAAAATATTCTTGAAATTAACAACAAGAATATTTGGTCTATGTCTGCCTTGGGGCTGTCGTTGTTCAGTTCTTCTATCTTGGACGCATTTGCAGAATTTGAAAGAATAATGCATCAGTATAAGTATGGTTGTGAGATGAGGGGTGCCTAAGGGGTGCTCGTGGGGGTGATCTGGGGCCTACAATTTTTTATATAGGAAAACGTTTGCTTGAATCTAGAACTGCAACTGAAAAATCCAAAAGTCAAAGTAGATCAACCTGTACTTATCTCTTTACCAAAATTTTCTAGCAGAGCAAGCTACTTTTTATCACGCGTACGGGGCGTGTCCATTCAATTTGACATAGAGACGTTTTTATCTTTTCTTGTCTTAACCAAAGCTAATTTTCCTATAATTCATTGAGGGCTTTGACAGAATTGCTGAGGGAAATTTACCCTCGTGGATGTAAGGACTGCCGCGTGCCAGCATAGCGGGCGAAACTGGGTCTAGTAATCCTCTAAAATCTCTAGACTTTTCAACACTGTAGTGATTTAATAGCATCGCCTTCAGGAAACTCTGCTTCTCTTTAAAGCTTTTCTAATTATTTTGCAGGAAAGTTTAGACCGCTAAGGATACTGGTTAAATCTGTTGGTTGTTTTGATCCTCCTTTTGATGGAACCTCGTGTGAAGAAAATGCTGGATCTATTCAACTGAACGGCAACGAGGTCAGTCCCAATAGACAGGGCTTCAATTTTGCTGTAATCGACTTCAAGAGTGGAAAGCTTGAAGACACAGAGGCATTTAACACCCACGGCATCGCAGGGGCATATGAAAGAATGGAGTCATTCCTTGACGGTGTCCCTGATTGGAAAATACTTGTTGCTGCAATTAGAGAAGATGCTAAAGACAATATGCCATTGTCATCATTGGGAAAATTTGTGAGTCTTCTACCATAATTCATTTCTATAGTCCGCAACCGTTAAACTAAAATTCCCTTTTTGAAAAGGCATGTTTTTAGGCGCTATTGATAATGAGATTTTTACAGGACATGTTTTTTCTTGTTCGTTAATATTTCATTTATATATTTATATCTAGAATTGAGAAGTATTCCCCTCTTGCAAAAAGTGCCAGATTTCTGCCAAGCAAATGAACAATAAGATATCCGTCAAAGTTGTATATTTTTTTCGAAGAGGGATTTACCTCGCCTATAAAATGATGATTGAAATTATATAGTTGAAGTTTCATAGAGCCTGTTTAGAAGTTAAAAAGAAAGGGTGTGCAGAGAGGATGGTTGGCTTTGTCTTATAGCCATTAATCGAACGAATCTTATATTTATTACCTTTCTTAAACTTGAAAGTATCAATCCAAGCAAAGTTCTCTTTCTCTTCACTGATATCTCTTTATTACTTAGCAATCGATGCCCTAATAACATAAGTTTCCTCATACCTTTAAATTGTGTTCTTATACCCCAGAAACGTTTTGGAGCTACGAAAATCACGCAGCCAAACTCTTTGGAGTACCGGTCTGCCTACTCTTTAGTTGGCTTCTCCGGACCAAAGGAGATCATGAAAGACATTAAATGGATTCGTGAGGAACTGAGTGAGCCTTCAAAAGGACCAAGCATTATCAGTGTGCAAGTCAATGCAGGTAAACTCCTACACGCTCTACAAATGTTTAGATCTCAACAAATAGAATGAAAACAAAAAAACCTGGGCAGATAGACTCAAGAACAACTCGATTTTGCAGTGGAAATGACTTGAATATAACTTTTACATGTTTTTGTCTTAAAACCTACCTAAATAAACTAACACACCTAGACCGTGATCGCAAAAAACTGTCTCTCTTGCTACTTAGATTACAGGCTACATATTTTAAAAAATTCCACTCACTTGGACGGGAGAAACAGGAGCATAGCTTGCGGGGGGTGTGGGGGTGTCAAACCCCCCCCCCCATCTTTCAGAGAACTGATCGGTAGAATCAAATTTATAACAAAATACTTTTATGCCAAATATAACAAAAGAATTTCTGTCGGTGAGATATGGTTTTGCATTTCTTACACCCCAAGCGAGAAAGGTTTTGCTACGCCACTGGATGTATATAGTTAAGAATATTACGATAAAACGATTCAGGCATAACCCCTCATTACTCGAACCATGACTGTACTTTATATATGATAATTGTAGTCGTGAATACGTAGTAAGAAGATCCCGAGATTTGAAGAAGGGCATATAGTTGAAGGCTCTAGAAATGTAATTTGAGTTTGATTCGATTTATATTTCAGCATTTCTATCTCCGCTTTCCTCATCATTATTCTGCTAAACTTTGTCCTAAGAATCAGCGTATTATTATTTTGTTCAACTTAAGATACCACCACGTTAAATAGTTTTATGAACTAGATTTTAATCTAAGACTAGTTCCACATTTTGAAGCGCAATTGTAATCATATTGTTTGAGAACAAAATGAAAATCTAGAAAAAAGTATATTGAAAAGAATTTTATTTTTTCTAGGCCCTGGACCATTTCAGCAGCTGTACAAGAAAGAACAGTTGCTGAAACCAAAGCCCAAACCGAAGCCTTTAATAGCACCTTCGATCGCAAGAACTACTGCTACTGATTTCGGAGAAAATGATGGCAGCATATCAGGCAAGGGAGAAGAGACCGACTCAGCTGGCGAAGAGGAATTTACTAATGATCATGAAAAGACAGGAGATGCCAAATCTACTGGACTTAATTTCGGTGCTGGTGGAGCTACTGGAGGTTGGGGTGGTGGTGGCGGCGGCGGTGCTGCTGGTGGTGGCTGGGCTGGTGGAGGCGGAGGAGCTGCTGCTGGTGGCGGTGCTGCTGGAGGTGGCGGAGCTGCTGGAGGTGGCGGAGCTGCTGGAGGTGGCGGAGCTGCTGGAGGTGGCGGAGCTGCTGGAGGTGGTGGAGCTGCTGGAGGTGGCGGAGCTGCTGGAGGTGGGGGAGGAGCGGCGGGTGGTGGTGGAGCTGCTGGAGGCGGTGGTGGCCTGATAGGTGGCGGTACTGGTGGTGCTGGCGGAGGTGGTGGTGGGGACGGTACTGATGGAGCAGGTATATTGGCAATTTATTCGTATAATTTCAATGTTCCGTATTACAAAGGCAGTATAAATTTGATGAATGCCTTGGAACAATTTGAAAAAAATAACGAGTTTTCTAGTTAGGTTGCAGTACCAGTCATTCTACTATAATGACATACTTACAAACGTTAATCATGATTACATAAGTCTGCAGCAAGTGAGATTATGCAAGGTTAAATGAGAGATAAAAGATCCATGAAGAGATAAAAGATATAAGAAAAGATTGAAGATCGTGGTTCGCCCTTTTGTTTACACTAGCACTCTGGAACCGAGCTAATTTTGCTCTGCCATCCGGAATGGTTTTGACCCTGTAACGACCGTCGCGGTGAATAGGACTGTGTAAACGGGGTCCGAAATAGCCTGATTTTAAGAGTGTGAATCGCACGCATGAAAGAAATAATGCGTGTGGTTTCCTTATGACGAAGACTGGAGAAGACAATATGAATGAAAACCATTTGATCGTCAGATGTGTAAATAGCTCATTTATATTAGCAATTTTTAGAAAGTCCGAACGTCGAGACTAATGCCATGCTTTTTATATTTTATGGAATTGTTTTTCTTTTTGAGTTTTGTATTTCTGATTGTGCTCCTTCCGTATTTTACTTCGCTTTCTGCTAAAAGCCCTCATTATTTCTTGGCTCAAATTATGGTGTTGGAAAGCTAACCAAGTTAACCTACCTTTGCTGTCAATTAAGTCTCAAATATCTATGTTATTATTGAAATTTAGTTCAAGCTGCTGGAGAACTCGCAAACGCTGCTGAAGGTTTGAGCAAAGCTGTAAACGGTATAAGTAATGCAGTTGGAGCGATATCAAATGGTGCAAATGGCGGTGTTCAACCAGGTGGTTTGGCTGGATCTGGGACAACTGGAGGTACAAGTATTGGCACCAATCCAAGTGGCAGTGTTAATGCTGCTGCCTCTGGCCCCCATCCTGCAGCACTAGGTGGTGCTCTCACGGGAATAGCACAGGAAATGACTGGTATACAGCCAACTGTAGGACAAGCAACTCAGCCCGCCCCAACTGTGACACAGCCATCTGTGACTGATGGTGGACAGCAGCCTGCAGGTCAGACAGGAGATGGCGGTGCAGGTTCTCCAGGTGGTGTCGATGGGACTGGAGGTGTTGATGGAGCTGGTCAACCTGGAGCCTCTGGTCAACCTGGAGCCTCTGGTCAACCTGGAGCCTCTGGTCAACCTGGAGCCTCTGGTCAACCTGGAGCCTCTGGTCAACCTGGAGCCTCTGGTCAACCTGGAGCCTCTGGTCAACCTGGAGCCTCTGGTCAACCTGGAGCCTCTGGTCAACCTGGAGCCTCTGGTCAACCTGGAGCCTCTGGTCAACCTGGAGGAGCTGGTCAACCTGGAGGAGCTGGTCAGCCTGGCAGTACTGGTGGAACCGGAGGCACAGGTGGCGCAAATGCCGGTGCCAATGCCCCAGGAGCAAATGGTCAGCAAGGTGGTGGACAGCAAGGAAGCACTGAAGGTGGCGATGATCAGGCTGCAAATACCCAAGCTGCAGTAACTGATGCCAATGCCAACCGTGCAGGTGAAATGGCAGGTAAGCAACCTATACCCGAGTTAAAGAAGCTGGCAGATATGGGACAGGCTTTAGGCTTTGGAAGTTTACCGGGTACTGGCACACCAACAGCTATGATTGATAAGCTTCTTGCAATGGCTGATGCCTTAGGCCTTGATGGTACTGCAGGGCAACTGGGACAAAAAGTGCTGACGAGTAAGAAACCTGCTCGTTTTGGGCCCGGTGAAGATGGTAAAACACAGCTTCTGAATGGCCTGGAGAACACCGGATTAACTGCTGGAGTTGACGGGAAAACACCAGAAGTTGTTGGATCAAAGCTCGTCCCTGAAGTTGCCGGAACACCAGGCTTTGAAACTGGTGCTGGTGGAAAAGGTGGTAAAGGTTTAGCTGGCACAGTTGAAGGTGGCTCTCTAGATGCAAACGTTGCTGTCACGAATGCGAAAGGTGGCACACAAGCTGCCTTCAAAGTTGGCCCAAATGGAGAGTTGGGCGGTGCAGGTGCTGCAGCTGGAGGAAAAGCTGGAAAGGCAGGGAAAGGAGGAAAAGGTGGAAAAGGACAAAATATCGCTCAAGGCGGTCCTTTGGGAGCTGCTGGTGGTGGTGCTGCTGGAGCTGTAGCTTCTGGAAGTGGTGGTGCAGGTGGAAAGGCTGGAGGAAAGGGACAAGATGCTTATGCAAGTATTGGGTCTCCTGCCCAACCTAATGGAGAAGGTGATGATAAGAGTGGAGGAGGTGGAGGTGGAGCTGGAGCTGGAAGTGGCATGGGTGCTGGGGGTACAGCGGGTGTAACAGATGGAATTTCATCGTCAACAGATGTTGAAAATAGTCTTTCAAGTGCTTTCAGCGGCCTTGGTGTGCCAGAAAAGCCTGCGAACGGTATAGCAACTTACCTAGCTGCAGCCATGGGTGCAGGGAGTGGTTCTCTTGCCGCAGCTGGAGGCAGTGTTAACAGTTTCAATGGAGGTGCAGGTGGGGAAGCTGGAAATGTTGGAGGGTTCCGTTTTGCAGGTGACAAGAAGCTTGCCGCTCAGCAGGCAGGGCTTGCATCTAAGCTTGCGAAATCTGTAGCTGATATCGGAGGCTCTGGAGCTGCTGCATCTGCAGGAATTGCCAGTTTGAGTAATTTTCTCAAAACAAATATTGACACTGATCCTAAAAAGGTTCAAGGAAAACTTGGTGACGCTTTAGATAAAGTAGGTGGGCCAGGAACAACAGTGGGACTTACTGCCCTTGCTGCTGCCATGAAGGCAAAAGACAGCTTGCAAAGCTCAGCTGCTTTGGTCGGAAACTTAATTCTCAGTCTGGGTGAGCAAGGCGAGCAATTAGGAACAGCGGCGTTAGCTGCATTTGCTGCTGGCCTGGGAGGTGCTGGGTCAGAGGCTCTATCTGGTAAATCATCAGGAAGTATTTTGGATGCAGGGAAGGTAAGAGGAAGTATCAGTGATGGGAATGGAGGAGGTGCAATGGTAGATGCTAGAAATGCAGCACTGACGGGCCAGTATAGCCTTGCAAATACAGGAGCGAACATTGAAGAGATAGCTGAAGCATTGAATTCTGTTGAAGGAATTGGAGGATCTTCGTCAAGACAGTCTAGCATAGCAGGTGCATTTGGCTTCAGAGGGTCTCATTTCGGAAACAGTGACGGGCTTTCTGCTGCATTGAATGCTGCTGCAGCTGGAGGAGGCCTTGCTGGCGGAGTTTCAGGAGGATTAGCTGGGGCAGGCGGTATTGGAGGTGGCGCTGGTGCTGTTGGTGGTGGTGCTGGCGGTGGTGCTGCTGGTGGTGCTGTTGGTGCTGCAGGTGGTGCTGGTGGTAGTGCTGGTGGTGGTGCTGGTGGTGGTGCAACAGGCTCAATGGCCATGCCCACCGGTGGAGAAGTTGAGGTTCACCCTTCTAGTACAGATAGCGAATACACTGGTAGAGGTCCCGTTGGCTCAAGGGCGCAAGGAGGATTTATGGATGTCAATCCAGCAGGAGGTGCTGGTAACATGGTGACGAACGTTGCCGCTGGAGCTGGCTTGGCTGCTTCTGGTGCTGTTAGTGGTGCGGCTGCAGCAGGTGGTGGTGGTGGAGCTGCTGGAGGTGGAGGAGTAGGTGGAGTAGGAGGTGCAGGGGCTGGTGGCAAAGGTGGAGCATCGGGTGCTATAGGGGCATTGATAAATGGAGGAGCTGGAGGTGCTGGTGGTGGCATAGGTGGAGCAGTTGGGGCAGGAATCGGTGGGGCTGGTGGTGCTGCAGGTGGAGGAATCGGTGGAGCTGCTGGAGGTGGTATTGGAGGCGTTGCTGGGGCAGCTGCAGCCGGTGCTGCATTAGGAGCAGCTGCTGGAGGAGGCATTGGTGGTGCAGGTGGTGGAGCAGGAGGAGGATTATCAGGGGCTGCAGGTGCAGCTGCAAATGGTGCTGCTGGTGGAGGTGGTGCTGGGGGCGCAGGTTGGGGTGCAGGTGGGGGTGCAGGCGGGGGTGCTGGTGGTATTAGTGGAGCAGCTGGAGCATCAGCTTCAGGAGGAGCTGGTGGTGGAGCTGGCGGAGGAGGAGGTGGAGGTGGAGGCGGAGGCGGAGGTGGAGGCGGAGGATCTAGTGGTGGTGGCAATGGTGCCGGAGGGTTATCAGGAGTTACCAGTGCTGGAATGGCGTCTGCTGGCGGCACAGCAGATGTCGCTCAAGGCGTTGCCTCTGGACTTGTCAGTTCAAATTCGAATTCCGGCGTAGGCCAGTCTAGTAGTGGTGGCAGCTCTTCACAGAATTCTGCAAGCTCAAGAAAATGTAAGTCATAGTATGAATAATTTTACCTGTCGGAAATGATAAATTACCCAGTCTAGCTCTGGCGTCAATGTGATTTCTAGTCTTTTATTGTGATTCTGACTCGACTCTGTGATAGGTAACCTCTTTGGCTTGTCACACGACATGAAAGTTGTACTCTGACGTCAAGATAGCTGGATGATTAATACTCTCTGTAATTGTTTTTCAACCAGAGGTTTCTTAGTCAGGCTATCTCTAAGAATACCCTCTCTCCTTTTTAGCCCCGATTTTGCTTCTAATACAGCCCATTCAAAACGCCTCCTCCCTCAGTATGAATATTTGACTCTAGTTTACTTACGTGCCACCAGTTTGTTTTAATGTAACCTATCATAGCTGTCTATCATATGATTCTAATTTTGTAACTTTTTCATAGGCTACATCAACTGCAAAGCCCAAACAAGAGCCGGTAAGTTTTTTCGACTTTGCATCATTTGGAAAAACAGTTGTCTTTTAAGAGCTCGCAAACATCATTAACTCGTTTGTGAGTTGTATAAACCCCCAAGAAACTTCGTTTACTAGACTTCAGTAGCCATTATATATATAAATGTTTTGCTCAACTAGGTGAATTATGCTCAATTAATATTTTTCACATGTTGAATTTTTATCGATATCTTCCAATCGGCTGAGGCCCTAGGTTAAAAAAAATTAACTTTTCTTTGAAGTTGAAAAACCATAGGGTTATGGCACTCTACTGAGCTGCTTAAAATGCATTTTAAAAAGATTTTTTCTCAGAGAACTTTAATGTCGCATATTCTTAGCACAATTTCTTTTCTTCATTTATACGTTGTTGCCTATATGATATGAGATATGAGATGTAAAGATGTTTTTGTGCAATGATGCAATGATGTATCTTTTAGCCAAAAGTGTTTTTGTGGAGCTGTCTTCAACTGATACGAAAGCGTCCATAAGAGTTAATGGAAAAGACCATAGCAAAGATGACCGTGGCTTTAATGTTGTGATACTGGACTACACAACAGGAGATGTCCAAGCTTCCGAAAGCTTTAATACACAGTCTGACGGAGGCTCAGCCAAAGCAATGGCAAACTTCATTAACTCATTAAAGCCAGCTACCATTGTTTTGATTGCAACACGTGGCAACGCTGATGTTGATTTGAATGATGATGCATACAGCGCGTTGGTGAGTTTTTCTTACAGTTGTTTTGGTTGTTGGTTCCACTAAGCAATGCAACTTGTTGGTATATCGTATATAGGATACTGATGGTAAATATGCTTAATTGATCACGTAAGAAAACATCTTTTAGGAACCTTAGGCTATCTTGAATGGCATTCTTGATGTAATATACTGTAGGCTTTGTTTATATGGTCAGTCGATTTGTGAACGGCAAAACATTTGCAGAATACGTTGGACCGGACTGGAGCCTGTGGGGTGCCGTCCTTCTGGGTGTTTTAGGGTGGTGGGGATCTGGATGCATTCATCTTAGCGGTAATTAAAAGCACGACTCTTAGGAAAGGCAGTATTTTAGGTTTTATATCAAGTAGCAATTTAAAACTCTTACACTTTTGTAGTAGCTGATAGGGCATCGTGCCTAAATATTTACATGATATGAAATGAAATATTCATATCATATGATATAATATCCTCGAATTTCCCCCTGGAGAGTAAACTAACCTAGAGCTTTGTCCACTAAGAGTAGCCCTTCCTTTTCAGAAGTTGAAAATTGTAACTGTCTGCTAAACATTGACTGTAATGCATGCATCTTAAAGATTAAAGATTAAATATTAAGATAGAATATACATATACAAAGGCAGAACTGTTGATTTTTTGTTTTTATTAAGTTGATAGAAATAAAAACGTATCATTGACTTGAATATCATTCAATTTCTAGACGTGACTTGAAAGTCATAATGTTATGCTCTGATTCTGGGATGCACAAGATGTATATAGGCTTTTTTAAAAGGAAATTTTTGTCTGATACAGTGGTTCCATCACTTGATGCTGGAGTTTGTTCTTATTTATAGAATGTTATAACAAAGAAAGCTTTATTCCAACTTCTTTCACTCAATGTTACTGTGTTGAGGAGTTTTAAAAACACTTTCATTATTATCATAACATTCTTAGTGATAGATCACAGACAATTGTTTTTTTCGCTTTTTTCATCTTTGCTTTTTGTGTTTTCAGGATTCATGTGGTGCTCATATGCTTAAGAAAGATGGCCTAGCTCATGGTGCAAAATACGTTTTTGTCGGGTTGAAAGGAAAGGGACGAGAAACCGAACCAGAGTGGACCAGAGAAGTTGTTGCTGAGAAAAAGGGAGAATCTGCTTTACTTGGAATGCCAATTGGTGAGAGTTGAATCTTAACATTTGGTTTCACGTTTTTAAGCAATCATATTCCTCAAATACGTTCTTTATTTGTGCAAAACTGATGTTAATTGCTGTAGAAGGTAATGAATTGGTTTATTTCATAGTTCAACCGTTGGATTCTAGAACGAAAACTTGACTCTAAAGCATGTCTAATGTCTTTATGTCCAAATGTATAATTTTCGAAAAAGTAAACTCACTTTGTAATCTTTGTAACCACTGAATTCTAGAAAGAAAGATTGTCCTTAAAGCATTTATAATATGGTAAAGAATAACAATTTTTTGGTGGTAAAAAAAGTTAAAAATTGACAAAAGCAATTCGCTTGCGCTTCTGGTTGGTTTATCTCGATCTACAAATGGATAAATATAATTCCTAGCCTGATTTTTTCAGTGTATGCTCTAACTTTCTTTACTCAAAAGAGTGCCAGACAAAAATCTCAAATATGTTTCAAAATGTTTGCTTTCTCAAAAGCGTTTTTTGTTATTTTTATGTTTCAATTTGCTGTTATGGAAAAATTCTTTCATTTTTTAACATATTTTTGTAAATCATCATTTACCATGACCCTCCAACTATCCAAAAATCTGAGTTTTGGTTTGTTGTCATGGTCATAGATAAAACTAAGGGGCTAATAGTAGAGATGGGCCCCCAGAACCACCTCTACGGTGTTTTTAAAGGGACACCATCCCTCTTTCCAGGAGTTCTTCCTCCCGAAGCCGTTGACCCCTGGAGTCGTAGTTTTTGTACATTTGTGTTTAATTGGAGTACCTCTTACATTAATTCCAGATGTTGGACTGTCTCTTATCAAAGACCCAAAGTCCTTTTGTAGTCAAATTTGTGATGATAGTAGTGGTGTATTGGATGTACCAAGCAGTTTCAAACTGTCATCAGCTTATGAAGATATTGGATCAAACAGTGCTAATCCAAACCCAGGTGATTACTCATCTTGACTTACTCTTTCGATAATAGAGACTATCGTGCCTCGTTTGTGATATTTGCCTCCTGTCTGATCAGAGCCCAGAAAACATGGCGGTCAAGTGGTCAACGACTGTGGCTAACGAAGGAAACTACAGTGCCACACAATAACCCCGCCTTATTTTCATTGTTTCTGAGAGGCAGATCTTCAAGCTTTGGGAAATTTATGATAAGCATGATAGCATCAATAGTGACAGAAACAAAACTATTAAACTGCAAACTATTTAAGAAATGTATTTTTAAGATTTAATAAAACACAATTTTATGTCCAATGGACTTAGTAATATGGTACATAGCTAATACCCGTTGTCAAAATTCTACGTAAGAAATTCACTTTGCCATCACATGAACTGAATATTGCCTATGTTAGAGATTTGCTTCATATTCATTCATACTTATTCGACTCTACTCAGACTGAGATTGGCCGATAGAAGAACTTCCCTTCTTTCCAATATGAAATATGTAATGATATGAATCAGCAATTTTCCTTTTTCCAAGTTTGAACAATCTTGCTAATGTGATGAACAAGCCAGCATCAGTCTGCTTTATAAGAATCATCTTGAAAACATGTTGTGCTTATTTTGTTTATTGTAATCCTAGGCTTGTCGATGGCTCTTAAAAGAACGAAACAAACCTCAAAAGAGCAGACGGGACTCAAGCGGGAGAAGAGTGCAAAAACATTGCTTGATTTCTTCAAAGACAACAACCAAAGCCTTGATGACGTCAGTGGCGGAGTACAAGAGGAGAACAGTGACGATGAAGTGATAAAAGAGGTTGCTCAGACAGAGAAGACAGGGTCTGACGAACAGCAGAAGACTGATGTGGGGTCGATAGAAACTGGAAAGCAACGAGGCATGACCGATGACGATTTGCTCAATGCTACATTGAAAGATTATGAATCTTTGGTATTGGACGCAAAGAAACAGGGGCAAATGCCAGAAAATGCAAATGGCGTGGAAGGGCTGAACTTGGCCAGCGAGCACGGACAAGGTAATATTTTTGGTGGGCTGAGTACAGGAGTTGGCGTGCGAGAGGGCGCTGCGATCGTACCGGCCATGCGGCAAGGGGATAGCAAGCAATATGTGCCTTTGTCCCATGAAAATAGACATGATCTGCAAGTTCTTACTGAAATACGCGAGCTTATCAAAAGTGCCAGTTCAAATCTTCACAGACCGACTATTGATTATATGACTAAATACAGAGGACTCGAGCAACGACATCGAACTGGGCTAGGGGAAAACCGCGTGAATGACGCGGCAATGAAACCTGTGATATACAATGAAGAATTCCCAGTGCAGACATCGAACGTTCTACCGTGGCCTACAGAGCAGACAAGCTCTTCTTTGGTGCACGATAGAGAATCATCAGACAAAGATGAGAATAGCAAGTCTGTTTCAATGCTAGATAAAGAGGAGGATAGTGCTAAAGAGCCAGATGCGTCCACAAGACCGACAAAGTCTTCAACTGTAAGACCTTCAAAACTGAAATTGTTGTTGACACCCTCAACAAGACGAAAGAGCAAAGGAAAGACAAGTAGAAAAGCCACTGTTAAGAATTTAGGGCAAAACAGCGGTAGCATTTTGCAAACCCTAATGCGAAAAATGGAAAGCATTCGAGAAAGAGTTGACGAAGGAGCGAGTGAGACAAGCTCGGTTTCTGGTGGTGTCTCTCTTGGGGCAGTCTTTCAAGGAGCTCCACCCAAAAAAGGTATGCCAATCCTTTGCCCTTAATTCATAGTTTGTCATTTCTAGAGCAGCTGTTTTTGAAAGAACTGATTTTTTGACAAATTTTCTTTTTAAATGTTAACATAATTCATCTTTAAAAATGTTTATTAAAACGTAAAAGATTTCCTAAACATGAAATTATTCATGCAAAGAGAGAAGTTTGAGCCTAGGAGACGGGACCCTTTAGGTGGCACACTATTTGAAGATTCTCTAGGAGAAAAGACCCTAAAAGGAGAAACCCTAGTAGGAGGATTTTTACCCTGGGGATACAAGATAGGCCTTTAAATGGACACGCGTTGAGCTCTGTTTTGCCTTTACATTTGCAACTTTTCTCACATTTCTATACAGAAATAGAAAAGTCTTTTACCGCCAATTTCTCACAAAGAGATGTAGAAGAAAAAAGTTTGATTATTCAAGATTTCAAAAGTTTAAAGACGCTTGAAATAAAGCACCTTTTTGAAAGGCCAACTTATAATTGCTGTTACCGTGACAAAATAAGATCGAGTGACAATTTTCGAACATTTTTATTACAGTTGAAAAACCGAAAGCACGTCACAAAATTAACAAATTCTCCGAAAAAAGTTATAGCGAAATTGGGGACTACCTGTACTCAAGATCAGGTTAGTATTAACGATCTTGATTGATTCTTTCTGTACACTGAAACAAAGTTTGAAGACGAAATTTGAAACTTTTTATTAACAGCAACACTCATATGTTGCACTATGTCCCAACCCATATTTAATCTTAAAGTTTTCGAATATCGAAGACTTGAAAGATTCAAACTACTTGGTAGTTGACAATAAATTTTTCCCCATCTTTCGTTTGTGCCTTGCTGTTAATGTGCCCCTTAGAACCAATTGCCTCATTATGTGCCTCATAATGAGAATGTGCCTCATTATGAGTCAGCTTTCCTCCTCAGCCTTTGCTGAATTTCTTTTTCAACTGAAGGAGCCTCTCTACTTGTATTCATACTTAAATTCTATCCAAGCCAGAGGGGGAAAATGTCAATTTTTCTAAACTGGATCCTAACCAATGTTTATAAAAAAATTTAACACTTTCGCTTCATTTTTCTAATATCAACCAAACATTACTTTGTGTGTGTTATTCTCCGATTTCGACGACCTCTACCTTGTTAGGTAAATCGGTTCATTACCGATGATTAAATGACACTTTAACGTGTTGCATCTACATTTCCATACCAATAGTTGCTTCGACTTGACCTACACCCTTTTTAGAAGAACTAAATAATTTTTACCAAGGCTCGACGTTCTTTCTTTTAAGACAATTTGATGCTCAAGTGGTCTTAATATTGCTCTTATTTTAACATTGATTTTTCCACAACTGCAAATAATAAATTTTTCCTTAGAACACTAAACATCAGTTCTACATGGAAGTTCTACATTAAATGAAAACATCTGAATTTGATCATTCCTTGAAACATGTTAAGTAAATATGTTATCTTTATTTTTTTACAGGTCAGCCTAGGCCTATAGCGAATGTGCAAGGTACAGTGAAGAAGAAGCAAAGTACAGTCTCTAATAAGCACGAAATTCCAGGAAAAAAGCATTCATTTCGAAGAAATTCTTCATTAAAACATAATAAGAGGACACTGTAACACTTGCATGTTTTTATAGTACTCTGTACTATATATATATTAGGTCCAAAATACTAGTGAGTTGTGCAGCATCCATATGCGTTAAGAGCACTTCTCCAGTCAACTGAGACTTCATAGATTTTTTGACTGGTGTTAACTCATTGCACTGTAGGTTAACAAAATGTGCAGTGTCATAATTAGCTGCTCGAGAAGACGACTGACGAAGAAACCTCCTTAGTCTGACTGCTCAAGGGATATTGTATACAAACTGTAGCTCCTTGCAAATATGAGGCTTAACAAAATACGTTTTATGGTATCCAACTGTGCTCATTTCTAACCTTGCTAACTTTGGGAGACTGCATTATGTGAGATAGATTATTGCAGTTGAAAAATGTTTACGATGGCAATGTTGTATCTATTATGGTACTGTAAAAACTACCTTTGTGAACATTGAATTAAAGATAGGTAGGGGACCTTACCAACAAAGACTGGGGACCTTACCAACAAAGACTGGGGACCTTACCAATAAAAAGGGATATTAAAAACGGACTTGTTAAGATAAGTAAACAAGTCTCAAATCCATTTTTTGTAGAAATATTTTAGAAGCTGTTCCTACCAATCGTTATCATTCACGTCCTTTTCTATCTTCTATAAAAAACCCAATTTTTTAAAAACACTGTTTTAGTTCCTGCTCTTGCCTACCCCCCAGGATCCCCTTTAAAAAAATTTGGACTCGTTCCCAGATTTAAATCTGTGAGGCTAGCTATCTATTTGTATATCCATATATAATTGAACATCCCTTATGAGTTACGATAAATCTATTGACAGTTACGTCGCGGAGCGTATTTAGTACATAGATGACGTCATGATTTTTATCCATTGACAAAGTAATTGCAAAATTAAATCTTTATCATCTAATTAAGCAATTAAATGCTTTATTTAGTGTATCATAGCTCTACCTATTTTCTAGATACATTTTGTACATTTTTTCGTGTAAATTTATCATTCATCGGAAATAAAAACTGTTTCTTCGTGATCTCTTTAGATTGAGATGAAGGACCTCTGTATCATTTTCATACAGTAATTGATTGTGAATAGGGCTGTAACTTTTATTAAAGGTCGCTAATGTTCGCGCAGGCTACATAAATACAAATGTTTGTTAAAAGAATAGTTTTTTGTCAAGGTGAATCAGTTATTGAGCAAGAATCGTCTTAAAGCATACCTAGTAAACTCAATGGTCTAGAAATGATTTCTTTATCATATTTTTTATACATGAAAACGTTTCTTAAAACATAGAAGATTTGGCAAGCATAAAATCATTTATGTGAAGAGAGTAGTTTGAGCTTGGGGAATGAGACACTAGAGGAGAGGCCCTAGGGAGAGATACTCTAGGGGAACGGTCACTAGAGGCAGGAGCCCTGGTAGAAGGAATAACTCTAGGCAGACAAGTTTGGCATAATCATTCAGATTTGGATTATTTATCTCTTGTGTAAGGTAAAAGATCCAAAAAATAACTTTATACTGAAAATTAATGGCAAACAGAAGAAATTGTACTACGAAAGCTCAAGAAATCATGAAAGGTAGCTTTATTTTATTTAACTACAGATTTCATTTTTCGATTCTTTAGAAGAAAAAGGGAAAGGAAATCAAACCTTATTTCTGACAATTGCCAGAAGCTCGTGTTAATCTATGGTACAACATTATTTCTGGGATTGAAGTTCCTTTTGCAGCATAAAAACCTGAAGTTCTTTTCTTCTTTACTTTCTTTACTTTTTCTTCGCAAGATTTATTCTTCTGTTAAATGAGGGACATTTTATTGTTTTGGGCTTTTAGCTATAGGTTTTAGGCCCCAAAACAACTCTAAACTTACAAAAACAGTTAATGGCATTGCAATTTTGGCTGCGATATGGACTCATGGGTAGAGGTTTATTCCCAATCAATTATTTCATTTCGCCTTTGTTTGAAATCAATTAACAAGGAAAAAACAACAGCAATCCATTAGCAAAATGCTAGACCAAATGAATTAAATAGGATAAACAAAGTCTACCTGTTTTGGACACTAGCTATGTAGCAAATTTGATTCACATTTCATGACATTTCGAACGGATCTGGCCAGAAAAGCTACATATATTGTTTTTTTGAAAGATTGATTCAACGTTTAAATCATTCTCCCCTAGGTGCATTCAAAATAACTTTGACACTGTGTGGGGGAATTGTTAGACAACAAAGCATCAACCTATTGATTCTGATGGGTGACTTTCCGTTCAAATCCCTACAGACATCCATCACGCATTTTTCCTTTGGAGCAGGATGCAAGAAGTCTCGATGGAATACTGTGGTATAAAAGCTTTTTCCCGCCAAATATTCTCCCTTTGCTCGTTGAGATCATTTTGCAAGGCGACTTTGTGTAACACGCTTTACAACAAAGTTTTAGGCCACCAGGTTCGTTAGCAACTTGTGACTTCAAATATTCTTCAAATTCTAAGATCTGATCTATCGCTATGCGTCCAGGTATATAATATAACTGTTTATTTTCCTTTATTTACATAGAAACCAAGCAACTCTTCCGAAAGAAAATGGCGAGGCAGTACAAAAAGGACGGCGCTTTCTCGAAGGCCTAATGTAGGTCGCCATTTTGATTTATCAATACTGTTTACCCTTTATACTTACTTCATGTAAAAGGCGTTATCCATAGACGATTCTTGCATTATTCAATTATTCTACAAATGTTTACCAAGTGGAAATATATGGTAATTTATTCCATTTTAGTTCTAATATTTTCTACTAAAATTATTAAACCTTGATGAGAATTTTTGGTCTTTCCTTTTGGAGAATTTTTTCTAAATTCAATGAAAAACGAAAAAAATTGCATAGAATGTTTTTAAAAGGGAAGAATTTTCAAAAATGTTTTCTTCAAAGGTTGGTGAAATGTTTTGACGAAAACACCAGCACATTGTTGGAATTGATTGTAATATACAGCACTATAAACTTTATTTTTTCAATTTAAAGGTTATTAAATCTTGAGAATATAGCTAAAAAATTAAGGGCTTATGACACATATGTTTAAAAACATTTTGTTCCTAAGAGGGTGACTTGGAGCAAAACTTTGATCAGCCATTTGACAATCTGTGCTGTTGGTTGGTAAAGAATATTCATCATACTAATATTTAATTTAAAGATTATTTTCATCTATTCTTTGAAGTATATTTTAAATAATGACTTATCATTTCATTGAAACTTTTTTTCTTCAGAAAAGAGCGTGAAATTTTGCTGACGCTGCAAACATCCTCCGTTTCAAGACAAACGTTATATCAAATGCAAGTATCAATTTCTATCCTTTCATTTCTTTCTTCGTCTTAAAACTTTGAAATGCAAATTAAGTGAATGAATATATTCCATATCATATGAATATATTGATTATTAAGAATGAATTTTCTAAGTGGATATTTAAGCTGCATAATGTTTACAATCTGCTTGCAGTAAATGTTAGAGTTTTGATTACAAAGAATGATCTTGATATGGCATAGATGCTGAAAAGTTTCTGATTCAAAAGATTCTACAAGAAATACTTCCTGACATAAAAACAGAATTTTTTGCATTGAAATGTTTCAAACGCCAACAAATCAAGGCATGGTAATATAATAATGTGCTTCTTCTCAAGTAAAAATCACCTTAAAAATCAATAATGCAAGTAAATGCAGTTTTATATTATTTTTTTAAAAAGAGCTATGGTATTTGCAACACTTTGGTTAAAGAAAAATTTTAAATAATTTTTTGTTCAAAACTACCGTCAACAAATTTTCCACCGTAATTTTTGATTTTTAAAATTCTTTGAAAAAATTTACTGCTGAAAAAGTAAGCTGAAAAAAATTCCACCTGCATATTTGACAACATTAGAGATTCGGTCTTTCTATCTTATTTTTACCTTTATGGCTAATGTATGTCTATCTGAAAATTGATCATTAGGTTGTACCCTCAGAAAACAAAAAGCATGAAGTTTCGTTTTTCTACTCACAGTTATCGTTGTCATCGAAAAGAAACTCTTTTCTGTAATTTTGATAATTCAAACTTGTCATTTTTGTTAATCTATTAAGAACGTTTTCAAAAATCTATTTTTGCGTTCTTGTTGCAATCATTATAAACATAAATATAGAAGTATAAAATTTTCATTCGAATCTTTTATAGATAAATCTTCGAACTAATATATCCATATTTTCGCCTGCCTAATACCCGCTGAAATATCATATGCCCAAAAATTTATATGAACTGAAAATGTTTTGAAAATGCGCCAAAAATCAATATAGAATCTTTAATGAAGAATAGAGTAAAAATTCTTTAGCTTTTATTTGTTGGATCTGTTTTCATGTGGTTGTCTGGGATTTAGAGATTGGTTGGTTTTGGATAATGGTTGGTTTGTGGTGCTGTTTGGGTCTTTGATGGTGGTGGAAGGATATGCGAGAACATTTCCAGCAAACAAGGGCTAAGAATTTTTACTTCTTTCTAGACATTATAGGTCTATATTGATTCACAGCAGTTTTTCTCATAATTTATCTCTTTTAAAACGCTTATTTCATATTAGCAATGCAGTTTCGAAAATGAAAACTTCAATTTTACCATTAAAATTAATTTATACACCGGACAATGTAACCAAACATCGTAAGAATGATGGCGCAATAGTTTTAACAGTTCCAAGTAAATTCCAAGTAAAATGTTTTATATTTTTTCAAAGTATTTGATATAGACGTTGAAAGTCCCAAAAAGGATATTTACACCGCATTTTTCTACATGCATTAACAATTTGGTGCACAACTTTGTGAAAATGTGTCATAAGTTTTCAATAATTTAAGGCGACCAAAGTATGATTTTTCCTAATTATGAACAAAGAATATTTTTGAAAAACTCAAATTTTAGCAATTGCCAGCTTTCAGTACTTATTTAAAACTGCATGCAATACCAATTCAAACACAAGCATTTTTGCTACATATCAAACACTTTTTCCAATGGTCTAGAAATTTTTGTTTTTATGAAAATGCTATCATGTTTCAAATTTTCTGTAGAAATAATTGTCAACAAGTTTTTAGAAGATAGAATGATTAGGCTGTAGCATGAAAAGAGAATAGTTGCCAGCAATTCTATAAGAATTTATGTAAAACTTGAAATAATTTGGAATAATTTAACTTGAGCAATTAAATAAGGGTACATTAAGAGCAATCAATTAAGAGCAGATCAATGTGACAAGGACGTACCAAATAGCATCGGAAATAATTTTCACACAACATTTTTAATTTGATCTCATGCAACTTGGCTTTTCAAGCCAGCTATTTTGGCTTTTGAACCGTTTAACTAATTCTTAACTAAAAAGTTTTTAGATTATTATCTGGCAACCGCTTAACTAATTCTGTTGATTCTTTGGCTTGTGAGAAAAAGATAATTAATATAATACAAAAAAGCCTTAGCCATTATTCAAATCCAGAATTTATGCATTTTGTTGAAAAATTGAATTGATATATTTAGCCCTTTATTTGAGTAAACATTTAAGATTTTTTATTCTTTAATTTTCTTTTTTTTCCTTTCTAGGTTTGGTTTGTGCATAAATGTTTTGTCTGTTTATACAAACATTTTATTTTTTTCCCTTTTCTCTTAACTTAACTAAAGTAATTAACTTATTTCTCTTCAAGAACTTTCGTTACAGTTGCAAATGTCTTCAATAACTGCAGATATCCCAATTCAAAAATTAGGTGAGTATTTGTTTCTTCCTGAAATTTTTGGTTTTCTACTCTTGAAAGCATGTTGCTTTAAGAAACTGCAAATTCAAGAAACTGTTTAAAACTATTGTTGAAAGCATGCGATCCAAAAAATTTCTTACCGTTGCTGATAAAAATAAGCAATATGAAATATTCAATTCAAGCAATATTTTTATTTTTTTATTATTTTGCAGCTGATCAATGTTCCTTGTTCTTTTTAGGATGCAGATTTACCTCATAATGAGAAGACAGCACATATTAAAATCCAAAAGTATGAGACTAGGTAAAGATTCTAAAAGTTAAGTTACGTAAGTAAAATACGGCTGTTGTTACATTGTTGTTATTTTGTAAAATATGAATGTCTTTGCACTT